CAAGAGCAAGACCCTGCTGTTTTTTGTGACGTTTGTCGCTTTTGCTTGATAAAAAAGCTGAATCCTTTTTTAAGCTATCGTAGCTGAATCCTTTTTCAAGTCTCGCAGCTTTTCCTCACGAAATTTCTGTGCATCACCTTTGGTCGAAGTCTTCTTGCTCATCCCTTGTTCTCCGTATGTCATCTTCATTGCCTCATATCACAGAGCAAATCGCTTAGTGAGCTCTAATTTTTGGACTTTTAAATTTATTACATTTAGCAATAGCTTGTGCTTAGGCAAAAACATGACCAGCTTCAAGCAAAAGCTAAGTAAAAAGACATCAGGGCAGGTTAAAATCTTTTGTATCGCATTGAAACAGGGGTGTTACAGTATAATATGTCGCCAAAAAGAAAAATACCGTCAAGAGAAAATAGAACAAGATGTCAATAACATGTTTCCTGAAGAAGTGTTTTTGGGCTGCGGTGACAATAATAAATTCATAAGTTTGATGTTTTTGGAGTACTCGCGTGTATATTTATTCTTTTCCACAAAGTCTCTGAAAATTCAAGGCAAACAGATGAACTCATGGGTAAAGTTTTTTGCCTCGGATTCACTTTTTAAGCTAAATTATTTTCTTGCACTTTTATCAACCGGCCCTTAAACCGACCGGCCCTTCGGGCGATCGCCCGAATAGCCCGACCAGCCAGTCCGCCCCTGGTTTCACCTATGTATTCCTTGTCACATCCTCCGCATTGTATCAGGTAAATGACATCACCGCATGTACAGTCGAAGTTTCTTTTGATTATGTATGGCTTGTTGGCGCTCTTGAAATGAATTTCATTTGTTGTAATTATGAGAAGACACGTTCCGCAGCGTTTGTTGTTACCATTTTTTTACTTTCGTGGTTGGGTTGCATTTGGCTTTGGTGAGAATCTGTTTAATGTTTGATCAGTGGCGTACCCAAGGGGAGGAATAGGGGGGTCCGGACCCCCCCCCACTTTTTTAAAATATGGTCCTCGAGATTTGTCCAAAAACGATGTAAAACTCATTGGGGGGCGGGTAGTATACTGTATGCTTGTGTCAATAACAATTGTAAAATACTTTGCTATTTACCGTAGCTGAAATGAATCAAATAACGGGGGAAAATTTTGCAAAAAGGGCGTTTCCCTGAATTTGCGAGTGTTTGAAGGGCGTGGTCAAAAAAATTGGGGCTAGGCCCTAGACCCCCCCCCCCCCACTGCTGCAGCCCTGGGTACGCCACTGTGTTTGATGGTTGTCGTTTGCTGTTGATCAACTTGATATTTGTAAAGATTTTCTTTAGTTTTGGACTTGCGTCTAGAAGCTTGATAGTGTCTTTGATTACAAAGAACATATTTGGGTTCCTTGGGTTGTGGGTAGAAACGAATGCCAGGATCTCTTCACTGCTATTTGTGATTTTCGTTTTACGGAGTTCTGAAAGTGGTATAGTGGAGGCTTTACTTATTCCGTTTTCTATCAGTTGGCTTAGGTAGCCTTGCTTAAGTAGGTTTACTTTTAACTGGAATAGCCAATGGCGGCGCCAGCCGCTAAACTCTGGGGAGGGGGAGGGGGGGGCAAACGAAAAAAATTTAAGCCACGCCCTTTTAACCACCAGAAAACGCCCTTTTACCAACAGGGAGCGCCAATTTTATCCGAAGGTAACGCCTATGACTAAATTTTGTTTTAAAACTGGCAGTTTGAAAATCATAGGATTACATCATAAAAAGTACGGTGCCAAAATAGTACCCCTCCCCCAACATTTTCTCATCAAATTTAGTCTAAATACGTAATCGATTCTGCTGAGAACTGGGGGGGGGGACGTGTCCCCCATGGCGCCGCTAGTTGGGATACCCATGGGATACCTTTTCCACTTTCAGCTCTTCTTCTTCTATAATTGTGCATGTTATTCTTGCTAAATTGAATGGGATGTTTCTTTTGGTATGAGATGGGTGGCATGATTTGAAATAAAAAGAACTGCTGGCTACCTGTTGGTTTCTGGTATTGATCGGTGGATATTTTGTCTTCTTTGGCCAGGATTTTGATGTCAAGGAAGTGAATTCCTTGTTTGCTTCCTTCCTTCGTGAATTGGATACTATGGTGGAGATTCTGTAGAATATCGAATAGTTTTTTTGTAGAATCTATAGCTTCGTTCCAAATTATAAAGAGGTCATCTAGATACCGATGCCATCGATTTATAAATTGTATTTTTATTATTTCACCATAGGTTTCTTCAATTTTGCCATAAAGCTTTGTTTCCATGTATCCCATGACAGGCACTGCGGAGCGTTGAGAAAAGTGAGGGGTCTAAAAATAGTGGGGAGGGGGGCTAAAACCGTATAAAAAGAGGCTTTTCTGGTAGTTTGATACTTAATATTTGGCATTTTTTGCAAAAAGTGGGGCCCCCAGCCCCCCTACTCCGTGGTGCCTGTCCCATGACCAATATCGCGTATGTTGGTGCAACCTTGGTGCCCATAGCTGTTCCTCTTATTTATAGATAGTTTTCACCATCGAAGTCAAAAGTATTATTACGTATAACAAGCTCTAGTCCTTCCAAAATAAGTTGTTTAGAGATACTGCCTGGTAACTTTCAGGATGCTTCTCCACCCAAAATCTAATTGCTTCTACTTAAGTACCCTATCGAATAAAACGTGCTCAGATAAAAACATAACCAAGAATTTAACAAAGGAATAATGGAATGGAATTATGGAATTGACAAATAATAAAAACCTCATTATCAAAGAAAGTGACAAAGGAGGAGCATATATATTCATTTGGAGCGTATAATAAGGAATACGAAACATATATGCCAAACAAAAGAACAAAAGATAACACATTTTACAAGCAAGAAAAATGTGTTATCTTTCTTGTAAAATGCGTTATCTTTTGTTCTTTTGTTTCGTATATATAAATATATTATAATCATAAGGCAAATGCTGACAGGAGGAAAATTCTTTCTACAAGGGTGCTGCCCAATTGTATCGAACTAATCATGGTCGGAATCGAACTCCAGCTTGCTGCGTCGAAAACCCCCGCTCATTCCACTGAGTATGTATATATAGATCTTCAAGAAAACTGCCGCCTACTAAAGATAGCCTGCCCATGAGACTTGCATTGCCGCCTACTTTAGCAGCACCTTCTCCTGTGCTTTCTTCTAACCCTCCCATTGAGTTACACTTTTAACAATAACTACTGTAATAGGCAATTTTCCTCCAACCCCCTCGCTGTGTTCACTTTATTGTAACAACTCTATTGTATTAATTCTATTGTATTTATTTTTTATATGTTGGCTCCGTTTGATTTGTTAAGTATTACTGATGAAGACTTCGGTCGAAATGTTTACATGAGAGTGTTTTTCTTGAAAATAAATATTATTTTTATTACACCTGGAGTTAGAGCTTTTGATAGCGTCAAAGAGACAGTTGTTTTGCTTTGGGAGAAAATACAGATTAAGGAAAAAATTTAGTCTTGACGGAGGTTAAAACTCGCATTATTCTTAAATTTTAGCAATTTTGAGCCTCAATATTCTTATATACTTTATTTTTATAGAAAAAGTGTGTAGTTGTGTAGTTCTCCATTCTTTTTGGAACTGCTCTCGCAAAACATCAGATAATGTAAACACCTTGTGTTACCCAGAATGCACCATTTTTTCAAGATATCCACAATGCCTTAAGCCAAGGTAAAATGTAGCAATATCTCCATATCCTTTGTCTGAAAGCGAAGGAACCTCACTGCGACATGGAGACTGGACCTAAGTCGGAGCAGAAATAATGGCCTGGCAAGTGTACGGAGAGAGGATGTGAGTATTGATTAGAAAAGGCATGATTTCACGGCTGTCGAAATGCCCGAAGTCCAAGAAAAGGAAACGAAGAAAAGATCAGATGGCTCAGCAAGCCAAAACAAAGATAGCCTGCAAGCGGAGAAGAAGGAATGGACAGAATTGGAAGTCGTTGGATCTGTGCGAAACGTTAGTCCTAAACTATGGACGTTCACTCATCTCGTTGCTTTGTACCTGAATAATAATATGCTAACGAAAATCCCTCCTGAGATATCAATGCTAAGTAGGTTACAGAAACTAGATTTGTCAAAAAACAAGATAAGAACACTTCCAGTCGAAGTTGGAGACATGATAGAGTTAAGGGAATTGAATCTGAGAGGGAACCTTCTTCGGATATTACCTAATGAAGTAGGCAGGCTATTTCAACTGAAGGCTCTTGGATTGCAAGGAAACCCTTTACCAGCAGAATTTCTGTCAATGGTTGAAGAAGTAAATGGAGTTGAAAAGCTCTTGACGTGGTTGCTCGATAACGTAACGGGTGAGTGTTTCCTGCGTGGATTTGCTTTAGGCCATGTCGTGCATCGGCTTTGTTTGCTCTAAACAAAAGCTTGCCATAATCGCTTGGCGTCCTTCACCGTCATCCTGTAAAAGATGAATGTGAAAGTCACGATATTTGTTTACAAGAAGTATGTTTTGTGTTTTCATTCAGTCTTCAATAATGGTTTTGACTCACGGAGCCAGCAAGAATTTAATTGTTGAAAATTTTTAGGTATTCATGAAAGAAGTGGTCAAGTTGTTTACGACAGAAGAAGATACCTTGTTTACCAAATTCCTTTATGATTAATTGACATGTTGCTTGGGTTTTATAGAATGATCTTTGTTGAGGCAAAACTTCTAATTTTCTTTGTTTCTGGTAATTGCATTGTATAGCTGTCTGTTAATTTTTGAAATAATATCAAAGTTGTTTTGTTGTTTACAAGTTGCTAAAACTTCAGATAAACAGTTACAGATGAGCAAGTTTTCTTGACCAAACACGGTTTCATATTTAGATTTTTGGGCTAAAAGTAACAAAGCACAATAAACTTACATGTACCTCGCTTTGTTGATAAAAATGTTTCATAACAAACATTTGGGAATTTTTTCCCATACTTTATTGTTTGTTTTATGACAAATTGCAAATGCTTGAACATTTTATTGCAAAAGAATTAAACCGATTTTACTGTACAAGTATAACATGTTATTAAAAGTGCTCTGTTGAATGTGTGTGCAACAATTGCAATCATGGTAGAATCCATGTAAACCTTATGCCTGAAGATTATTTTTATCAAATTATGAAGCTGTGCCAAAGGTTTAGCATCTTAATCCTTACAGAAAAATTATATGATGCTCTACTAGAAACTTTAAGTCATCCTTTTTGCAAAAAATAGTGAATATATATGTATGTTTATATATACAAATCATGCATTGCCCTCAACTCAGCAGCCAACTCCTTCACCTTTACAACAGCATTTTATTTTTCTTTGTCATATCCAAGTTTGCAAAGGAAATTATGAAGTCCATGCCAGATATATCTGGTGTAAGTCACATGGATACCACTCTAGACTTGCCAAAACCTGCTAGTGGCTTGATAGTATGAATTCCAATGTATAAACTGAAAAACCACAAAAGCCAATTTAATGATGTCACACAATTTTTGTTTTCAATTTTCTGCATATAAGATTCTATCAATATAGCAAGGATAAATTTTTTTCTTAATCAACATGGTACAGGCACTCTTGATAAAATGTCTAGTTGTCAAGTTAATTCATAATTTTGTTTTCATAGTCAAATCATTTTAATCAAGAGGCCTGAAAATCAAAATTTTGTCCACTCTGTTTTTTTTTAAATATTTGTTAACCATTCTATTTAGACTAAATTTTGAAAACTAAAACAAATTTTGCACCTCCTCCAAGTTGAGAAAGTTTGGCTATGCCTGTATTGGAAGAAAATACTAGGTTTGTTCAAAATTTACTCCAGGGGTGGCACCATAGGGTGGGCTGGGGTGGACATTTTTAAAATAGACATTCTAATTTTTCCAAACTGGATGAAAACATAAAGGGAGGAGGGTGTTAGTTTTCCTTTCTGAGATTGGAACTTTTTTTCATTTTGATGGTCACTTACGGTTCTTTCTTAGTTGACATACTGTATGCTATTTCATCAGTTCTTAGCTGATCATCATGATCTGTATATAGTGAGAAACTAAAATGAAGATGATCCATCAAACACAGCTTTATTGTTTTGAGCAGTTGGTTCTTAAAGTGTGGTCTTTGCCTTTCTTTCAGTTAAAGTTTTTGGCAAAAATTAACTTTAAAACTTGTACTAAAACTTTTTGATGCTGTAAGGATAGTATAGTTGCAGCTGCATCACCTTTTACCCTCAATGTCAGGCTGGAAAACCTTGTTCAAATTAGCATCAATGGAGAAATGACAGAAAAAATAAACAAAGGAAGCCTTGTTAATATGTTTAAAATCTTTGCTAGCTAAAAAATACCACTCTAAAATAGCTTTTTATGTTATTAGCTGTTATGTGTGTAAACCTTTGCCTATGAAATTTAACTCTTCTATTGAGGGTTTTGAAATTTGTCAAACTTTATTATCAATAATGAGCTGGATTTCCAGTAGGGTATTGCACAGGTTTCTCACCCAGAACCCTTTACCAGCTCCACCTCTTCATTGTACACCCCACTTTTTTGGGGCTTGCGTCACCCCTGATCTGCTCAAACTAGAAGCAAAACAGTTTTTCAAATATCAAGTCATACCTTTAGCTATTATTTGTTACATAAACCTCTATTTGATTTATATGACTTTTGGAAAAAATTTAATATTGGCAATGCTTTGCCAAATACACTTTTCTGTTGTCTATTGTCAATTCAGTGGACAGCAAAAATAGAGCTTGTGCCTAAGCTGTGGTTTCTGTGGAAAAAACCAATCCAAGATAAGATATTGTTGCCTAGTGTTAAATGTTTTCATTTGTAGCACTCAAAGTGTTTTGGTTGTTTCATTTGTAGTATGTCCAAGACCTCCTGATAGACCCTGGGTGCAGTTGGTGCCGGAAATATCAAAAGATGGATGTAAGTTCATGATTTTATGACACAAATTGTGTATTGATAGAGAATTTATGCTCTGTTCTTTGGTCAGCAAATGCTGCAATTTTTCATAATATTGTTGTCAGTTTTTTTAATGTCCCAATTTCCTGTAGAATTTTCAGATAGAAAAATGTTTTAGAAGGAATTTCAGGCATGCAATGTGATGCTGTTGGTAAAGATGTTGAAAATTTTAGTCATACTGTATCAGGCTTGGCGGTTTGAGGCGAGCGATAGCTCGCGCTCGCCTCCACGCTCCCCTCGCAACCTGAGGCGAGCTATGAATTGCTCTCCTAAACAGAACATGAAGGGAGAATCGCTCCCCTAAAATTTCCATTCATTTGCCCTTTTCCTATTCAGAGAACCCTGAAAAGGTACAAGGGTTAATTGGTTTATTTTTGGTAACAGCGATCTCTCCCGTCACTGCATTTTTTGCAGTTAACTTTTTGCTTGTTGGGCGGTTTTTGTTATAATAGGCATGAACTTTGATCTATTTGGAAAAAGGTGGTTAAGCGAAAGGTACGTTTGTAGCGATTAGAACCTTTCAATCTTAATAAAACAGGCATATTTTTGGAAGGAAAGTCGAAGAACTTGGTAGGAACTGTAGATTGGGGGATATAATAAAACACCAGGTCCCTTCCAGCAATAGAAACAAAACTATCCCTCAAAGAGAACAGGGTACTCTGTCTTGCAGATCAAAAGCGACAACCAAAACATGGAATTCCACTATCCAGCGGCATTTACTAAAAAACCCAGATTGGGTGAAAAACTATAACGGCGACATGTTTCGCATTTTGGCAAAGCATGATCATCGTTCCATCTAGCAGTTTGTGAATCTATCTAATATATAAACATGACAGACCGCTTTTGTGTAGACAGAAGGAGTTCGTTTTCACCTTAGGACTCCGTTGGTAACATTTTCAATAGGAAAGCGGCAAAGATTGGACAACCTCAACAGTAATGTGCTCGCGTTTTCTGATTGGCCTACTTCGATCCAAAACTGGGTATTTTAGCGTAGAGTTTTCCATCTATGTTCTGATGTTTTATACTCTGAAGAGTGTTAGAGGTATAACTTAAGTTTGTTTCAAAATTTGTTTTTCAAAGCCATTTTCAAATTCTGTACAACAAAAAGACTGTTTGGCAAGATAAATGTTGTTTTTGTGTTGTGCCAGCTTGACATGAAACTGAAAGAGTCTGTTCTTTTAAATACTTTAAGTAAAGGGGGTGCTTAAGTCATGGTTAAAGCGAATACAAATTGAAAGAAATAAAACAGCATACTCCTGACTGAGGCTATTAAAGGCAACCGACAGATACTAAAGGGGCTTAATTAACTCATCTGTCGATTGTCTTTAAAGTACATTCTATGTGTTACTGATTTAGCTCGCCTCAGCAAATGAGGGGAGCGATTCACAGCTCACCTATAAAAATACAAACGGCCAGGCCTGCTGTATCAATAAGAATTATTTTCGAACAAGATATAAATTGTAGACATGTGCTCACAATTTGTAGATAAACCTATTAGAGGCCACCATTCAAATGTTTCTGTGCTGTGATGCCCTTGCGAGTGTGAAATCCCTTGTCTACTTCCATGCCAAAAATTCAAGCAATTTTAAAATTTGAGTCAAAGGTCTCCCAAAGAAGTTTCACACACTAGAGAAAAAGCATGCCTAGGTCAGTTTGCTAAGCAAAAATCTCCTTGTTTGCACTTATATTTGAAAAGGGACTGACAAGAGATACAAGAAGTCACACTTCTAGGAAAAGGAAGACTTGTGCTAGTGACATTACACCATTCTCAATAAGGTCAATTACTTTTGTAAGCGAATATGGCTGAAAGAGCCTTGTACCAAAACCACTCTGCTTATAAGACATATTGGAAAATTATAGGAACACGTATCATTTAGGGTCCTGTTTGGTTACCAAGATAGACATTGGTTGTGATATAGTTTTTTGTCATTGAATCAAGTCTTTCTCTTTTTCTTTGTATTCATTTTTCTTGGTTTTTGATTAACGAAAACAGAAAAAATATTTAGTTTCTGCTATTCAATTTTATTGCAACCCATCTTCAAGAGAGTTTAGGTTTAGCATTTTAATCCAATTACTCTTTCTTATTTCTTATACTGTCAATCCCCCATTATTTGCTCATTTTGGCTTTGAGCCATCTTCTATCCCCTTTATTTTATTCCTTTTTGTGTACAATTTCTTATCCTGTTCACCCTTCATCCCTTTCTTCTTATGTGTTGTCATCTGCATCCCATATGGTTTTTTCTTTTTGAAATGTGTATCTAATTTTTGCTGTCTAAATTGATGTCAGTCACCAGTCTGTAGAAACTTGCCAGCTGCTAAAACATATCTTTTTTCTTTGATCCATCAAAGCTGCCAAGGAATTTAATTTCAATGTTGCTATAACTGCTATTTTGCCTGTAGAAAAAGGGAATATATATTTCCAATAATTGGTTTATAATCAAGAAGTTGTGTTAACTAAGACCTTTTTTACAAAAAGTGCTAAAACCAAAAAAGAAGCAAGAAATAAGGGATTTAGTTTTGTTAATCTCTAAAATTTCCAGCTTATTTCAGATTTTAGATTCTGCCTCTGATGATTTAATTTTAGTGCTATTATTTTAAGTTTTGGGTAATTTTATCCTGCAGATTATAATTTTATGTATAAGTTCTTGCTGTGTATATTTTTCAGCTCATATTGATATATCAAAAGTGATTATTAATTCCAGCTGTTTCCTTTTTGCAAGTAAATGTACCTTGAATTACAAAGCCATGTTTTTGTAGCTTTTGATCTATTGTTTTGATCATTTTTGGTTTTCTAGATAACTTCACAGTGATGTCCTATAACATCTTGTTTGAAAAATATTGTACAAGTCAGCTGTATGGCTATTGTCCTTCATGGGCATTGAGCTGGGATTATAGAAAGGCAGAGATTTTAAAAGAAATTATACAGTATCATGCTGAAATAGTCAGCTTACAGGTGAAGTGTTTTTGTTTACTTCTTTTCCTTAAAAATCAAATTGTACCCAGTTGTCTAACTGGTCTCGCATAGGTGTCTTTAGTGTCAACCATTCTCCATAAGCTATTTTATTCTCTCCATGGTGGTGTCAACAAATTTTCAGAGGAGTCAACTGAGACAAAATCTCATTCAGATTTATCATAATTCAACAGAATTGTATTTCTTTTGATAACAATGACTCTGGTGTAAGTTCAAAAGCAAGGGGAGGGACAGATTATTTGCAGACTGATTGTAATAATGCAAAAAGTACCTAAGTTCCTTTGTTTTGCAAAAATGCCAGGGTTGTAACCCTCTGACCTTTTTGGCCGGATGCCTATCAAAAAGTCTGCCTCTATGATATGACTGAATGGGGCTTTACCTTTTTGACCAAAGATCAAACCATTACAATTGGTTTATACTGCTTATACAGCACAGGAGTGCATATAGATCTCCTTTTGATAAAGGCCCAATGGTATCTAGGTTATTTGGTTATATGGGTTAAAGGTTATTTCAATCATTTAAACTTGATTTAACCGAAAAAGGACTTTAGTTATTTAGCAATCATGTTTTTCAGACTTTATAGGAACTACATATTGTTGAGGAAGTTGAGGTCATTGCCAGTCAGGCTGCATATACAGTCTATGTAATATGAAAAAAGGCCATGCGTGGCGTTTTGCATGTCTTGACTACTTTGCACGTGTGATGGCGTGCAAAGGCATGCAATGTGGACTTCTTTTTTATTGGTTGTTTCTCATTCCTGTTGTCAAGAACTATAGGGTGCTACTTTCAAGAGTCAATAGTTAATAAATTTTCTAGAAGTAATTATAGAATCTCTCAGAGCTTTCTTCAGTTTTCTCCTCTTCCTCTATAAGTTTTATGGCAAATTCTTTGTTTTGCGCCTGCGCATGCGATCGCACACCAAATATTACAAAGACTGCATATAGATAGACATGAAAAGAGTCTAAAGGAAACTTCTAACCAGATTAGGGTTACTGCATAATAGAGTTACCTTTTTTAGAAATTTTAGAAATTTTTTTAATGATAATTTTTTAGAAATTAAAGAAATGCTAGATGAAGTATAATTGAGTAAAGAATCTTTGTTATGTATTTTTATACAATTGTATTTTTTGCAGGAGATAGGCACTGATGCATTCAACACCTTGTTCAAACCTGAACTAAAGAAACACGGCTATGATGGCATTTTCAGTCCAAAGTCTAGAGCTAAAACAATGCCTGAGGAAGACAGAGGCTGGGTTGATGGTTGTGCTATTTTCTGGCATACCAGCAAGTTAGTAGCTTACTGATTTCTGGCATACCAAATTTGTTTAAAGAGCCTTCTTCCCAAACACCCGGCATATGACAGGGTCTATTTTCAGGCATATTGGACTAACAGAACAATATGTAGCATTTTTATTGAGATTTAAAATTGATTTTAAGTTTCTGACAACCAATTCCAGGTAATTGTTAAGTTTCAAACACTGAAGGATAGTATGTAATTTTAACCCATACCCTGTGAGCAGTAAACATTAGTAATTTTAGAATGGTAAGTTGAATGACTAGAAAGATTAGGGCAGATGATGATAATGATGAAACTTTTTTAATGATGATATTTACAACCCTCACTCTTTAGTTTTGGAGTTCAAGGTTTGAAGTTTGGAGACTGTTTCCTCTTTTAGTAGCCTTGCAAACTTTTAATCTTGACACATTTACTGGAATTTCTGTGTGCATTTTCAATGACAGCCCTCCTCTCTATTCAAAAATGTTGTTTGATATGGATTTAAAGGGTCTTTATGTTCAAGTGGGTTTAGCATTTGTAGGCCTGGTAGCAAGCCGCATAACCAAAATTGTTTGGGCTAAGGTTGGGGGGTGGGGGCAGTGTCAGTGTATGACATCTACTTTAAAGTGTAAGTGTTCTACAAATCCTCATTATAACTACATTATATTTACAATGAGAGGAAGACCTGTGTGTGTGGATCAATTAATGCTCAAATATTATTCATCATTTACTAACAGCAATCATTGTCAAGTTGAGAAATTTGAAATTTGGAAGTGATTTCCAGTTTCCATCTACTTTACTGTGTTATCAAGCACCTCTTATAGATTTAAAGACTTATATTTTGTTTAAAGACTTATAGAAGAGTATATTTTGTTTTGTTTTAGGTTTCAACTGCTTAAAGAGCATCTAGTTGAATTCAATCAACTAGCTGCAGCACATGCAGAGGGGTCAGAAGACATGTTGAACAGGGTGATGCTGAGGGATAACATCGGAATCATGGCACTTCTTGAAACGATTGAACCGGGTGCAAAGCAGAAATTGATTGTCACAAATGCCCATATTCATTGGGATCCTGAATTTAAAGACGTCAAGCTGATTCAAGTTGTTATGTTAATAAGAGAGCTAACCCGGTTTATGCAAGACATATCGCCTTCATACAACGAGTCTAGCACTGGTTAGTGAATTAAATGCTTGTTTTAAACCACAATTTTGTATTCTGACGAAATAAAATACTAATATTGCCTTAGCCAGATTTTACATAAACTTTTAGAAGTTTTCCCTCATGGCTACTCTGGATTAAAATATTGCCTACAAAATAACACAATCCCTTAAAATACACAATTCCAAGTATTGAGCTAGTTAAGAGGCTTTGTCAAGTTTAGTCCTGTAGTTAAATTTTGCTGGGGTTCGAAAAGCTCTTCTGTCCTCGAATCTTCTGCGAAAATTCATTCGTCTTTTGTAGTCACGTGGATTTCCCAACTTAAATTCGAATTGCAAAACATCTAAGAGATTGTTCTGCAACAATGAAACAGAGTGAAACTCGCACTTTTGTGTGATATTATCTGCTAAATCCCTTCAAAAGTTTTATATTTAATTACTTCAAAGCATCACTATCACTCCCATTAGCTCAGTATAAGTTCCCTTAGAGGCAATCGACAGATTCACACTAAAGTGGCTTAAGTCATCTGTCATTCAACAATTGGCCAATCAATGGTCGTGTGACTGGTATTGAGCTTGTTGATTGGCCAGTTTGTTTGACAGATGGCTGATGCCAAGTTAGTATCTGTTGACGGCCATTAATCTTAACTTACGTACAATCAGTTTCGGTCAGTTTTGTTTGAAGTTCAGAGATTTTAAATTGAAAAGCAGTTAAGTTCTGTTTGGCTTTGTTTGAATCTTTAATTTATCACGCTGTCGAGTTGCATGATTCAAGATATTGAGCAATGGAAAGAGAACTCCAGACCTGCGATAACCTAAAGCGAAACTCTCGCCCTACATGATGTTCCTGCAAAAATTGACGTAGCGATCAGTTCAGAGGTGGAGGCGCTGATATAAGTAAAAAGGGTCGCTGTAAATTAGTACTTCATCTCTTTCTGAAAAGAAGGGGGCCCCTATTCCCCCGGTCCCTACATATGTGCCAGTGAATACTTGCCGGTTATGGCTTCTGTTCTTTGTGTTTCGTCACTAAAACGAATATCAAAACTTCCGCAGTTTGAGGTTAAACAAAATACATATTGACTGTCATGGCTACTTGCAAGTTGAAGTCTTTTTTGTGATTAAGTTAAAAGGGGGTTACACCCCTTTTGGTAAATCCGGGACATGACCAATTTCTGCTTCTAGCTATTATTTTCTTGAAATACCATGTGAAAAAACTTTTTTTAACTCCACACCCCCGGTGACAGGGTATTTTCAGTTTATATGCCTAAGGTTTGAAACGCTTTTTCATCTTGACCAAGGGTTTTGAAATTGCAATTTCTGATTGGTTTATATTCACATCACGGTCGTGGGAGTCAAGACTCCTTACTTCTGCTCTGAATTTAGGATTTAGGATCATTTAAGTCAACGGTTTGTTGCTTTAACTAAGTGATTTTGATGCACTGTGATGTAATGCATTTTGATTTTTTGTTCTTTAAATCTCAGGAAAGAATGGTCTGACAAGTCAGCCACACATCCCATCTCTGATCTGCGCCGATCTGAACTCCTTGCCAGGTTCTGGGGTGATGGAGTTCCTCAACAACAGCAGGATCTCGATCGATCATCCTGATTTCCAGCATATGTCGTACGGTGGGTTTTTATCAAAGTATGCAGGCTGCGATAACGGTATGAAGAACAACGAGCTGAGTCACCTCTACAACTTGAAACGGGCCTATGCAGGAGAGGAAATGAATTTCACCAATTTCACATACCATTTTACCGGCAGGCTCGACTACATTTTCTACACGTCAGATTATTTGCTGCAGTTGGGAGAACTCGGCACCATACCGGAAGAATATTTTAAGAAGAATAAAATCATTGGCTTCCCCCATCCACATTTTCCATCTGATCATCTACCGTTGCTGGTGGAGTTCGAGTTTCTGAACACGCCGCAAGCAACACGAAACGGTCCATCAACATCGTCATCGCAAATCATGTTTCCAAGGTAACTAGACGAAGAGCCTCCGTATTATTAGGAGGCAAACATCTCCCGAGGATATTTGTGTATATGTACATGGAGTAATTTCATTGCAACTGTAGAAAGATAGGACATGTTGTACAGATGTATCTTTCTGGAACAAGACTCGTAAGATTGGATTTTCTTTATAAAGTACACAGTAATATGGAAATGAAAAACACTGGTTTTATCGGCATAGTTTTACTTGTGATTATTCATGTGCAGAGGAGATGTCGATTTTAGTCGTATCAACTTCGTATTCACAGAGTTGCAACAAGTTTCTCGTCTATGAATATAAGATAGAAGATAGAACAGTATAAAACAAAGAAAATGAATGCATTTTCCGTCAACTTTATCAAGCATCTTGCTTTGAAATACTTTCAATGAAACATAAATTCTTTAAAAATTTGAACCAGTTTTCACCTGTTTGGCAGGATTTTAAAGGCCGTTAATGCAATAACAACTTTAATTGTATGTCCCTTTTTGGCGCATAGTTCCAGCTAAATTCAAATGTTTTTAGAATACATTTTCTCTCCAATAAACAAAATTACTCTTAGGTGCTTTTTACGTTTAGAAGTTTTTGACAAAGGAAGAGCAAATTCTAGAATATCTGTTTAATTTTGGCCTCGGCTGACTGTCCAAGCCTCTTTTGCACTTTGTTTCTGCTTTTTAAATCCTCATTGTGGGAAATGAAGCTTTTAAAACATCTTGGGAGCTTGAATAAATCGTTTTCCAGAGTAAATCAGTTTGTATTGTCTATTGCATCAGCAATGCTCTTGATTTTGTCGTGTGTCATTGGAAGCTTCAACTTTTCAAACGCGCTTCTGTCAACTCAATATTATTGAAGAAACAGACTAGAAAGCAATGTTTTCTAGACGAAAAGCTTTTTGCAGCTCTGGCCGACAAGTGCTTTTAATGGATGTAGTTCATAGGTTAATTTTTTTTCGTACTCTTCTGATAACTTTTAAAAAACTTTTTGGTCTAGCTTGCATAGTAAGAAAACTTTTTTGCTTCGACAAAATTTAAGTTAACGAGTCTGCAAATTGAATTTCATACTATAATGTGATGATCGTGATTTTCGATAGCAATAGAAGCTTTTACTTAAAAACTGGTTTCCTTTTTTTGATTTACCGATTTTCTTTTTGAGCATAACAGGTGCTGAATGTCGGAACTTTTTCAAGCAGTTGAAGTTCGACGATTCATGAATTTTGCTGGGCTCTTACCCTTACTACGCCATCGAAATACTCGCGGAAGTATTTGTTTCAGTTTCAGGGCCATTTATTGTTTTGATAAGACTACGCAAATGACTTCTTCATTCAATATTATAATTTGACATTAAACGATTGCGCCAAGCACACAGGTGTCTTCGTGAAGGAAATCTTTCAACGACAGATTTTTGTAATAGGCTTGACAGATAAATATGCAAATATGCACACGGGTTTACAGGCGTATTTTAATAACATTTTTCACATGTCAGTGTCATGCCAATTTGACTTGACACTGTCTTCATACTGACTGTAACAACGGATAGATATTCCATGACACCTTTAAGAAGAGCAGTTTTCCAGGAACAAGCAGTTTTTCCAGGAACGAAATTGATACCTATTTACAAATCAATGCATAAAACGTGTTTAAACGTTGCAAGATTCAACAATGACAACTGACGTCCGCTCCAACACTCCTTCAAATTCAGTAACTACGATGTATTTTCTGTACCTCCAAAGCCATGAAATTCACTTGTAATACATGCAATTTTTACCTATTGTGGTCTGCTTTAGATTTATTAGACTTTATAACTATTTTGGGTGTTCACAACTGTGAACTCAGGCGAGGTTTATTGTTTTAAAGTATTGGCAACATTGTTAATAACTGTAAAGAGCAATGGCGATAAAATCAGATGGAAAGATCAGCAGTGTAGCAGCACTTGGTAATATCTCCGGGTGTTTATCGCAACCATGGGCAAATTTAATGTCTCGTGCTGTTCATGGCTTTCTGTAAAGTTTTTAGAGCCGGAAAGTTCGTTCCACAAAAAGTTTTTAGATTTAATAAGAATTTATAAAAAAAACTTTTCGCGATATATGAGCATTACTCGTAAAACCCATATTTCTAATTATCTTGTTTTGATCTAAAAGGGTAATGACAAAAGCAAACATCTGCTTGCTGGAGTCTGTGTTCTTTGTTTCGGTTTTAGGATAACTTTATCGCCATTGCTCTGATTTTAATAGACTGGTGTATCTGGAATAGGCCCGTCTGTTTTGTGTACTTTGTTACGTTAAGGTAAATTCTTTTGTTTTTTGCTCTTGTACACTTAATATTGACATCAGATAGTAGAAGTGTTTCATTAATTATGTTCTCAATTGTAATCTCTATTATTTGGCTATGAAAATGCAATTTTCTCGCTTAACTATACTTTTGTGGTTTTCAAACTCGTGTTGATGACAAAAAGTCACGTGACATCTTCACGAAAAGTACACAGTGTTCAAGAATATTAACTCGATTGTTTAGCTACTTCCAGGGTGCTGATGAAATGTCTTCCTTTGGGAGTTAACTGTGTTAAATTTTACTTTATTAAACCAAAGGAACCAGCTTTCTACCCTCTTTGTGGTAGAAGTAAATAACACATTGCAGTAAACACCTTGCGACGAATGGGATCCTTGAACCAGGAGTTAAACAGCTACCTACAATCACTGGCAAAATGTCTTGAGAGACTAACGTAGGGTTTCAAAGGAAAATTCAGCCACCCCTCCCCCTAGGAACAGTGCTGATTTTCTGTAGAGAAAAGAAAGGGGTTATGGAGTATGCTTTTTCGTGTGGCTTGTTTGATATTTTCTATACTTTCAACATTGTTTTGGGGAGAAAGGGGGACGGAAGTAGTAGTATTCGGGAAAACAAATGAAAAATAGAAAGGCATAGCGCAAAGTGTTGGGTGTTCCAAGTAATTTTGGCAGTGATTGTAGTTAAAGTGAAGCAGTCTCCTACACCTCTACAATGTCTACAATCTGAAGTCTAAACGGAGCCCAACTTTGTGTCCACTTTGAGAGATTTAGGGTACTAGACGCACATCAACCCATCAAGTATGAAGCACGCATTTATAATTTAGTCGGGATCCTTGTGTAATTCCGCTCGATTTGCGTGCCAAAATTGATTTTTTTGCATGAATGCCTACAAATATCTATCAATAATATAAAAATCATAGGTGCCATTTTTTTGGGTCAGCGGAAGTGGGTCTTACTGGGGTGCAAATCACGACCGGTCAAAGCAAGTGTCTCTGCGGAGGAGAAAAATGCCCCAATCACAATAGATGATAAAAACTAACTTTAAATTAACTTTAAATTGTTTTCAAATGTTAACTGGGGAAATCTTTAAATATTGGGTCCTGGTTTTAGGACTTAATATGGTTAATCACGTGACTTTCTGCCCCTATTTCCATATATGGAAATAAATACTTTTTTGGTTTCTACAATGAGATATTCTGAAGAAAACAATTTTTAATCGCGTCAGAGTCATTTCCGCAACTTTTAAACATCGGAAGAGAGGGGCCTCTTTTCAGGGGATGCCATTAATGGCCCGTTGAAGGAGGTGTCCCTAAATTGCTAAAAGCAGAAATTTCTACAAAACATTTTAAACATCAGCTTTAGTGGATAACATGGAAAAGCTGCTGAGAATATAGGTGTATTAAGCCTGGTTTCCATATGATCGCAAAAAACGCAAAAATCGCTTAAATTTGTGACTTGCGATCCTGCGATCCTTGCGTATTAATGGAAACTGCTCTATTCCGTCTGTTGCGATTGTTGCGATTTTTGCGATTTTTGCGATTTTTGCGTTTGAGATAGAAAATTTTCTATCTCTACGATTCTTGCGATCTTTGCGTCGATGGTTTTTCTAATGGAAACCGCTTGTTAACAACTTGGCGATCCTTGCGTCAGTTTATCATCCGGGATGTTCTACCAAGCCTCGCATCTAATTATTTTCATCGAAATTTCAAGATGGCTTTTGTAACAGCAGAAGACCTTGCTGTAATAGAAGAAATACAACAGTACGACTGCCTTTATAATAAGAATAGCCGGGACTTTAAGAACAAGTTCAAGAAACTGCCTAAAGAGGTAAAAACTAACAGGCACCGAGGTTACATTCATTCCAACCTGACAAATTAGGCCTACCTGAAAAAGTACTCCCGATCGTGAATCCTCAGATCCTTTGTTAGTGTGTGAAACGCACCGTGTTCTTCTCTCCTCTGAATAAATTTTCTAACCCAAAACCTATGTTTTTTTCTTGCACGACGTTCTCTGACTCTTTTCAACAATGCAATAATAATAAACAAGCTCGATTGCAGTAGACATTGCTGGTTGATTCCAGCCATTTTAATTTTGGCGCGCCCAAAGTCAAATCATTATTCGCGGGAGTCGCAAGGATCGCAGTGCGTTTCTTGCGATCAAATGGAAACCGGTTTGTCGCAAGGATCGCAGTGCGTTTCTTGCGTTTTTTGCGATCATATGGAAACCAGGCTTTAAGGAACAACGAACAGTATAAACACGTTAATGAATTTCGACTCCCTCTCCAGAATCGGCGTCTGTCTCTTCACCTGCGGCGTAGTCTTTAATATTTTCCCAATCTACACATTTGCATAGTTCAGTGCATGACTGCCCATTCTTCAAACACGAACAGTTCCCTCGTCCCTTGCATCGAACCTTGCATCCGCATTTGACAAGTTCAAGAACTGATTGCGGGGCTGGCAGCTCAAGGCACTTTATCGGTACTTCCATACCCTCATCCATTTACCAACCGTTTCCCACAAGAGGTTGAATTTCATTAATCGCAGTTGTATATTCCTTTAAAATTCCAGCAATAAAACTTGCTCTTTGTATGTAGGGAATCAATGCTCCTAAAGTTGGAGGTAACTTTTCTGGTTCCATGTTTTTTCTGCTAAACTCTCATTTTCTCCCTAAACTCACATTTTGGTACCCGATTATTTGTATATACATGTATCGATTCAATGTCACAAATTCAATGTATATCTATACACAGTCTGAATAACCCCAATACCTATTTGCACACCGCTCTTGTACTTACGTATGAGTACGCAAGTATTTTTATATACATATATTTTTGTCACTATTACATTTTTATATGCCTAACCATTGTCCCTCCATTGGCACTACGAGCTCGTAGTATATTCTTATTGAATACATGATATATACCTCTATAGTGAGGCTACATGAATAAACTGGATACACATGAACGTGGATATCCCGTTCTTTTCTATACAACGCTACGATTCAATGATACACCTTTGCTGGCATCATCCCTGGGCGCAGGGGTGAGGGGGCACCCAGGTGTAAAGGAGCATACTGATCATAAGCCCCGAAATGCTCTACCTGGTGGATTGGCTGATGAGCTAGCAAGGACTCAGAAATTATAAAAGAGAACTTATATACATGTTTATATATGTTATATGTAGCAGTATAGTATATCTATACTGACACACGCCCCTATCTAGTTGGGTACACTAGGTACACTATTCTAACAACAAACTGGATCCCAGATCTCCTAACGACACAAGATTTTGTGAGAGGGCCCAGTGTGATCTGGTTGAGGTTGGTATTACACTGTTTTGTCTCAGTTTTTGACAAGCTGTGCTTGTCCTTTTTTATGGTTTCAACAAAAAATTGCATTAACACGTCATATCATCTCTGTTGTTTTCATAATTTTTTTGCTTAAAGATGTTATTCATACTAACGGTCATGCTAACGGTCATGGACCCTCGTTAGAAAATCCTTGGACTCTAAACTTCAATCATTCATTTAATCTCATTCCTTGAGTTTTTTTGCCCCTCTTTATCGCTGAGAGGGCTGATGTGGCTTAGTCTACAATAAATCCCATAATGTACTTAAAACAATACAGTAAATATTGCTCTTATCTTTCAGCATGTGCCCCCTAAATCTTTCTATCCCCCCCTCCCCATCCCCAATATGCTCCAGGAGCCCTGCCTCTTGATGTTTCGCTTAGATATCAAAAGTTATAGAAATGAGTTTGACGTGAATATCAATAACGTTCATTCATAAACTTCATCCAGGATGAAGTTTATGACCAATTGGATTAGAAATCTCCTTACATCGATTTAGGGGGCAAGAAGTCACGTGACTATAAATTTCCATTTCTAAGTAAGAAAGTGATTAAAGACATGTCCCTATAGCATTTGGAAACAATTTGTTGAAGGTTCATTCGTTCAAAGTTCGTTCTTATCATCTATTACGATTGATAGTATTTGCTCCTCCGCAGAGAAACTGACATTGACCGCACGTGATTAACGCCCTCGTTAAACCCCTTCCGCTTTCCTAAAAAAATGGCACCTATGATTTTCGTAATCTAGATGGATATTCAAATACATTCATGCAAAAAAATCGATTTTGGCACGCGAATCGAGCGGGAGCAATAATTGTGACACAAGCGACCGGACTAATTCTAAAGTGTCAGGACATGACCTTGCTTGTTCGCGACCTGGGTCAGGTAGGGGTCCTTTTGCAGGCACTTGAACTGAAGGAATCGTCAAATTGACAGAAAATTGGGGAAAAGGCAATTTTTTCGTTAATCGTACGCTTAAAACATTAAATTCTTCCATGGTCAAATCAGAGTCAACTAGATTCATTGGTCAAATTTTTACTTTGGGTACCATGAGCCTCCACGAATCGAGTCGAAGAAACGAGGGCCACTGAATAAACGATATGGCTTATCACTTTCAGATCTCTTTAAAGCAAATACATGCTTTTGTTTCCAAGTTTTTAAAGGTAAATAATGCGGCTATATTCTCCCGGCATTTATGCTTAGGTCAATTAAATACTTTACTCGTGACACAAAGTTTAACATCTGACTCACCAAATTTTTTGACAAAAATTGCTGACTTAACTTTTTGCGAGTGGCCCGCACCGTCGCTTCCGTCTGCCTTTTAAGGACTGGTAACGAGGGTCAGCGGTGTCAGCGGGTCTCGCATTAGTTCCATTTTCGCGGAACGTCGTTTTGACTGGAAAGGAAGTGACTGGAAATTTTCAATATCTGTACTCTGTGAGTATTTCCATTCTGTTATCCAAAATGTTGCCATGAATTAATAATTGCAAAAGTATGTTGTTACTTTCACTGCTACACAGAAGGGTATCACATTAAAACCGCATCCACATTGCAATGTGGTCAGCAACCGACTTTTAAAACAGGCCTAGCCTTAACTTTTGCATTTTTCTTGTCTTGACATTTCTATACAAAAATAAATTTAGCTCCTACCGTACAAGATTAAAACTTCAGCGCATAGCAAACGTCAGAAAGTTATTTGTTGTTAGCTAAACTATTTCTTAATTACTTGTTTTGTTTCTTAATAAAAGGCACGTACCTCGTCCTCTCGATCTTTATTGTGTTCCTCCAACCAGGGCCTAATCGAATTCGTATTAAAACTAGATCTGAAGATTAGCCCTAACAAACCTTATGCATTCATTTTTGAAGCATTTCGTACCATATGACTCAAGCCTGTAGTGCTCTGCATATTGCCGCGTTTTAGCATCAATTTGCATCATGCGGTCTACGCCTAACCTTAATAAGGGGCCTATTATAGGGGGTACTGAAGTCGCCAAACCGTGCAAAAAATCAGCCAAAATTCGCAATCCGCAATAAAATAAAGCGCAAAGACGCGGCCGCGTTGCAAAACGTCCAGAAACGCAAAAAGCCAATTATTTGCTAATAAGAAAATGGATACATTGCTAGAAATCGCTGTTTCTCATGCTATCTGTCCATGGTATGAACACAAATCAAAGTTATTGTTTAGATTTCCTCTCTCTCTCTTGTCCTAACCGACAGTGGCTTGTCCATTTTTACGTTACCCCTAGAGCTCTTTTCAACACCCTTCAGTATGGAGTGGAGGGCCTGGCCGCAAGCCGTTATTGCAGCCAGAAGCCGCAACAGCATCATAAAAGCCGTAAACTGTCGCGAATATACACCGAAAGACGCAAGACCCATCTTTTGCTGAAGCCGCAATCCGTAGAAAAATCATACCCAAATCCGAAGGCCGCGCATAAAAATTGGGTCCAGGCCGCGAAGCTGCAAACCTAAAATAGGCCCCCTTAATAAGTCTTATTTTGTAACAACAATACGACATCAACATTGACACTTTCTTCTAAGATCAAAATGCTGTTCATGACAGTTATTTCAAACCTTAACACAACACAATTTAAAATTCCCTGTGTACCAGCCATGATTATCTTTGCAACAAGGTCAGCCTATTGTTAGAAAATGTATCACAGTGGTTCTTGCATGGCAGACTAATATTCAATATTATTCAGAACTAACATTCAATATCTTATGGACAAAATAAAGTTGGACTTGATTAATAAGTATTGATTAAAATTTCTTTTTGATTATTATTTATTATATGTTTATAGCTCATTATTTAAATTTTCATAATGGGTTTTAATATTTTTTATTTCTTTTAGGCTAAATTTGGATTATTTGCTCTTTTGATTTGTGAGCCAAACTAAAACTATTTTTCAATTTCAGTTTGTAATCCACATAGAAGATCATTATACATACATTCATACATATACATAATTTGCCTTCCTTCAAAACTGGATGAAAGCTTGAGGTGTATTTTATCATCATCAACCCTTAAGTTTATTCTTAAAATACAGAACCACAATTGGTAATAGGTGTTTCGACAATAAAAACATAATGACATAATTGTTTTCCATACTTGTAGTCAATATGAGTTATCCTCCAAATTATGGCGGTGGGAACACAATTGGCTTTGAAGGAGTAACAAACAATACTGGCTACCCACAAAATGGACCTGGCTACCCATCTGCAGCACCTAGCTATGGACCTGGGTATCCAGCCGGGCCTGGCTATTCACCTGCTGGCTCAGCTCCATATCCACCTGTAAGTTGTCAGTTATGATATCAGGGTGCGATCTATAGGCTCAGTCAGGGCCATCAAGAAATGGGACAATTTGCAAGTAGAATTGAAGTAGAATTTCATTTAAGAATAGAACAAATCAACTTAACAAGAGTATGCCTACAAAAAACAAGTGGTTTTAAAGGATTGCAATAGAATGAATGCAAGAAATATTTTGCTATTTTAAGGTAATCTCAGAGGCTTGAATGCAAAATTTTTCTGCTCACTCTGCCTGTATGGTGCCTAGCCTCAAATACCTCTCGCCAGCCCTGTGCTGAATTATCTTATTTTGTTGTTTAATGAAAATTCCCAATGAGTAAAATGAGAAAAAAAGAATAACATGATTTTGTGGAAATCTTGGATGATTGAATACTACTAGCCAAAGCCAATTTAAACCAAAATAACTGTCTTAACTTGTTCAAGGAATGCACAGATTTTAAACAACATTATCTGCTTTGAAGTCAGTTTATGGAAATAATGTAAAACATGATGTATGGACTTCTTTCTTAGGGTGGAGCTCCTGGAATCCCAGCACACCCATATGCTCCTCCCCCAGCAGCCAACCCATATGGACCCCCAGGACAAGGTAAATGCAGAAATTAGTATTGCTATGTATCAATTAGCAAAGCTTTATGACTGATAATTATTTCAAGTGACCCCTTTGATACTTTTTTAATGTAGAATTCTATAATTGTGAAGTGCATGACATAAGATAATAACTCATTGTGCCAAAGATTTATCTATTTCATTAGCTGGACAATAGGAAGTCTTTATTTCAATTTAACAGATCAACTTGTAAGTTGCAGATCCTTGATTAGCTTGACTACAGAGAGAGCTCCTCCTTAAGAAATTCCCTCCACACGATTGATCTTACTTTCTTTGTTTTCCTGAATGTATATGCTAATAATTTCACCTACCGATGATGTTTTCTGTAACTTAGTCTTATTTTCTTGTAGTTTAGCTAATTTATTTGTTGGATTTTTGTGATAAATTGAATGTAGTAGAATTTAAAAAAATGAAACTGAACTGAACTGAATAATTTTTCAATGATCACCATGAAATGAGAAATAGTACTTGCCTAGATAGGATAAGGCTGATTTCAGACAGTAAAGTTCTGTTCAAAGGGGAGACTGTCTTGAAGATGAATCTCAGTCTCTTTGTAGACTGAGAAAGTGTTTCACAACCAGCCTCTTGAAATGTTATTCTTACTCTAGTACAATCTCTTAGCTTTAGGACAAAACTGTTTTAAAAAGGCTATAAGGAAAATATACAAGCAATTTACAAAGGAACTCAGAGGGTTTATAAAATAATACTTTAAATTTTTGCACATTTCTAGTTCATTGGCACAGTTGAAGTATTTTATAAGATCATGTTGCATGGCTCTGTGTGGTCTCAGATCCTATTGAAAGAAGTATTTAAATTTGATTTCATTTCTGTGATACCAATGGATACATCCTTTCTTTCTTCAACAACAAAGTGGATTAACCTCCTTTATTGGAATTGTGACAAATGATGAGAATCCTCATTCAAACTAATGCAAGGAAATATTTGAAAAGCTGCCACTAGTTCCCGGAACTCAAAAGCAAGTGTTTGTTAGATGTCATACAGACTACAGGGAACTAGATAGTCAGCATTGTAGCTGGATCTCTCATTTCTTATGCAATTAAACAATGTTATAAAATTAGAAATCAGGTCCCATCTTCTACCCTTTTCGAACTTTACTACCCAATTACTTATAAATTTTACCAATTTCATGCAGGTAAATATCAACCAATATTTAAACTAGAATATCCGTGATGCAATTAGTGAAAACTCCAAAACATAATTTTTTTTTGATCGGTTCAATGATTATGATGTTGTCACCTGGTAATGACTAAATGCTATTATAGGACTCTAACCATTTAATAGAAATGAATACCATAACTCGCTTTTTGTAGGCATGTCTCCTTACAGTGTCCCCCCAAGTGCACCAAACTTGAGTTTTCAGGTAGAAATCTTTTTTTATGCAAAATGTATTTAATAAAATGATAAATTGTATTTTCATGTAAATTTTTTTTGTCTTAGCCTATGTTGATGCCCATAGCTAACTAAAAGTTTGAAATATCACGAATTTTCTTGTGATTTATGAATTTTTAGAATCAATAAGTATTGATTTGGCATTTGAAAAACTTCAAAAAATGTAAATAGCTTGTTTTCCATTCAAAAGGTTCAAAGAATAGTATATTGACAATTCAATCCTTTTTTATCTGTTAACTCTTTTCCACCCTATTCTTAGACAAAGTTGTCTTCGTAGAAACTGGGGAAGGAATCATGTGCTTTCCTGATGGAAATTACCCATTTTGATACTGTTTATAGTACCATGAACTGTCTGGGAGCAGTTAAACTAGATAATAAGAAAGTCATCAATTACGGTTTTGAAATAGTTCCTTCTAACTGTAGAAGGACAATTCCATTCCTTCCATTCTTTCTAACTGTAGTAGAATATGTCAAGTGTCCAAAACTTATTCCTAATTTTGCTTTGTTATTTTGTAATTGGACCTTAAATGTTCCAATTGAATTAAATCAAAATCATTTGGATAATGTGATTTTAGGGTGCTGCATATGCTGCAAGTGCTTTTAGGCAACCAGTTGCCCAGAATTATGGCCAACCATTCCAACCACAACCTGGATATGCACCAAGGACGTATGATTATCAAGCAAATCAGCCACCACCACCTACTCAAAATTATCAACCATCGCCAATGCCTGGGCCTCAACACCAGCCCCCTGCTCCTCAACCATCATATCCTCAAACTCAGGTATTTAATATTACTAAATAAGGTCCAAGTGTTCTCCATTAATAATGCAAAGTCTATGATTTTATGTAATTATGAATAAGATACTAAAAGAATTTTAAGTTTTTGTAAAACCACAAGTTCACGCAGTGGTGAAGCATGAATACAACATAAAGCTTGAAAGCATTGCCGGTAGAAAACACATAAAACTTGTTCAACAGAACGTTTTAAAAAGAAATCTTTTTTGTTCTTTCTCCGGTAAATGGAAAAAGCCAAAAATACTCTAAATCAGTGTTGTTGGAATGAAATTCATATTGGGGGGGGGGGGGGGTGGGGGTCTTCCTATTGTATTGCTCCCTATTCAGTACACCATGTAAAGGAAATATAGTACAGTTTGACAATTATTGGGGACTCCATCCCCCAGCCCCCTGCTTACTGACAGCTTTGCAAAACATTGTAAAATGCCTCAAAGATGCACGGAACATGCTGCAAAATGCAACTTTTCATAATTTTAAGCTTAGTGTCCCTATCAAAACTTTACAGAAATTGATTGAAATTCAATCTATTTTTGGTTGGCCCTAACGTCAGTAATTTTCTTCCAGTCCAAGACTGGTGTTTGTTTTCTGCAAAAATATATGTATTGTCCCATAAACAGATTAATACTAAGATACATATAAGAGCTTATATTGAGACCATTCACATGGTTTTAATCTTTCAATTTTAATATTCAAACCAACCCCTGTATTTGTTGCGTTTTAGGCAATTTTGTATGCAGTTTTATTTAAATTTTTTCTTGTCTGTGTGTAATATGTTTATCGAGTTTTGTCAATTTCCCTCTCTAGTCCCCACAACGCCAGCTTCAGAGACATGCAACTCTTCCTTCAAAGCTTGTACGTATTTTTGTTTATTTCCTTTACTTGCATGGCTTTGAGAAGATAATTTCTCGGTCTCATCAAGCTAGGGTTTCACAGCACGATTGGTCACATCAATCTTTTTCTATTTTGTATCTGAGCACATTTCAGCGAACAATGGCTAAAGCAGAAATCAGCCTTGTACAGTACAGAAGTTTTATGTTGCGATCTGCTAGCAACTTGTGTCGCAATGCCATTCTCAGAAAAGTTGCAAGAAATTTACAGTGTTTAACGCTAGATATATGTTGTCAATTCTTTTGTTGCCATCACCATCAATTACTGTTTGATAATGCCAATGAATATGCATTGTTTGCCCAGCTTAGAAAGCTTTTTTTATGTTAATTATTCGTTTCAGATGAGTTCCCAAGGGACAGTTGTTGATCATTCACCATTTTACCCGCAACAAGATGCAGAGGTGCTTCGGAAGGCAATGAAAGGCTTTGGTGGGTATCGACTTTTGTCCTTCCGATGTCATATGTCTTATTTCGTATGTCATATGTCTTATTTCGTATGTCATATGTCATATTTCATATGTCATATTTCATATGTCATATTTCAAATGTCACGTTTCAAATGTCATGTTTCATATGTCATGTCATATGTCATGTCATGTCATGCTATATTATATTGTGTTATGCCATGTTTTTTCTGTAAAGTGTGATTGATCTAAAGTTTCGATGAGCTCGAAAAGAGCCTTATGATTGATTACTGTCCTTTTGTCTCAGGATGTGATCAAAAGGCAATCAGTCATGTTATTTGTTCGCGATCAAATAAGCAGCGACAGCAGATCCTTTTGGAATACAAAACTGCACACGGACGGGTAGGATTTCTTTACAAGTCTCGCTTGGGGTGGAAGCCTTTCTTTTGATACTGATGCTTAACTTGATTGCATCGCCAAGTAATTTTTCAAGTGGATAATACTTCCCAAAATAAAACAGAAAGAGCGTTTAACCTAAGATAGGTACAATACAAGAGATGCTATTAATTTTACTAGCCTGTTTAATGTGTAGCTGTTTCGAAGTTCTTGGAATTTTCTCTTCCGTAAAGCCATTGTAAGTATTTATAAGGTTTGCAGTAACATATAGTTAAGGTAACGGCTGGTTATGGTCAGTTCCCGCTTGGAATTCAATTTATATTACTACTATTTCAATATGATCATATTGGGGAAAGATAGTTCACCAATCTGATTTTGTTTCTTTTTATTTATTACTTTAACTCTCTTTGGTCGTTTATTAATGGTACTGGGAATTTCTGGCCAAGGTGGGACTTTTCAATTCAAAAGCCAGGCAATGGTTGTCATTTACTTAATGAAGATCAACAGGTTGCTGATATATATCTTGAGAAGAACCTTTGAACGTGTTGCCATCAAACTGCAGCATATCTATAATGCCCTCGCTGAGTTTGTTTGTGTATTAATGGACAAAGCTACTTTCCATAGACATATACCAAACTTGGATGGAAACTGAGATGGGGATATTCGTAAAATATATATAGAAAAGACTTCTACTAGACTTTTCCTTGAATTATCTTAAATATTTTTCTAATTTGCAGGACCTGATAAAAGATTTGAAAAGTGAAATCAGTGGACACTTCCAAGATGTAATATGTGGTTTAATGAGGGCCCCTGCTGAATATGATGCAGTTTGGCTCAGAAAATCAATGAAGGTAAGAGAGGAGACTTATGGTCCCATCATTAGAACTGATCAATCATAACTGAAAAAAGCCAGAATTTCATTGCACGCCAGTACTTTTTAAGTCTATATCTAAGAGTCCAAGAAACCCAAGAGCTTGGAATTATTATCCAAGATATTTGTACAGTTTGTTTTTCATGTGCTGTAAGGTATCTCGTCACACCTCCCAGTGAGAACAAAAATAGCGAGGAATAGTTAGAAATAACAAGTAAGGGTGCGGATGGACTCTGACTTGTTACTTGTTAAGGAAGGAAGAGTTGTAAATGACGTAGATGAAGCTGTAAACAATGATGAAGGGAATGTTCTATTGTATGTGATGCGTGAACATAGGGTATGTCATAGCGATTGCATTGCCTTAGTTAAAAGTTAAGATTATTGCATGTCAAGTTGATATTTTCTTACAACTGCTTTATGCCTCACAATGACGTGAATGTTTTTCAAAAGAGCCTACTGTCTGTTGATTCGGTAGGGACTGGGTACTGATGAAGACACACTGATAGAAATACTTTGCACCCGTACTAACTCTGAACTCAGGCAGATAAACGATACATACACAAAAAGTAAGTATGCTTTCAAAGTTTTTTTTAGGCTTTTATTGGCTTCTTAAGTTTGAATGTTGGTTGAAGCAAGTAGATTTTAGCCAAGTCTATACATATATGGACCTTTCTCAGTTTATCTAAAAAAGTTCGATTTATGCAAATGGCCTAGTCCAGTGATAGATCCTAATAATAGAAAACTATAGAAGCAATAAAATGTATACAATTCAAACCATTTGTAAGTAATACATGTTCTTTTCTGCATGCTGAAAGCGTCTCTCCTGCATGTCGAAGTTTGGTTTGCATGCACCCTCAAACTTCTATTCACAACCCCCTACATATTCAGAAGTGTTCCAAAGTCTTGAAGTTTACTTACCGACATTAAAGCTTTAATGACTTTTTTTATTATAGTGTTCAGTCGCAACCTTGAAAAAGACATCCACTCGGAAACGTCGGGACATTTTAGACGACTCTTAATTGCGCAAGTCCAGGTCAGCATTTGAATTATTGACATGAAACACTTGGGTCGAAATGTCGTGAGTCGAGAGTTGCCTATATGGAAAAACTGTTAACGTCATAGCAACGTGCAGGCCCTGATTCTTTTCCTTTTAGTATGTTCGACTTATCGGACTCGAGTCGGACTTGTCTCAGACTAGACACAGACGTGAGTCCGACTTGAATCTGTGGCTTTAATCGAAAAAACGCTTATGTCGAAATAGAATGTACGTCAGGATTTTTCTATGCGTCTTTCTAACTTAATGGACTTACGTGGAACATGAGTCGAATATTTCCAAAGTCAAAAAATCGCTTATTTTTTTTTAATTTAATTTACATTAATTTACACCATGTCTTTATTATGCGTATGTTCCACTTTTGGGCCTGTGAGTAAATTCACTTTATAAAGCAGTATTTGTCACAACTGTTTTGATTTATACAAATTTCTTTGTTTTTGAAATTAATAGCTTGATTTTATCATTTCATAGAAACCCCATACTTTGCACAGTTGTGAAGAATTTATTTTTCTTTGAAGCAAAAAGTACTGTTTTTTTGTGATGAAAGTTTTATTATTCACGACTCTGTTAAATTTCCTTTGGTCAAACCAAAATCTCTATTTATTTTCAATTGTGGAAAAATATAGACCTCAAAGATAAGAAGAGTAGTATGAAATAAGAGAGAAGATTTAATAAGGGCTCGAAATTTAGACCATCTAACACTTTTGCTCAATTTTATCTTTTATGTCAATAATTTCTTAAATAATGTACCGATTTTCAAAAAGGTACTTCAAGGTAGCTCATTTCTATCAGCTCAACTCATGTACATCCATCCGATAGTAAGATATCGTTAGTCGATTTGACCAAAATGAACTATGCTGCTTGAAATCCTTTGATCGAACGACTTTTAAATGAATTTTAGGGTGGAAGAGATGAATCTCCCACTGTCGATCAAAGGAAAGCACAACAAGATGCACAAGTAAGTTATTTGTAGAGTTTGTTGATCTGTCTATCATATTAAAGAACGAGTAAATAAAAAATGCTTAGGCTGCATCTTGTAGCTACAGCAGGAAATGGATAGGCCATCTATGGATACCAGCTCTACAAGAGGACTTGGTTTAGCCAATTATTTAAAAATCTTTTTGTTGATTTCAGTAAGGTCCTAGCCATAGTATTTTACCAGTAGTCCTTACGCAATGCATCGCTTTTCACACTAGAGTAAAATCTTTCTTTGTTTCTAGTGATAAATTTTTTATGTATTTGTATATATTTGTATACAAGATGACTTGGTTTAGCCAATTATTTAAAAATCTTTTTGGTGATTTCAGTTAGGTCCTAGCCATCTTTCACCAGTAGTCGTTACGCAATGCATTGCTTTTCACACTAGAGTCAAATCTTTCTTTGTTCCTAGCAATAAAAATTTTATATATATGTATACTTCTTTCTTCTAAGGAATTGTATAGAGCAGGCGAAGGAAGGCTTGGGACAGATGAATCAAGGTATATGATTTTTCCTGTGTAATCGCTCATCTTTGTCATTGATTGCTCCAGAGGTCGGATTGAACACAATTAATCACTGGTCGTCCCGATCGCCGAAACTCGGAACACTTTTCTATGAAGACGATCGTGATCACCCAATCATCTTTATCATTGATCGCCTCAAACTTTGTTGAACTGATTGAGATGATAAGGTGATTAGGTGATCAATTAGTTACCATATTTAGACAGAATGGCTCCAGAAATCAACTGACAATCATGGGTTAACCATGGATCACTTCAGTCATCTTCATTGAGTCGTATTTCTCGCGAGTAATTTCATAAAATCGTCATTTTCAAGATGGATGATACGTTGAAGAGTAGATATATATCTATAAAACATCGCTATCAAGTGAACAACAAATTACAGCCATGCAGTTTTCTGAAATGGATTAAAAAGAACTCCACATTACAATCCGATCTTCAATATGACGCCTTTAGTGAGTCTCTTGTTGATACAACTAATAATATGTATGCTTAAAGGCATTTGACACAGATCAAAGTGGCTGACAGCCACTCTCGACCACGAGAGGTTGACCAATCAAATTGCGCACAGAAAAAAACATGTGAACAGTTTCCGCCTTGTGGTTTCACGTAAACAGTTTCCAGTTCCTTTCTTGGGCGCGTGCTCTGATCAATTTGGCCTAAGTTATTTTTCGATTCGCTGTACTTATGCATGTCAAATGCCTTTAATGTACAAAAATGGTATAGGTTTCCTTGCAATCCCAAAGTTTTCATTTATGCGAGGATCATTTGAAATTTGAAATGATTACTATTTGTTAAATTCAAATATACCAAAGCTTTTGGAATTCGCCGTTCACGATCGCTATGTTTGAAGTCACCTGTGTATTCAATTGGATTTTGTTATCTTAACAACAACTCTTTCGTAGATTTAATGTCATATTATCGTCAAGAAGTTTTCCGCAACTTCGTGCTACCTTTGAGGAATATAAGAAGGTAAGGTGTCATTCAAACTTTGTAAGAGGCTCGAGAACCTTCGTTAATCCCGCTGTCCTGTGTCATTATAATCTTCCCCAAAAACCTTCCTCCGGATAAACATTACTTCTCAAAGTTTTTGCTTGTGGTTATGTATGTAAAACTTTAAGCATTTCGCAGAGAAAAACTTTGTTATATTTTCATTGTATTTTCAGATATGTAAATACCCTATCGAAGCTTCAATAGAAAGAGAAATGTCAGGTGACTTGAAGGATGGAATGCTCACAATAGGTGAGTGAGATAGATACCGTAGTGTTTTAATGATTTGAACATAAGAATCATGACATTTATATTGTATCGAGTTAGTGCTCAGGTCTCTTTTAATTGGATACATAGGCCTTCCTCGTAGTGTGTATAGATTTTATTGCTCAGTTTCTTTGTGTTTACGAAGTGCGTATTTTTACTTTTTGTTTGCAGATCATACTTTTTGCTAATCGTTTATTTCTCCGTTATTCTTCGCACTTTTCCCTTCCTATCATTTTCTCTTTTTATGATTCTAAATTCAATCTCTTTTCTCCAATGCCCTCGTCGTCTTTATTTAATTCCATTTTGTGAATTACATTTCCCCTATCCACATAATTTGTATCTTTCTCCCTATAATTTAACAAATACATTCCTTCAAGCTGTTGAAAACGTTGTGGCATTAAAAGACCATTAATTAATGATTGTCTACTTAGAATTTGTGTATTTACCTATCTCTACTTAATTCGATGCTATTTGTTTATTCAGTGAAATGTGTCAAGAATACCCCAGCATTCTTTGCGGAGATGCTTTACAAATCTATGAAGGTGTGCTATTTAGTTTTTAATAGAACCGACTTTATATAATGTCGCTTTTTTAAAAGAATCTAGCTTTACTTTTTCTCACTTTTTAAAACTTGGAATGTCTTCTAGTTAATTTATTCATTTTTCTAGGTTATTATAGTTCTGAGTATGTTCATAGATTGCAGCTTACTGGAGGGCCTTTCTAGTTTGTTTTCTGTGAACGGTCCTTTAAATCGAAATAAATGTTATAATTTCGTTAAAGGGCCTGGGTACTGATGACGACAAACTAATCCGAGTTTGCATCTCAAGATCGGAAGTTGATATGGTTCAGATTAAACAGGAGTTTGCGAATATGTACGGGAAGACCCTTGGAAGATTTATATCGGTAAGTGGCTACTGCTTTTTTTTCTTTTGGCTACTCATATATAATTGACAATTTTCGCGGGACTACTGAAGTTCGTAGTCAATGCAGCACGCTTCATAATTCAAAATATTGTTGTCTACTTATAAATACTTTGGTATTTTTTATTGTTTAGATGATCTAATGTTCTTCAAAGTGCCGGATGTTGGTTTCTGGTCTTAATCATCTATAACAAACTTTGACCCATTGTTTATTATCATACGTGCGTCGTTGTGAATTAAGCTCTTGTTTTCTGACATGTCTCCAATCATTACTGTAGACTCATACAGTCTCAGGCATTTAAAGAAACATTGTGAATCAAGAGCCATTTAGACGGACGTTTAAATTGGCATCTTTTATTTTCGTTGATTAACACATTAAAGCTAAAAACCCAGTGACGTCAGAAGCTTTTCAAGGTTGGAGGGACAGATTCACTAAGGGACATAATGTCTGAAATGGAGGCATTTTCCACAAATTTTAAGATGGGAACTTATATGAAAAATAGCATTTTTCCACAAGTTGGGACACTATTTCTGGCTATCCTTACTAGTTCTGAGGTCTCTGAAACGCTGACCAAAAATCGACAATATATTTTTCTTTTCGGCCATACCCACATGATATTATGTTGAATTATGCAATAAATCATAGTAATTGGTTTCTTTCTTATTAGGACGATACCTCTGGTGATTATAAAAGATCGCTATTGGAATTGGTCGGTGGCCTGAAGTAGATCAACTTTCACAACTGGCTTCTTCTTGTAGATTTTGTAGCTTTGTAGTTCTACGGGAGAATGATATCTTATTAAATTATGCCATAGAAGTATATTTTGATACATAACATTTAAGGGTTTTATTTAGTTATCTTGATTATGGTTCCCTCTTGCTCCCCTTCATTCTTGCTCCCATAGATTTTCTAGAATAAAGTGCTATTCAAAAAAGGAGCCTTTGGGATCCTAATGGGGCTCGTAGCCAGAAAGTAGAGTGATTCTGTAAAAAGAAATTTCCTTGTAAGATAATTTTCATTGTGTGAGAGTCTTCTCTCCTAACGACCTTTTGTGTCCCTGCTAAAAGAACTTTTTTAAGAGTCAGGGTTTGTTTTGAAGTTGAATATGAGATTGTGAGGTTGAATGCATTTGCATTAGGTTCTGATCTAGAAGTGTGTTTTGATTAAGAATTGGGTCATTGGTACCTAGCTGCGGCGAGGTTTCCGCACTGCCGGCGAGACAATAAATGAATGGTTCAGAAAATAATGCCCTTTAAACTGAAAACCTTATGATTTGTCAGATTCTCGTAGTTACCCAAACACTAAATAATTGATCGCAGAACGACAGCCGAAAATCTCTCTTATTTTTAGGTATTTGCAGGGAATCACTGTAATCTGATACTGAAATGTTATTCTCTTCATTTGCCTTTAAAGTTAGCTGTTAGCAAAATATTTCCAGAAATGCTTTAAAATATTCGGTAAATTTTGATACAAACTTAAGCATACATAAAGCCTGATTTACACGAGACGAAATTTTCGCGCGAAGCGAATTTTTCGCCACGAATTTTTTAGCTGCGAATTTTTCTCTCGAATTCGAAGTTCAATTTACACTGGCAGAAATTTTTATGCGAATTCGCTGCGGGTATTACAAAAGATTATAGCGACTGTCCGAAGAGTGCTCTTATCAGCAAGCTTTAAATTTTAAATTTATCAAAAAGCGAGCAAAACAGCAAAAAGCGGTACTGGATTAGAAATAATTAATTCAGGACGTCTTCAGAAGGGGAAATTCCATCTTTCGGTAAGAGAGATTTACGTTTACATTTATAAGACCAGGATAACTTCTTCAAATACTTTCAAAGGTCGCCATCGAAGCTTGATGAAACTTTCAAGCCAGTTTTTGTCAATTTGAACTTCAAATGTTTAAATATTAATCTGATATGAATCCACATACATGGATTGTGTACAAGGAACAGGAAATGAATAATTACCAACCTATTTTATTGACGTTTTAAAGGTGAGAGTGTTTGAGAAAAAGAATGCGGAATAACGTAGGTATTCTGAAACCAAAACAGAAGTCAGGTGTCTTTCAAAGCTGTTCTGATTGGTTTATTTTACAAGGCAAATTCGTCTCGTGTAAATCAGGCTTAAGGTCATAAATGTTTGTATTAATCAGGTAGAAGCATGTCATATATCCGATTATAAATATCAGTTATCAGAACCAGAACAGTTGAGAAAAATATAAACGGATGATGTGGGCCAAGCCATATTCTACCAGTTGGTAGTTTCATTTCCAACTCTGATGATATTTATACCCAGAGCGTTATAAAATTATATTGTTTTAATTGTTTGTGCATTTTACATAACAATGTAATCAACAAATTATGTCTGCATCCTTTTTGCCATGTTAAGCAGTTTCGTAAAGGTACCTCCAACGTATTTTCATGAAGCATACGGCTGTACTTAACCATACGAACGGTTAACAGCTGTATGCAAATATGAAACGAACACTATTTCACAGATTAATATTGCCAATATTTTATCAATTTTACGATTATTTTACCGGGTGAAGTTTTTTTAACATTTATTCTCATATGAATATAACACGACTTTAATTCTGTTTCTATCAGTGTGTTATGATTTTGTGAAAGTATATTTGCAGTTTTAATTGATATTGATCGTCTTTATTAATCTATAATTGTAACAGTATTTATTTGTGTAATATTATATGCTTGTGTACCATTGTCGATTGATTATCAATTATCCTACTATATTGGCTTTGTATGAAGCAATGCTTCATAAAATTAATATCAAAATGATATCAAAGATAAACGTTAAATGATTTCTGGGCTTCATTAGATATTTAATTTATGGTATGAAATCAGGTAATATGAAAATTAGGATTTAAGCATGGGGGCTTTTTGAGGCTAGTGGCTTTTTACCGATTTGCATTTCCTGGATGGGCACTACTTCTCGGAAAAGGGATTAAGGGTTGCTTTTTCAAATGGGTAAGAAAGAAAAACGAGTATCTAGGTGTACTTTTAAGATTTCTTGGCAATCCTTGATGTTTCTCCATAGTGAATGGTTAAAGTATTTAATGGTTTTTGAAAAATTTCCTTCCTTGAAAAGTTCTTGGTGTACTTTCTACAAGTAGAAATAAATGAATAACAGTTAAGGAACTGTATTTAATGGATTTGTCAAGGATAAAAAGGTATGACACGATAATGTTATTCATCATTCTGACTATAAATAGATAGAAAATTTTAATAATAATGAGAAATTGATAATGGTAAATACAAACGTCGTTAAAGGGGCAGTTTGTTTGATTTCTGAATATCGTCAAAATTTTAGCCTTAAGTGCAACAGCTCCAATGGTGGTTTTAGGGGTCCCGGGGGCTCTTACATATATATGGTAGCCAAAGGGCCCCGCGCCTAAGCAAAATTAGAAACTAAAAAACAAAGAACCTGCATACTTTGCTGGCTCCGGAGTCTCTAGAACCACAGCTAAATAGCTCATATTTCCAACCTTCAAAGGCAGGCTTTAGGATCAAATAACATACAAGAAGATAATTTTTTAATTAATTAAAAGCAGTTTTAATTACCATAGTAATTGAATGTTTTTAACTTTGCTTTTACAACCATTCGGTTTTAGTGAACATGAAAAACGTTTTGGCGTTATAGTGTCAGAACATTGCTGTTCTTTCTTGCTCTTTCGGAACCTTATTCTGACGTTTTATACTCTGAGGAATGGGTGACAAAAAAGCTGTCAGTATTGTAATAGGGTTTTTTGCAAATGAATGCATCATCGAGACAAACTGGTCCTTCGATGAGAATTGAGACAAAGATACAAAATCATAATGTTCCAACGTCTATCTTCCGATCATGTTATCTTCCCGCGAATAAGGTTAATAAAAAGTTCTATGCTTCTTTATGGTTGTCCCGTAACGTCGAATCGTTCTCGTAAAATCGGGCACAGTCTTCCACAAGAACTGTCCTCGCAAATACATCAAATCGTTCAGAGTTATCCCAATCGTCACGCGCGATTCTATAAACAACAATATGTATCCTACAAAAACCATAGTTCGTGTCGACATGGTCTTTCACAAGCGTCTTGCCACATAACATAAGTAAATCATCGAGAACCTAAAAATACATATAGTCAAATCTTAACCCTATGGCTCTTAACCATAACTCCAACTCCAACTAACTCTGTCAAATAACACGCCCTAAATATAACATAAAATAAACAAGAACTAATTGAAATACTACATAGCTACGTATTTACATAATAACATAAGAAATACATAAGAAATAAATAATGAATCTAAAGGTGCAATTAGATAACAAAAGGAATCATAAACAATCAAATGTACAAAAGTTGATAAATTACTATAGTAACAAGTAACAAAATAAACGAAATCTAGACTGGCACTATTACAGTATGTTGTACAATGTTTACTTTTTTCAAAGCAATTTTGAAGCATTGCTTTTGTCAGAGTTTTAAATGTAATGCTTTGCTTGCTGTTGAGGTTAACATATCTTTTTTGCACTCCTGCACTCCTTTTGCTAAAAGGAATGAGGAAATGGTGGTTGCCCACTGATTCACGTTCTCTTAGTGGGTGGGAACGCACAACCGCAACACAACAACAACGCTGGTCCATGTTGCTGGTCAGCATTTTCTGCCGTCCTGCCTTTGTGCTGCAACTTGTCACTGTTTACGAAGGGCCAAATCTCTTTCCCTGACTCACTGGGAAGCTTGACGCATCGTTTGAGAGGTAAGCATACTCGTGTTTAGATAAACTAACTTAATTCTTTTTTGTCGAATTTACAATTCTAGAACTCCGGCTAGAGTCATACAATTGTCTTTATCCTTTTATTAAACTGATAAGAGAGCAACGCCCATGACAAAGTTTGGCCTAAATTGATGCGCAATTCTGGCAATGTAAACTACACAATTTTTCACAACTTAGCATTATGCAGCATGTAATTAAAACGTTTTAGGTGTTCTTGTTCGAGTTTTAAACAGCTCGATACAATGCCATGGATCATGTAAATTCTTCCTTCTTGACATAGACGTAGCATTTACCTGAATTTATGCTCACCTTCAATTCCTTCCAGAACTACCGAAAAAATGGCATATCCTCCTCCAGGCGGCGGCTATGGCTACCCTCCTGGTGGTGGAGGGTACCCTCCCTCAGATCCTGTAAGTATTCAATAAAACCTTTATTTTATCTTAACTGTTAGATATTAAAGTGGAATAAAGAATATTATCTGTAAAGCCAACTCTTGAATCAATCTCTTGATTATGAATTCGTATTGAAATTCTATAAAGACAATTTCATCTAAAAGATTGACTGTCTTTAAAATATTATTTTTAAATTAAAATGTCTTTAGAATTTGAATACAAATTCATTATTCAAGTGTTGGCCTTTTTATTCCACTATAATATCCAACAGTTAAGAGAAAATCTTTACTCAAAATTATTCAAAATTTGAAAGAGGTTGACTAAGTTCAGGGACTTATACCATTGAGAGATTAAAACAGAAAATGAAAGAATAAAGCAGCAAGTTTATTTTAGAAATGTTGACACTACAACCAAATTTTAGGGCTTGATATTTAAAATTGCTCAAACTTTTTGGCTACAAAACATCACTTATTGAATTAAACTTGCCTAAAGACACTTGAATGTGTTATAGACATAGATACATTGTTCTTGCTAAATATGCCATGTGACACAATTTATAGGAATGCTTTTTGGTTGATTCCTATATTTGTTTGGGAGACAAATCTAGATTCCTATTGTTTATCGAATTGTTCTTTCTATTTTTCTAAACCAATTAGAAATAGCATCATATGGGCATATTTAATTGGCTGAAGGCAAAATTTATATATGTTAATGTTCTTCAATCAAAACTATTATTTATCATGGTTGCATCTAATTAGCAACATTTTGTTCTTACTCTTCTCATAACATCCTTTTCTCCAAATTTCCTTTGGCTTTTGATTCCCATATTCCCATGATTCCCAGGCAAATTCCCATATTGCCACAAATGTATGCAGTGTGAAAACAATGACATTGCCTTTAACTGCTCATATGTATTTGATGCAATGTTTTGACTGGCTGTTGACATCCTTCAGACAAATGCTGGTTCCCCTCCCCAACAAATATTAGTTTTTTTTCTTTATTTTAAGTTGGTACAGTTTCTAGCTATGCATACTAAGCTAATTAAAAACAACTATACATGTAAAGCCTCTGCCAAACTAACTGAACCTTTCATTGAGCAACGCTCAACATGCCTGCCCAGTGAGAAGTTTGGTTCATTTGACCACTTGCCCGGCTTTGCTCAGTCCTGCTCAGTCCTGCTCAGAAATGTTTGACAGTGATAAAAAATGTTGAGAAAGCTATTAAAACATTTCTTGCGTTGTCATTAAACAACTCCTGCTTACCTTGCACCAAGAAGACCTTGAGAGTCTTTGTTGATATTATGCTCACTAAAAGGTTTAATTGTGTCATAAAAGCTCTGCATTATGACAACATAAAGAAGGTCTTTTGATTTGCAATAGTTTTGCAGAAAATTTTTATTTCTCATTGCGGAGGCACTGACATAAATCATTCTTTGTTCATAGAATTGTTAGTTGCAAAGTTCAGTTCAATTGTCGCTGAGCAGTGCTGAGTAGATTTGCAAATGTTGAATGTTGCTCAGTGTGATTTTCAGTTCATTTGACACTACCAAGTGTTGTTGATTAGGTTACTGTGGATACAAAGACAATGCTAAATGTAAATAAAAGAGATCCAATGAGGAACATGATTATAGTTCGACAATGGTCATTATGGGCTAACCATGTTTGTTATTTTCAGATGTATCCCCCAGGTGGAGGTGCATACCCACCAGTTGGCGGAGCCTACCCTCCAGGAGGACCAGCATATCCCCCTACTGGAGGGGCATACCCACCAGCTGGAGGTATGCCTCCTGGTGCACCTAACTATGGTGCCCCACCAGGAGCAGGTTATCCTCAGCCTGGCTATGGTGGACCACCTCCAGCAGGTAAGTTTCCTTTGTTGGCATCTAATGTTACACTCAAAAACGTTTTCTGTCAAATTCTCATTGCATTGAGATTCAATGTTGGTTGATTTGACAATTTGAAATGCAATTATTAATAAATTAGGAAATGTGTATATATATGTTTAAAAGAAATTATAGTTTCTTTCATCTTGCATCACCAGTCTAAACATATCTGTTCTTTTATTCCTTTTTTGACATTGTTATGTGTTAGTTGAACCCATAAGTACAAAAAAATATGGCTATTATACTCATTGCTATAACTCCTCCACAGTGGCAAAATTATTGAATGGACCTCCATATATAAACATTTGGAGTGACCCCCCTGGGGTACAAGCATATCAGTTATGAGCATGGCTTTTGTCACTTTTGCCCTACTATAAACAGCTCATTTTTTTCTAAACATTTTTGTGGTCAGAGCAAACAAGTGTTTTCATACTTTGCCTAACAGCGGAGGCAAGAAATTAACTTCTCATCTCCTAAAAGACATTGGTATTTTGGTGGAATAAAAACTATTCATGGTGTAGATTCTTTTTTAAAATAATGAAATAATTAGGGTGTCATTGGTTCCCAGAATTGTAGTTTTCCAAACTCAAAATTTTGCCTTTATTCAATGTTTGGCTTTTCTGTTTAAACATGCTCACAGATTCAGAAGTTTTTTACTCAAGATTATGTACTCTCAAGTTCCTAATTGTAGGGGAGTCTAATAAGGAGGGGGTTGGCATTTTTTTAAAAAGCCCTTAAATGGGGGAGGAGAAATAATAGATTAGGAGGGGTGTTGATAAATGGAAATGTGCATGCAGAATTTCTGAAAAATTGAACTTACCCACCTCCCCTACAATTAGGAAATACAGGTTTATATGAAAATATGAAATGATGACATCCTTGTGATGGCGACAGGTTGGCTCAATTCGGAGATTCTTAAAAGTTATTTGACCCCTCAACCCCCCTCCTTACAATATTGTGTTGAGAAAACAAACATTAGGCAAAATTTCAGATTCTTTAGGTATGCCTGGGCTAATTTTCTCCTACTGTACCTTGAGACTTTTCTATGCTATAATTTATTGAACTTTTGCACAAGACCAAAGAACTTCTGATTCAACTCTTTTTTATTTTTGTTAGGAAATAAAAATATCCCTGTTGTTTTTGCACATCAAAATTCCTAATTTCTTATTGTCAAGAAGCATGCATCATATCTGTTAAATTAAATGATCCCTAACATTTGCATTCTCAATCTTCAGGGTTCAACACAGGTCCCCCAATGCCACAAAGCTCAGGCTATGGTGGACCAGGAGGCTATGCACCACCACCAGTATCCCAGCCTCCTGTCTCACAACCCTATGGTGCACCGCAACCAGCACATCCATACCAGCAACCTCCAGGACAACAATATGGTGGTCAGCCAGGGTATCAACAACCTCCTGCACAAGGCTATCAACAGCCTCCCACACAGGGGTATCAACAGCCTCCTCCACAAGGGTATCAACAGCCTCCTGCACCAGGGTATCAACAGCCTCAAGCTCAACAGCCAAAATCACAGGCCTATCAGCCTCCTGCCCAGGGGTACCAGCAACCCCCAAGCAGACCTGGTATTTTTTCGCTCTGTTTATTTCATGCTATAACTTATAAGCTTTGTTATCATGATTTACATCACTTTCCTTTACTCCTTGGGAAGAGTTAAAGTAACAGTAATGATAATTAATAATTATATATCAATATTTATTCGGGTTTACTTGGTCAGCCAAAAGCAGCTGCTATAATTCAAGGACCTGTGTCCAACAAAAAGTTGTAAAATTTTTATTTCCAATAAATGGTTTTAAAGATTTTAAATTAAAATCAAAGTTTCTGTTATATATTCGAAAAGCAAATAAGATTTCTGTATCTCATATGAAAAAAAGATGGATCATTCCAATAACCAAAAGCGAAACTTATTGGTATAGTTTATTGGTACGTTCTATAATACTTTTTAGAATCTCTGTCTGCTGTTTGATTTTTAAAATTAATTACTAACTGATAAAGCATATAAGTCTAAACATTTAATTTATAATCTGTTTTTTCTTGCAGCTGCCCAGCCATCAACAACCAGCAGTGCTGTGAGTATCATTTACTAACTTTTTAAAGTGTTATACCCACTAATTTTTCAAAATCTTTAGAAATAAATATGATCATTCTTTGAATTTTTAACAGATTTGGATTAGTCACTGTGTTAAATACAAAGAGGAAAAAATCAATTAGAATTTGGCATCATTTCTTCTTTCATTGCAGCTAAGATTCCTTGCCAATATGCAAACCTCTTAAATCATTTTTACTAGACTGTTTGTATTTTATAAACTGGTATACAATTTTTTTATGAAACCACTCTATCTTGATTTTTTAGTGCTAAATTTCCTCAATCCTTGTTAAAATAAGCTGCAAATGCTGTTTTCAATGAATGTAAAATGACTCCTCCACTGCCAAGAAAATATTTCATCTCTACCAACCCAGTATCTTAGTTCATAACTTTTTTCTTGAAGCCTCCAACAAGTCAGCTGGCAAGCATGTCGCTGAAAATGGTATGTATTTCTTCCAGGAAAGAAAGTTTATGGAGTTTTTACATTTGTTTATTCCTATTTTTTATTTGTTGTTCATGCCTATCATTTATATTATGATGTTCTTTTCCACCTCTGTTTTATCATAAGTCCTAATCATAATCAGAACCTAGAGCTTTGTTTTCCAATCACTGTTTCTTTGCAGTTTTTTATTCTTGGAGCAAGATATTATATCTTTTTCTGTAATTGAAAGTTGTTAAAAGAAACATGGAACATCCAGTGCCTGGTAAAATAATGCACTGCAAAAATATTTATTTGTGTGCTGATTCTTTTCCCTTGCATAAGCGGCTTTTCAGTATTTTTCAATGAGTGAAGATTTGTTTTATCTCTTTGATTCTGTTTTATTTCAGCATCTATCATATCTAGTTATGTGACAGCTCATTTCTCTTTATCTTCAAACAAGGCAGGCTCCAAGTAAATTTTAATAAGGGATTTAGTTCAGCATTTTGAATATTTTGACTTTATGTGATGCAATTGAAATAACAAAAGTATTTTGCTCAAATAGTTCCTTATTTCTGGCATTGTTGCCAAATGTTTCAATGTCATAGAATAGAATTCAGCTAATTTTATTAATACCCCTGCACTCCAGTTCGGTACATAACAAATATTAACATGTTTTGCAGGCATTCCATGGAACTATTGTTCCAAAGAGTCCATTTGATGCTGAAAATGATTGCGAAACACTCAGAAAGGCAATGCGTGGCATGGGTAAGTCTGTCACTACCACAAACAGTCTTTGTTGTTTAATGAATTAAGGGTATCAATTTTCTGACATTTGGAGGGTTTTAATGTCTGTAGCAACTGTTGGACATTTTCAGACCAAGCTAACACTGGATCAGGATAGTACCAAGGCTGTTGTAAATTGTTTGTAAAAAGCTTTCTTGGGCTCTTTAGTTTGCCAGTGTAGCTTATAATCATTATGTATTCTCGAAGTATTTCTATTTTTTTTAATGAGCATCCAAAAGTAGTTTTTAGGACATTGAGAAGCTTATGCTTATCGAGCAGTGTCCTGGTCCTTCCTCTCGATGTGAACACACCTAAGGAAAGCTTTGTCTGGTATTTGATTTGATATAGTGATGTCCACCATTTTAACAGATGTATCTTAACTCAGCTTGTCATGCTTTATTATATTTCTGCAGTGAACAATCAGTAATTTTGTCATTTGATACCACAATAAATTTTTGGAAGATCAGTTCTTAAATAGGACTAGTATTGACAACATAGTTATCAATCTTCTTTTATTACACCAATTCTAAGTGCGGTCTTATTTGGACATTACACCAAACTTCATTGTAAGACTTTTTAGTGTATTTCAAATTTACCATCACAATTTTAGTCCAACTTCAATTTTTCCTACGGTTCATGCTTGCGTTGAAGCTTTTTTGATGATTTAAAGTCATAACAGATTTGACTGCAAAAACTGCTGCTCAGTGAACTCTTTTACCCTCAATTTGAATCACAGTCGAATCCCTTATAAAACTTCTTACTTTACTCATTTTCTGAAGTAAAAGATGTTTATAGTGCATAGAAGTTTAAGTATTTTTTAAGAAGAGATAATAATTTAATAATGTGTTCATGTATCTATGTTGTATTTGGATAACATTCATCTCACTAAATGGTGGCTCAAACTCTAGGTACTGATGAAGCAAGCCTCATCGAGATTCTCGTAACAAGGTCAAATGCCCAAAGAGTTGAGATCAGAAAGAAGTACAAGACAATGTTTGGCAAAGATCTGATGAACGATCTGAAATCTGAGCTCAGTGGCAATCTAGAGGAATGCCTATTGGCAATGATGGAACCACATAAGTTGTATGACGCTAAATGCCTACGAAGAGCCATGAGGGTAGGTTCTTGGAACAAATTTCTTTTTGTGTGACAAATCAGCTTTTGAAACACTCTTTGCCGAACTGCCTTAAAGTCTACATTGAAAAATAATTCCCGCTATAAACTTACCCCAAAAAAAGTTGCTTTCTGTAAATGCTTAGTTCCATGTAATAATAACGCATTACGATTTTGTCTTTTAAATATATCATATGTAGATGATTTGACATAATTGTTTTGTCACCAGGGTGCTGGAACAGATGAAGAAGCACTTATTGATATTCTTTGTACAAGATCCAACCAAGTAAGACAGCAATACTGTGTGTTATCTTTTCTGTGATATCCTTTAAGAGCGATCAATTCCTTTATAGATAGCTCCCTCGAGGAGTTTGTTTTTGATAGGAATTGTCTGTCCATTCATGTCGCATTCAGCATGTTTTTATCACATCATAAATATTCCTAACCGAATGACATCACTGGCAAGTTGATCCAACGCAGATACAATAATACACGATAACTTCCGTTACTTACACATCTTTCTAATTTTCGAGAATGATTTTAATTACGGAAACCATGTGATATCCGTCAAATTCATGATATCATTTTACCCTTATCAGAGATTGCATTCAACCTGTTGATATCTGATTTTTCTAAAACTTCATAATCAATGTTCAAGCAATCTTCTAACAAATTGAATAGCTTGCAATTGTATGTAGCAAGTAGTGATGCAATCTTGCTCTCACGGTCACACAAGTATCTCGTGGTGATTTTGTCCCTTTTTTAAGAATATTGCAAAATCTGGAGCCTTTTCTTATGGGACATTATTTTTTTTGCAGGAAATACAGGATATTAAACAAGAATACAAAAATTGTAAGCATCCTGTCGTTTATTGATTATAATGACTAATGAATTATAGAACGAGGATGGCCGCTGACTAGTGCGAGGGTGGCCTGTGGCTATAGCCGGGTTTCTATGGCCGCGTGCCTATGGCCGCGTGGTTACGGCCGTGTGGTTACGGCCGCGTGCCTATGGCCGCAGACTACAGATCCAAGGGTCTGTGGTTTGAGCTCTTGACATGACCAAACTTTCACTCAGCGTAAGGAGAGTCGCCAGCTCTCTGTAGTTCCGTTGATAAAGTTGGTATAAGTCAATTTTCGACTGCTCCTAATTTGGCAATGTTCTAGTATTATTATCATTGTTTTAAACAATTTATTTTGCGTTGGCAAGAAAGAACAAAATATACATATAGCTAATAAGCTAATTAACGCCAACAAGGAAATTTAAAACCTACTTTACAAAGTCCATACTAAACATACAAAAACCCTAGATCTTTAATGAAAATATTGCACTGTCTTCAGATGCAAGTATTTCCATGCCATAATTTTATTTTTCTTTTGAACTCACCTAGTATGTTCGAATCTTTAATTTCCCTTGGTGATGAGGACCACAAATGGTGACCTCTGTACTGAATATTCTCTATACCGTATGATGTTGTCTTAACTAGGTTTAATGCGCAAGTATTAATACTGAAATATGTTTCATGATGGGTTGTTTAAGTTCTCTCGTTATTTAAGTCAGTGTCAGTGTCAGTGTCAGCATTATTTGCTGCTTTCTCAAAAATTGTAAATTGTAAATATTGAGACGCTTTCGGCATGTCCTTGTTCTGAGATTAAACGTAATTATTATTTGTTTTTCATAATAATAATAATAATAATAATAATTAGATTTTAAAATGAAATGTAATGGTTATAAAGTGTACTGAATTTTGCATCACATTAGACTACCAGAGAGATTTGGAAAAGGACTGTGTCAGTGAGACAAGTGGACATTTTAAAAGGCTTCTTGTTTCAATGTGCCAGGTAAGACTGGTGTCACTAATACCTAAATGTTTTTTAACGTTAATTTTTTTCTTTAGCAACCGGTCTTTGTAAAAACTTTTCTCAAATCCAAACATGATATTAAAGTTTAAACCTAGTGATGTCTCACGCATTCAAAGGAAGCCAGAGTATGAAGAAGGCCCTTGTGTTATCAAGCAGGAAAAGCCCCGTATTTCCGTACCTAAAACCCAGTCAATTTTCGGAAAGAAAAAATTGTTTGAAATTGGATCGAAGTTTTCTTTCTCTGTTTTTCCTGCCTCACCTTTAGGTTTTGTGAGTCCTGACTAATCTTGTCTCTTCTTACTCTAATGCGCAGTACTGTGAATAGCCTCTTCATATTTACAGCTGTCTATACAAATTTTCATACACAGACACATAGAACTTCAAAAACATTATATTTTGGCCAACAGCGAATTGAAATTAAAGCTACTTTTATGATGAAGAAAATGTAGAATTGATCTAAGTTAGTGTATGATATATCTTTCAGGGCAATCGCGAAGAGAATGAAACTGTTAACATTGAAAAGGCGAAAAAAGAAGCAAATGACTTGTTCCAGGTAAGCAATAACCGCCGAGGGGCATTTGTCGTTCAATTAAAATTGCACAACTTTCGTGGAAACTCTCTCGTTTTGTTTGTAAATCTTTCATACCTTTTTGTGTTTTTTTAAATCCCGTACGTCTTTGCCACAGTGAATTTTTCACCGATAACCGACCTTCTTATCTTTAAAAAAGGGCATATGTCGCTTTAGCAGTTGGCTAATACAACAAAAACATTTGGACTGGAATTATATTGTTTCGTGACTTTTCATTTCTGTTTCATGAATTTTCACTGCCTTAAAATTTTCTCCTCGATCCCATGCTTTCTGCTAATAAAAACAAACAATTGCACTGCATTAGGCAATAAGTTTCACGACACATGTCCTTTAACATTTTTGGTTCAACGAAAATCATGGCAATTATATATGGGCTGGCTGTAAGACTTTGATTGTCCGCTTTGTCTCAATACTCCAAGGTTGCAGAATCATTGAGAGTGTGAAAAGGAAAATAATAAACACAAGAATCAAAAGTAAATCGTATAATGCTTTTCTTCAGAGGGTTTTTTATATCAAGGCAGGAAACAAGCGCAGCACCCTCATTCTGTTGATGGGCAAAATAGTCAGCATCTCATGTGACGCCGTTGGCTTTTTGAGTTTATTATCGTCATATAAAAAACTGACACAAGAGATTTCTCTCATCAAAGACTGACACAAGAAGGATTTTTCTATCTTTTTGAATTTCTAATGGAAATTAACACAATGAGAGTGGCTAAACTAGACATCAATTATGGTAATATTTTCTTAGGAGTGAATATTATAGGGCACTGCTTGCCCCCTCTGCCCCTCCTTGAAGAAGGCAGGAGGGACAGCTGCCCCTGCAGCACCTCCAGGGTAGGCGCCCCTGCATGATACCAGTGTTTTAAGTCACAGATTCATCTCCACGTTATTTTCATGATTTGGTCATCACCTTATCATTAACAGCAAATGAGCTGTTTGCAATATTGAGATGCTAAAGACAGCGAATTTCGTATACAGAATTTTCGTTACCTTTTCCTTTATCATTACCTAACGAAGAGAAATTCATGTTTACAACTTTGGATACTGCTATTTATGTTCTACAATGACAACAATTATAAAGTTATTTGATAATTTGTTTCTGCATTCTGTGTATCGTATACTACTCAACGTAGCAATTTTTGTGGTACCAATGCTGTTTGTGTCTTAGGCCGGTGAGAAGAAGTGGGGAACCGATGAGTCGCGTTTCAATGTAGTGTTAGTCACAAGAAGCTATCCGCAGCTAAGGGCTACTTTTGATGAATATGTCAAGGTAATTTATTACGCAAGGATTCATATTTGATACATTGTTGCCATTAACATATTATGTAAAGAGACTTAGTGCCGTATTTTATGTGATTGTCAAATCATTTTACCTTCTGCACTTTTTTCATTTAAAAATTCTATCTTTCAAATGGGAGTTTTTTATCTATTTCATACAGTTTGAAAGAAATTATTCGGTAAATGAATTTTGCTTTTATGTTAAAATGAAGAAGAATTTTGTTAGCAGAGTTCTGAAAAGTACTCGTCCTTCCTCTGGGGAAATTTTCTTCGAGCTTTCACATCTTTCACAAGAGAAAAATTTGTGGGATGTTTGTCAATGAATTTTTTCATCGTTTTGCTATTTTTCACTTATTGAAATATTTTTTAATCTTTTTTAATTTTTTCATTTTCTCATTTTTTTCAATTTCTTTTTAATTTTTTTCACTTTGAATTTTTTCATTTTTTTCAGTTTCTTTTATTATTTTCATTTTCTTTAATTTTTTAATTTTCTTTTATTTGTTTTCATTTTCTTTTATTTTTTCATTTTCTTTTATTTCTTTCAATTCTTCAATATTTTTTAACTTTTTAAATTTTTTAATTTTTTTTCATTCTTTTAAATTTTTTGAATTTTTTGTTTTTTTAATTTTTTTCATTTTTTTCATTTTTTTTCATTTTCTTTTTTGTCATTTCTATCAAGCTCTGTTTACACCGTTTGTAATTTTGGGAAACATTTGGTAATGGTTATTGAAGAATTCTTTAGAATAGAACAACAAAAGTTTTTCATGAAGATTTTAAAAAATGTGTCTTTGCGCTAGTTTTTCATGTTTTTTATCAGTTTACTGAAATATTTAATCATTTGTTTAGCGAGAGGTAGTTTCTCTGAACGAAGTTTTGGCCTTTTAAGTATTTCAAAATATTACTTATATATAGAAACATTTTATCAAAATTGTAGATATCACAACGGGACATTATCAACAGCATTGATAGGGAGATGTCTGGGGACTTGAAAGCTGGGTTCAGGTGCATAGGTGAGGACCATATTTACGTCACTATTGTCATTACGTCAGATACGTCATCGTCATTACGTCAGATTGAATTTTGAAGCAATTTCCAATTGTTATATTGACTGCAAGCAGTAAGTGACCAGGCCATTTTAGTTAGAAAACATACCTTATCAGAGAAGGCGATAGAGAAAAATGAGTAAATTTCTCACAATAACTTTATTTTTCCTCATCTAATTCTCCCTCGACTTAATCTATCCTCGATTTTTCTTCTTCTTGCCAGTATTTTCCTCCGATTTTTTCCCAAGCAAGTACCAGAAGTAATTCTAATAGACTATTCTATTGTGGTTTTTGTAGTCATTGGTTCTGTTTTATCTCTTTTGTTTAACTCTGTTGTTGATGATTGAAGTTATATTATATTGCATGGAAATTTTTGTCCGGGAAAAGCGAGTGATTCGAAAATTTTTTCGTGGAAAATCTGCTGAATGGTTGCGAGTAACTAAATTTTTCGACAACTTTAATGTTCTTCTTCTGTTTCCCACTTCTGTTTTACCCAGATTTCTTTTACCTCTATAAGGTAACCTGTCCTGGGGAAGGTCACATTGAAATATTTTCTCGTTCACTTTTCCTGTAACTGTTAAGATATTTACGGGAGCAGCTACAACTTCATTATTTGTGTTTTTTGGAGTTGTCTGTTTCTGTGAATTTATTTTCGTAGGGTCTTGGGTGTAAAGGTTACAATAGAATGATCTTATATATTTTTTAACCCGAACTTCTTTGAAATTTTTCTGAATTAAGCATAACTTAAAGAGTTTCTATGAAACGAGATAGAGAGAACTAAACAAAAATATGTCTCAAAAGATATAAACAAAACATGTTGGCATTAGCAAATGGCCTGAGCCCCGTCTGACACGGTTGCACGTGTGGTATTGATTGAAGTCTTCCGCCTTTATTCACCTGTTCCTTTCATAATTTCTTCCCAGTTCTCTGCGCTCGCAATGCACCAGAGTATTTTGCCGACCGACTATGGAAATCAATGAAGGGTGCTGGTACAGATGACAGCACATTGATCCGTGTTGTCGTTTCACGGTCTGAGGTAAATTTCTTTTTGTAAAGGGGTGCTCTTTATTGCCAGCAGGCTGACGGAGATGCTTCTTGGGGGGCTCTATGGAGATTCTCTATCCCCCTTTAACCATTGAACATATTGATGTATCATGTATGTCATAATTGCATTATTTTACTGCAGTAATTGCAGACAGTGTCAATTAAAAGCATAAATTATTATATCATTGTCCTGGCAAGATAGACCGTCCAAGTGCCGATTCTCGATTGTGTTGAAACCAATGGCAGCCTTGATGATAAGTTCACGTAAATTAAACTGACCTTGAGGGGAGAATACTTCCTATTAACTGATTTAATTCGCATATTACAGTGTTTCTTTTATGTTTGTGATTAGGGAACCAATCTATGACATGGTTGTTGTTTTACCCGCAAATAATGAGGCAGTTTTTGAATACATCTATTTTAAACAGGGAAAAACAGCAAAATGTGTTCCATAGTAGCCCTCATTCTTATCTTTGTAATTATGCAGTTACATTCTCGACGTGAGGGGCATTCCCACTTTAATTTTTTGTGACTATCTTAATTCCTTTTTACTCAGCGTATCAAAATGGTGTTGCTTGGAGATTTGTATTTCTTACAAAAATATTCTCACTTTTTATTTGAGCTGTTTGGAGGGATATTTCTTTAGATGTAAAGATTATCTTTTTTGAATGTTCCAGACTTTAAATGTAAATAATGCTCACGGTGACATTTCAGTTTCATGTATGAAGTTTGTTCTGATGAATTCCAATGGCTTTGTAGAAACCAGAAAATATCCCCCCTTCCCCCCCCCCCAACAAAAGACACTGTTGGACAATTATTTGGCTGACAGCTCTTACTTTTTGTACCAAATAGATTTGCTGTTGACTGTGTTAGCTTTTAATATCTGTCTCTTTTCAGGTTGATCTTGTGGAAATCAAGCAAGCATTTTTGAACAAGTATCACAAAACCCTTTACAAGATGATCGAAGGTGATTGCAGTGGTGATTATAAGAAGCTTTTGCTGGCCATTGTCAAAATGAACTGAGGATTTGCTACAACTTTCTAACATTGTTTTGAACTGTATACGTCATACTATGAGATTTGAGCCGGGCAGTAGAACTGTCTAGATATCCAACATAGATCATTTTCTGTTAAGTGAAAAGTCTTACAGATCAACAAAAAGCTATTCAATTGAAATCTGAAAATTTGCACTTGAAATTTTGCACTGGCATAATTGGAAACTGGTTAGAAAATTGTATTTCTTTTTAATTCATTTTTTGTTAGAAATTCTCTTTCACAGTTGAATTTTATTGAGTTAAATGGGATAGTACTAAATCAAATTTGTTTTTTTTCACTTGCTTGATAATTTTGTGACAAATGGGCTGTCTATTCCGAGCGGGTCTATAATATCTTTTTCCTCTCAGTCTAATAAAAATTTTCTCATAAAAACTTTTTCAACGCAGACCAAATGATTCTTAATCTTTCATGTGGGGTAAGCGTGTTCAGAATAAGCCTATCACTGCCTTAAGATGATTTGCAAACAATCTTCTGGTGGTACAAAACTTGAAAATATAGGCAAGCAGCAATGATTGGTCAACCTAAATAGTCATGTGCTCGCGTTTCTGATTGGCCTATTTCGATCCACAACTGGGTATATATATTTCCTAGCGTAGAGTTTTCTATCTATGTTCTGACGTTTGAAACTTTGAAGAGTGTCAGACGAAAAGCTTTAGTTTACTCAAATGTTTGCTTTTTTCAAAGCCATTTTAAAATAATTCTGATTAGTAAAATCTTCACCAATTCTTAATCTAAATTATATCAACGACAGAATTACCAAATTTCAATAAACTGCTTCGAGTCACTTACAATATTTAGAGAACAAGTAAACGTCACGTTGTTTGTCGTCATCAGAAAATACACTGCTGAATTTGAAAACCGCAACGTGAGAGCCAATGTAACTGGCATTCTTTTGGAATAAAAAACCCAAAAGATACGAGAAAAGATTGACCAGGCATCAATTACCAGGTATCTATTTTTATTGAAAAATCTGAGGCATCACCTACAGTTTGGAAAGTATTTCTATTGGTGTCCCTGAAAACGATCTAAATGATTTGAGATGTGGTCCTTCGATTAAACATAAAGACGGGGTAAAATATTCGGTCTGCTACACCAATCATCAGGACGTTTAACAGTGTTTTCGGAAGCACATTCGGACCAACATTTCATTGATATCCACATGGTGGCCCATGTTGTGATGGGTTAGCTGAACGCACCATGTTGCCTCTCTGTTAAAACGAGGGGCAAATCAATCCAAGAAAATCTCGTACACTTTTTGAGAAAATCATATTGTTTTATCTGGAAATCCCTGGAAATCCTTTTGTTTTAGGGAAAATCTCGTATGCTATTTGGAAGAGTGAATTGCTCCTCGTGTTAAATGTTGGGTTAAGGCACTGTGTTGCAATGTGCATGTACGCAGACAGTATGTTTTGTTCTTTGTATGAAAACGATAACAGAACAATGACCGAGTAAAGCATTGTTTCATTGCCTTTAAATTTTTTATGGTTATTGGCAAATTTTCCTAAATTGGAATTGATAATATCGGGTAATTTATCGGGAAACTTTGCACGTTTTAGTAACAGGAGGGAAACACTTTGAGATCCCTAGACCATCGCGACACCGGAAAACTTGCTATCAGATAGAGGCATTGTCCCCAATCGAGGCTTCTCCGAAAAATTTTAATTTGCACTCATGTGACCCTACGATTACACGGCCTGTCATAATCGAACGAGAGAATGCGTAGAAAGGGTGGTGGCTAATCAAAATGAAAGAAGGAAGTAAAACTTAGCTTAGCTGTGATTAAAAGCCTAATTTTTGCCGTTTAGCTGTAGCAAATATGTCTATTTATTACGCTGTTATTGCTCGAGGTACCACTGTCCTCGTGGACTACTCGGACGCCTCGGGAAATTTTGAACAGATCACAACTTCAATTTTGCCGAGAATTCCTCTCGAGAATACAAAATGCACATATGTATCCCAAGGGTAAGCCTCAATTTCATGTGTTGATGTTAATGCAACGAATGGGATTATTGGTACAAAGAACGCAAAGGGTTTTGATTGGGGCAAAGGGTTTTGATTGGGGCAACAAATATTAGGGTATCAGTCATGGATCTTCACTGATCTGCGGCCTGTATGATGAAGGGTGGGCGTGCTCCAGGCTGATCAACTGTGAAACATCAGAGACATGGAAATTTACAGTTTGGAAATAGGCCTACATCGATAGATTGAAAGTTCTCATATACTATCAACATCTACATATTAATCAGAAAGGCCTATAAGGAAATATTATATCCCAGTAAACAATTTTGAAGATGAGGTTTAACTGTCTTTAGAGACTGGTCAACTAGGATAGAATCCGTCTTTCTTCCCTGCAGAAGTTCGACATTAAGTTTCGGTATCAAAAGTGCAGAAATTTGGTAATGGTTTTTGGTATTTTCAAATTGGTGATTAAGAAGTTTAGATTATTGCAAAAATATACCAATAACAGAAAGCAAAATAGGAGCAATGGAAATTGAGCGACCTTTTCTAATTTCCAACGTCCTAGCAATGATAACGGAGAGTATACTTCCTTTCTAAGGGTACCATTTGTGTTTCTTTTGCATCTAATATATGTCAAATTCCAATGTTTGTGACAATCAAATAATGCTTTCAAGAGAGTATCATTTATCTGATAGGCTTTCTTTGAACTTTTTTTTCTAAAGGTACCAGTTTCATGTTGTCGTGGAAGATGGAATCACCTACCTCTGCCTTGCAGATGGTTCTATGAAGAAAAGAGTACCATATGCCTTCCTTCATGAAGTATGAATCATATTCCCTTTTTGCCTTTTTATACCTTCATGGCCTTCCTAGGAAAGCATGTGATCACACTCACATGCAATGGTACAATGCCTCCAGACACTGAGGAGTGTGTTTAATTTTTGCTTGTTTTTAACTGTTAATTTGAAAACAAATAAGGCATGGAAAACAAATGAGGTCGGTGAAAAAACAAGAAATTTTTTTTTTATATGTTTTTAGCAAAGAAAAGTAAAGGGGTCCCAAAGGAGCTACTCCATGTTCCTGTAATGGGGCAAGGATGGAATTATTGAATTATTGGCTGAACAGTTGAATGCCTTAGCAATAAGTAATATGTTACAAAGATTTTGTGATTGTGCGCAAAAATTGTGACAAGATCATCAGGCGTCCATCATACAAAGATGCTGCAGCTATTTCGGTAAAGCATTTGCCAACGGCCCATATTGTAAAGTTTGCTTTATGCATGCCATTGGTTTTACTTCAGTAATTTCAGTATTCCTACTTCCAGCTGGCTTATGTAGTATGGTTATGCTTATGTAGGGGGTTACAGGCCTGGCCGTTTGTATTTTTATAGGTGAGCTGTGAATCGCTCCCCTCATTTGCTGAGGCGAGCTTAATCATTAACACATAGAATGCACTTTAAAGACAATCGACAGATGACTTAATAAGCCCCTTTAGTATCTGTCAGTTGCCTCAATGTAATAGCCTTAGTCAGGAGTATGCTGTTTTACTTCTTTCAATTTGTATTTGCTTTAACCGTGACTTAGGCACCCCTTTACTTTAAGTATTTAAAAGAACAGACTCTTTCAGTTTCATGTAAAGCTGGCACACCACAAAACAACAATTCTTTTGCAAAACAATCTTTTTGTTGTACAGAATTTGAAAATAGCTTTGAAAAAAAAATTTTAAAACAAGCTGAAGTTATACGTCTAGCACACTTCAGAGAATAAAACGCCAGAACATAGATGGAAAACTCTACGCTAAAATACCCAGTTTTGGATCGAAATAGGCCAATCAGAAAACGCGGGCACATGACTGTTGAGGTTGTCCAATCAGTGCCGCTTTCCTATTGAAAATGTTACCAACAGAGTCCTAAGGTGAAAACGAACTCACTTGGACAAAAGCGGTCGATCATGTTTATATAGTAGATATATTCACAAACTGTTAGATGGAACGATGATCAGGCTTTGCCATTAATGCCAAACATGTCGCAGTTACAGTTTTTCATCCAATCTGGGTTTTTCAGTAAATGCTGCTGGATAGTGGAATTCCATGTTTTGATTGTCGTTTTTGATCTGCAAGACAGAGTACCTTGTTCTCTTTGAGGGATAGTTTTGTTTCTATTGCTGGAAGGGACCTGCTGTCTTATTATATCCCCAATCTACAATTCCTACCAATTTCTTCGACTTTCCTTCCAAAAATATTCCTGTTTTCTTAAGATTGAAAGGTTCTAATCGCTACAAACGTACCTTTCGGTTAACTATCCTTTTCCAAATAGATCAAAGTTTATGCCTATCATAACAAAAACCGCCCAACAAGCAAAAAGTTAATTGCCAAAAATGCAATGACGGGAGAAATCGCTGCTACAAAAATAAACCAATTAACCCTTGTGCGTTTTCATAATTCTCTGAATAGGAAATTTTAGGGGAGCGATTCTTCTTTCATGTTCTGTTTAGAAGAGCAATTCATAGTTCGCCTCAGGTTGCAAGGGGAGCGTGGAGGCGCCTCAAACGTGGAGGCTATCGCTCGTCTCAAACGGCCAGGCCTGGGGTTATGTAGTTTAGTATATTTGTTTGACAGGAATATGCTGTTTTTTTAGGGTTTTGTTTGCACCACAAATTATTTATGTTATATAGTTTTCTTATGAAAATGGAAAACAATCTGCCCCTTTGATATTTCATTAACAACTTTTTTTAATGGCACATAAAAAATAATTTGGAAAACAGCAGGATGTGATAAAGGCATGACATGTTCAAGGGTTACACTTAAAAACAGAACGACATTGCTTTGAATTTAAAGATGGAGAAAACTTCTACAAAATCATTGTGTTTCAAGGGTTTGTACTGAGAAGTTTCATGCCATTTTCAAATCCTACCATTTTCAAAATTGTTTTCATATCTTTTTTGACAAAACACAGTCACAAGTGGGGGTCAAATATTGAGATTTTTCAGGGGTTCCATTGAAGCCTACTACCATGGGTGGCTAACTGCAACTATAATGTTTTTCAAATAGCTTTAGACTAAGTAAAGATCCCAGGCAATATTCATAAGCTTTTCATCATTGATATGTCACAAGATATTCTATTGTTACAGTTGTGGGAGAACTGGAAAAATTACTTGAGAATTAGGGTTTTTAAGGCTATGTAGCCATATGATATGTAGCTAATTTTTTTATCAAAGTGCCAATATCACTCCAGCACATGCCTGTAACAGTCTAGGGGTGCAAAATGGCACGCTTGTGCTAATTTATTCCCAGGAAGACCTGGCCTTTTAAGGTAGCCAAACAGTAAATGCACATATGAACACACATGATAGACAGACAGGAAAGATATACAGACGAGCACATATGAACAACATTAATACTGAGTTTTTCTGCATTTTAGAGGAAACCATAACATTGCTTACAAAAAACTTAATCATTCAAGTTATAAATAAAGTAAAATGTGGAAGCAGGAAATAATATCTTCCAAAATCTATATGGGAACAAAGGGGTATTGCCATTCAATACACATCTTGAAAACATGGTACTTCTCATGGTTTTATAAATATTTCATTGACCTGAATGGAATTTTTCATAGATCAAGAGACGTTTCACATCAGGAGCATTGAAAACAAGAGCAATGGTTTGCAATGCATATGAACTGAGAAGGGATTTTGGGGAAGTTCTCAAATCACAACTTGTAAGTCAACACAAATATTGTCTGTCAAATCTCTGCACTCCCCTTTTGAAAGTATGCTTTTAGAAAATGAATAGATTATTTAGGGTTGTGAATCAGAGCATGTTTGAATTATGCCATGTTGCCCTTTTCATTATTAAAGCAGTGGAATTTAAGCTTGTGCTTTCGTTCACGCTATGCTGATTAGTGGCATTTGAATCTTGTCAAGTTTTTTGCTTTTAATAATCTGCATTTACATTCATTTGGTGCTTGATGATTGCATTAAGCATGAACTTTTTTGCATTTTGGAACCATCTTTTTCTATACATCAACCGTGTGCAGCCCTACTTAAACATCATCAAGAATTCTTTGGCCGACAGGTATATAATGATGTGCATGTATACAGAACCTAACAGCTTCTCATAGATGATATGGATGTTTTTATTTTTTTAGCTAAGATACAATAAAGGTGATTTTGAAGATCCAAATCTTGCAAAGATTCAGCAGGCCCAAAAAGAGGTTGATGATGTTAAAGGAATAATGACTACAAATATTGGTAAAAAAATTATTATTATTAATAAACACCAATCAGTAAAAGAGCAGCTTATCTGACCTGTCCCTGTAAGCTTCTTGTAATATGAAAGTGTTATTGTAGGCATCGATACTTCAGTTTCTGATACTTAAATTTTACAATATTCAAGTGCTAGTAAAGCTGTCCGAGAGATTCATACCAAGAGATTCACAAAAATTTAGAAACAGGCACTGCCATTGTAATAGAGGAGATCGATAATCTTAATCATTGTCTCCCTGACCTAATATAATCTTGTTGGATCCATCTGTCATGACAGTCAATAGGAAATTTCCTCACCTTTTATTTTAGGTAAAGTATTGGAAAGGGGAGAGAAGCTTGAAATTTTGATTGAAAAAACAGAAGATTTGGAGGCTTCAGTAAGATAATTTTTATGATATATTTTATTTAAATTATAACTTTTTTGAAATAGACATTTGAGTTTATAAATGGCCTGAGCATCAGAAAGAGATGGCAAAGATTAGTAGATAGTGCCATTTTATTACATGGTTTTGTTTTAACACACACTGAAAAAGTTATATATGAAATTACTTTGTGTCTTTTCTTATGCATGCATTGCATGATATGCATCAATTGAACCCACATCATAAGATTTTTGATCGTGTTTGTTTCCCACAAAATAATGCAAATAGGGAAGTATGCGGTTTCTTGTTTGATATTTGTCTAAGTTATAAAAACTGTGCTGGTGTAGAAAGCTTTCTTAAAGACTTGTAAAGAAAAAGACATATATAATATTTTCTTCTCGAGTCAAAAAATGGAGCAGGTATCTTGCTGCTCTGCATTCATTAACCATTGTATTGCAAAAAGCAATTCATAGTATGCTGAAAACGAAAGATAAATCATATGTAAAAAGGAGGAAAGGTTTTTATTTGTTGATTCAGAGACAAACACAAACAAGGCAGTAGAAAGTGGACGATGGAAGGAGGTTATTTTTTCTACACTAGGGGGCAAGAGGGGTACATTAAGTAGTATTTGGGAAAAGAAATGGAAAATATAATAATAAGGCTCAAGTTGTTGGATTTTTGTAGTAATCTTGACTGGCATTATATTTGAAAATTTTCTTGGGCCTAGTATTTTCTTATATCAACATAACTAAGGGGGCTCCAAAATCATTTTCATAGACACACAGCAAAGTACCATAAAAGCTCTTTTAAGCTCTTCTTTCTTTTAAGCCCCCTCTCTATTAAGCCCCCACAAATCAAGCAACAATCTGAAATAAGCAAATAAGCCCCCTCTATTAAGCCTTCCTCTTTAGCCCCTGATCTAAAACAAAGAAAACATGAACATTGACTGGGTCTCATAATTGTTGTGATGACAATAAGATCATATAAAGATTTAGTTGTAAAGATTTACTTATGTGCATTTGAAGTCAGTCAAAATTTGTTTAGAAGATGTCCCAGGGGTTATCAATTGATCTCTCATGAATCTTATGAAGATTAGGACATTATGATTAATTACTTTTTAAAAACTTATGAAACTGCTAGCAAAGTTCTTTGAGAACATTTAAAGTATGACATTTTAATAACAAAAATGCATGGAGGATTTTTTATAACAATTAAATTATTAATAAAGCCCCCCTCTCTTTTAAGCCTCCCCCTCTAGGACTGACAAAAATTAATAATCCTCTTGGGCTTAATAGAGCTTTTACAGTAATTATCAAGTCTTTTTCCAATATATTCCAAAGTATTTGAGACAAAAATTCAATTACCACCATACCACTCCAACTCAACTCTACTCAACTCTCACAAGGACTATCATGCCAAACCAATTAGTAAAATCCAGTCCCTTGGAGCAATGCAATTTATGCGACTTGGTTCTTTTAATTGAAATTTTAAGCAACAGATTTCTCAAGTGTGACGTCATAAAAATCCATTTTTATAATTTTCGAATTTTGACCACATAACATGAAAGAACACCATGAAATACTGCCATATATGCAAAATCAGTTGAATTGATCAAAAATTGAATGAGCTATGGCCAATAGAAGATTTGAAGTTTTGGCTTAGCTCATAAAGTTATTCTTTAGCTGGTTTTTCAGATTTAGAGGTATTTCATTATGCTATTTCAGATTATTGGAACAAATTTCAAAAATTCTAAAAATTGATTTTTGTGACGTCAGCACTTAACTCTATTGACATTTTTTGTAGTGTGACCATGGCTTTGGATGTGTTTATTATTTGGCCCACTACATCTTCAACTCACATCCCTTTTCCAAACAATTTTACATGCTTTTGATTTTGCATTCTAATATTTTGGAGAATTTGGTTCACCAGGTATTATCTGCGAAGTACTTTGGGAGTAATATAATAAACAAAATCAGAAAACGGATAAAGTTTCATGTATATATTATTTATTAGCGAACACCCAAAAAGTGTATCATACTCTTCTAAATACGCTACCTTACTGTTGATTTCTTAATTATTTTTGTTTTCTCGTGCACATTTTGTAATAAAACAGAGTTTTCTTGCCTCTTTTTTCAGTAGTCAACCAATAACTGATGGTCAATGCCCTTGAAAGATTCCAGGGGAATTCTGATTTCGTACCTATTCAAAGGCCAATAAATCTCCCCTGAAACTGCTAGCTATCTATCTTATAGATTTATATATAGATACTTTACACTTTATTGATATGCCTTTCCTGTATATATGCATCTACTGCAGAAATGAAATAAGTGAAAATAAACGCAAACTGATAGTAACTATGTCCGATGTTTGAAAAAATCGTCATACAAATACCAATATCTGGTAACTAACTACAAAGTAATAATTTTGTTGAACATGAACAATTTCAATCTTGTGACACAAGTTTCTAAACCAAGAAATGAAATCTTAATGAGATGAAAGTTCTTCAGCTTTTTTCAAATTCCTTTCTTGCCACTTGCTCAGAAAGCCGAAGCGTGGCCAGAGATTTTCCCAAAGCTTTTTACCTTACTTTTGAGATTCCAGGGTAGATTAACCCTAGATCTGCGAGATAACATTCGCTTAGTGACAAATTTGATGTGGAATGACCAACTCTACTTTTTTCTTACTTTAAATACAAAAATCTGCAATCAGAAATTCAAAAATTTGTAACTATTTTCTCACATGTATCACTCTTTTCAAATTTGCATAATTGTTTTGAGTTTTAGATATTTTGTTGTCTTGTTGGTCTACAAGCCTACCTAAGGACTAAAACATAACGAATTTTAGGTGAATTTAGCAAAACCGACAGTTTAAAGCGTCATTCACGCTAACTTTGGGTTTTGTTGCTCCACAGTTGATCAACTGTTGATGACACTGTTGCATCCGCTATAGAATGTGTGTCATCCGCTATAGAATGAACGTAAATCTGAATATACGTCATAAATTTGTGTCACAAGTTTGTTAGCTTTTTGAAGAATGTTGTCAAAAGTCCTAGAATATTTGGGGATTTTTTACCAGTTTCTTTTGTCAAAATTAAACAAAGGACTTACTAGTATTTTGGCACAGTATAATCTACGTTGTTTTCTGCAGGCACAAACTTTCAAGAAAGGAACAAAGCAGCTGAGAAGAAAATTTTGGTGGCAGAATACAAGAAACTGCATAATTCTAATCGTCGTTGTCATAATTTTGCTAGGTGTCATTGCACTTATTGTCTTAGGATCGCTTGGAGTTCTGTAATTCGTTTAGAATGTCACCCAAAAGAGTTGAAACGTGGCGTGTATATGCAGCTAATACGTTTTTGTACCGACAAGATAGTCAATCATTATGTAACCTTTTGTTTATCACTGCTAGTATTTTTTTCATACATTTTGGTTCGAAGATTTGCTTCCCTGAGTTAACTGGGTCTTGCAAGAGCACATTTCAGACTTTTATTCCATGATAAGATTAGTGTTAATGTTCTTTTAAACACTGATTACGCTCCCTTGAATTTATTTGCAGTTTTCTCCTAAACGTTATTATGTAGATTTATCCCTCCCTCTAACCCCAAGGAAAGTCTAATATTTGCAAGCAAATTGGACCTTTTTGTATTTTTCTACACATATGTCTTAATGGCATGTTGCTGAACATTTTTTTTTAGTATTTTTTCACTATTTTTTGCCTCGTTTAATATTCATCGCGAGCTGCACGTGTTCAAGGTGCTGTTAGTGTTTTCACCCGCTGCATTTCAGCCGCTGTTTCCGAAGATATTTGAATAAGCTGTCATATAAAGAGTTTGAAGGCTAATAAAAACCTACACTTGATTAGCATATTTTTGAAAGTCAGTACTTTTATAAACGAGTTTACATTTAGTTACTTTGTTGCGGATTTGTAGAGATGTATGCAAGTGAACGCAGAAATCGAAATTTTCACATGCAAGTATCTGTTAAATCCCCTCGTTTATATAAGCTGTGGTGTTTGCTGGCCTTAAATTTCACTGCGTTATTACTTGTTTTTTTCAATCCTTGTCTGTGTATGCTCGTTTGACAAGTTGTACGATATCTTTCTTATTGGCATAAAATATATATTTGAAGTATTATATCTTCGCAGGCAAATTTGTTGTGCTTAACAGCTGAATATTTCTTGCAATTATTAAATTCAATAAAATGTTAGAAAGCAATTGTTATTTTTTCACTCTTTTATGCAGATTATATAAATTTCTCAAAAGTTCAGGTATATCCTGAGATAAGTACTAAGTTTTGAATCCTAAAAGATAAATACAATGTAACAGTATTTTCTTTCACTTGCTTGCGAAGAACTACATTAAAATGCCTGCCAAACAATTGGAACACCGAACAATTTGCGTTTTACTAAAATGCCACTACTTCTGCTCCCCCACCCCCTCAGAACAATAATTAAGTTTCCTTCTCTACCCTGGGTGCCAGAGCCTCAGTGAGAAAGTGGATCGGTGAAAGAGAAGGTAGATGACCACTTTTCGACCGTCAATCTCACTAAGGATGTGGGGCGTGGCGGACGCACACAGGGTTTTACATCGGCCATGGGAAATTTTGGGGACCCCTATTATTCAGAAACGGTTTTTAAGAGGTTCTTACTTTTTAAAATGGGAGCTCTTCTTTTAACTTCGCGTGTACGTTGTGCCTGTTAGTTAGTCCGTCCGCCACTGGGTGTGGCTGGGGCATTTACCATTTCTTGACCGCAACGTCGGTTCGGATGCTTGTCTCGTTGCTTTATTCGTTTGCATTTGCTTCAGTTTATTTTTTACATTGATTAAAACATTACATATATGAATTCAGCATTGTTTATATACCGATAGGCTGCCGGTTTACAAAATGAAATGAACATACAATTAAGTAACAAACATAATGTTTTTAATAAGTGATGCTAGATAAATTGTTTCTAGTGTCAATGTCACCCATTTCACCAATACGGACAACATGTTGTCGGGACCTAGAACCTCTTATACAAATTACTGCAGTTCTAAGTAAGCAAAAACTCAGCTTTCTTTTGATCCAAGCAGAGGTTTCACTAACGTTTTGGTGATGTTTTTCAGCAATTAGTTGCGACACACGTTGGAAAAATTTCCTCGTGTTCCTTTATTTGTTTCTTTAATTTTTTGTTTTTGAGCAGCGTCGGAACGAGACACTGTCATGAAAACGAGACATAGCCGTTACAATCAGCAAGAAATGCAATGGCGGAAAGTTTGAATGAGACATTTGTTATTCCTGTGAACAACGGAAACGAACAGTTGTTCTCTGAAGATTCACTAGTTGCTGGGGATTCAACGAGATCATTGCTAACACCTCTCTATGCTTCAGACTATGAAAGTATCTCTAAAAGGTTAGTTAAACTACTTTACACACTGTTACGTCGCAGAAACGGGGACAGCTTAGGCCTATTTTCCGACCGCACGATCGAAAATCACATATGATGTATGCAACAAACGATGTATGCAACAAAAAACTGTTTAATGTTTTGAACTCATAATCAAATTCTGTTTGCAAGACAAGAACCAAAACAATACCTCCGATGGTTTCTGGCTTTGCAGGAAAAACTTGAACCTCTCCGAACGACCTTCACTTATTACACGAAGGTGCTTTCTCCGAAACAGTTTGGATGACTGATGCATCGTTTTGCTTCTTAATTTATAAATAAAAAGAGCGATTTACCTCATGTCTGCCCAAAAGTTCCATTTAAACACAGGACAAAGATTATAAAGATAAGAACAAGACAACTTGTTTCATGAACAACCTGTTTATATCAGACCTGAGATCCTGTCTTGACTATAATATATAAAATAAAACTATAGATATATAGCTACATTTGATAATAAAATAATAGAAATCAAGCAAACCAGATGTTGATAGTATTTACTAAAGCCAGGTTGGAAAACATGTATGATCTTGGCTATTGTAGCTACGAGCAGCCCAGGTTGGTAAACATGCCAGAGTGCAAAGTATATTTTGTGTGTGGGGAATTATTTTCTGTCGCTCACGCTTGCGCGGGAACAAATCATGTTGCAAAATGACAGGTTAAAAGCTGCGGGATTTCATTTTAAAATGGCACTTTAAGTGCTCGAGATTAGGCTATGCGCGGAATTCACACAAAAGTCAATGTTCCAACTGCTCGGATTAATCCAAATTTGCAAAAATGCGCGGACGGGATTTGAGCAAAAAAGCAGGCCTGGCCGTTTGAGGCGAGCGATAGCTCGCGCTCGCCTCCACGCTCCCCTCGCAACCTGAGGCGAGCTATGAATTGCTCTCCTAAACAGAACATGAAGGGAGAATCGCTCCCCTAAAATTTCCATTCATTTGCCCTTTTCCTATTCAGAGAACCCTGAAAACGGGTTAATTTGCTTATTTTTGTAACAGCGATTTCTCCCGTCACTGCATTTTTTGCAATTAACTTTTTGCTTGTTGGGGGGTTTTTGTTATGATATGCATAAACTTCGATCTATTTGGAAAAGGATAGTTAACCGAAAGGTGGTTTGTAGCGTTAACCGAAATAGTCAAACGTCGTTTGTAGCGATTAGAACCTTTCGATCCTAAGAAAACAGGAATATTTTTGGAAGGAAAGTCGAAGAAATGGGTAGGAATTGTAGATTGGGGATATAATAAGACAGCAGGTCCCTTCCAGCAATAGAAACAAAACTATCCCTCAAAGAGAACAGGGTACTCTGTCTTGCAGATCAAAAACGACAACCAAAATATGGAATTCCACTATCCAGCAGCATTCACTGAAAAACCCAGATTGGGTGAAAACTATAACGGCGACATGTTTCGCATTATTGGCAAAGCCTGATCATCGTTCCATCTATGTAGCAGTTTGTGAATCTATCTACTATATAAACATGGCCCACTGCTTTTGTGTAGACCTAAGTGAGTACGTTTTCACCTTAGGACTCCGTTGGTAACATTTTCAATAGGAAAGGGGCATTTATTGGAAAACCTCAACAGTCATGTCCTCGCGTTTTCTGATGGCCTATTTCGATCCAAAACTGGGTATTTTAGCGTAGAGTTTTCCTTCTATGTTCTGACGTTTTATTCTCTGAAGAGTGCTAGACGTATAATTAAGTTTGTTTCAAAATTTGTTTTTTAAAGCCATTTTCAAATTCTGTGCAACAAAAAGATTGTTTTGCAAGAGAATTGTTGTTTTTGTGTTGTGCCAGCTTTACATAAAACGGAGAGAGTCTGTTCTTTCAAATACTTCAAGTAAAGGGGGATGCCTAAGTCACGGTTAAAGCAAATGCAAATTGAAAGAAGTAAAACAGCACACTCCTGACTGAGGCTATTACATTAAGGCAACCAACAGATACTAAAGGGGCTTATTAAGTCATCTGTCGATTGTCTTTAAAGTACATTCTATGTGTTACTGATTTAGCTCGCCTCAGCAAATGAGGGGAGCAATTCACAGCTCACCTATGAAAATACAAACGGCCAGGCCTGAAAAAGTATACCCAAACTTTGCAGTCTGGTAAACATGTATGATTTTGTGGGTAGTTCAAAGTGATCAATGGCACTTTAACAAGCAGAAACATTTGAGCAATGATGCCCATATATACATTACTATACTATACTCGAATTCATTGATATTTTGGGTCACTAGAGCACAAAAAGTCCAGCGTTGCATGCCAAAGGAATAATAAAGAGAGGTTTGCAAGCAGAAAACATTATGCGAATGAGTATTTCATGCTAGAGCTTGTTGAGAACTGTTACATATACTCTGCAGACTGGGCTATATGCCTTTTGCATTACTACATTGAATTTGGTATCTATATCATATAAGCTACAGTGATGTAATTTATACTGAAAAAAGTTTTTTCAGTTTCAGTAAGGCTTTCGAGTGAAATATCACTGTATTGAGCTTAATTTACTTAGTAACCATCTGGATATTAGATATAGCTTGTATCAATAGCTTCTGTGGTCTTGGCAAACCATTTAACTGTCTTTTTTCTCACTTCAGATCAGTATCATCTGCATCAACATCTAGATCATCTTCTAAATCATCATCATCATCAAGCTCAAGCAGTAGCTGCTCTAGTGAAGATGAGGCATCGGATCAAAGTTCTTCAACAACCTATGCTAGTCTAAAAAAGCACAAAAGGTATATTGCATCATTAAAGACCCCTCAAAAGAAAGTACCACCTCAGAGTTATGGTTATAGAAAGTCCAAAGGCCCTCCAAGGTATGGAAATTTGATGATCATGTTGTCTTGTGTGCCAGAGAAAGCCAATCACATACAAATGTTATACATTCAACCTGCTTGCTAATAAAGAAGTTCAATTCAAACTTTTGATAAAGAAAAAACCACAAATTCTAGCTAAAAGATTTCTAGAAAGACTATTTTCAAAGTTGCAAATTTATATTTGGTAATTGCAATAATTCTGAGCAGGCTCTAGAAATAAAACTAATAGACATAACAGTATGCAAAGTTCCTTGACTATGAATGTTTCTACTCTCAGAAAAGTACTCTAGCAGCCATGTTCAAAATACTCTACAAAAAAGGACAACATTCTTTTGCAAATTGGGGCCAAACTTTTTTTGGTTTAATTGCAACAGATATCTTTTAAACCCATCAAATAGAAATGGATCTGTCTACCATTACCCAACTTGTTTTTTGTATCTTTGTAATGGCTTTGACAGTAGATGATATATACAATATAACCCTGCATAGAAGAACCCTCTAAGATAGTAGGTAGATTTTGAAACCTTGTCTCAATAGGACATACAGGAGCAGCAAGTCAGGCCCTCTTACACTTTGTTAGTATCTAAAAGGTGTTTTTGTACTGGGTACGACAGCCACATAAATTCGATCATAGAAATGGAAGATAGGAAAAAAAACCTCTGCTTCTCCCCTTGGCTTTCTGTTTACAAACTGGAAACTTTGTGGCTCTGGTACCCAGGGTAGTTTTTAAGCTGTTTTGGTGAGAAAAGATGGTTAGTGTCCTTATATTTTTGAGATGGAATATCAGTGCTGTTGCCTGATATGGGTGTAATAAGAAGCCAGGGAATCCGTGCTTCTGTACTTTTCTGAAATGCAAATTGGTTACATCAAAGAGTTGAAGATTTTGTTATAAAGCAAAGCTCAACTATTTCACTATTGCTACGGTCTCTGTCATAGTAACTGGTGAATTTATGGAGGGCTGCTGCTCCTGAGCAGGACTGGAACCATCTGTAGATGACTTTTCTGTCTATAGTGAACAAGGATATAGTCCCTGTGAAAGTTTTGAGACCACACATTCTTCATTTACAGAAAGTGCCGCTGTTGTAAAATTTCAATTTCAAAGTTTTTGCAATACCTTTCTTACTTGACGATTATGATCCACGTTCAGGTACATAGGTTACATGCTGTCTGTCGTGTCGTGTGGACCTTTCTGTGGTGGACTTTGCTTCTCTATCCAAGAAATATTGACCGAACAAACTTGTTAGTCTGTCTTGAAGCTCTGTCCTTCTCAATCCTCTGTATTTTCATCGATATTGTCAACAACAATACCCTTCAAAAGCATCTTATCTAGTAAGGATTATTGCCAACTGAAGCAATATTTGTCTGTTTGTTTGCAGTCTGAGAACTGCCAATGTCGACCAGCAAATGAAGATTCTTACAAAATCCTGGGAAGAATGGATAATCGAGAAAGCTATTGAAGATCTGAAGAGAATTCAATTGAAACGTGAGCTTAAGCAGAAGAAGAAGATTGAATATAAATTAAAAAAGGAAGAGAAACAAAGAAAGGAAAAACAAGAAGAGGATAACAGAAAAAGATGGCTTGCTGAAAAAAATTATGAATACGAAAAACGAAAAAAGGAATTAGCAGCACAAAAAGAATTTGAAAAACTGAAAGAAGAACAACAAAAAGAAATAATAAGAACGAAATCAAAAATTGCATATGAAAGATGGTTAAACGAAAAGGAAGAGAAAATGAAAGAAAAAGTTTCAGAAGAAAAACAGAAGTCTTTAGAAATGAGAGAGAAAGGAATTGAAAGAAGAAAAGAGAGTCAACTGGCGTACGAAAACTGGTTAAGGAGTGCAAAGGCTGAAAAGAAAAAGAAAGAGAATCGGAAAAGAATAAATGAAGAATCTGATGAATACTTCAGAAAGTTGACAGGTGCAATGCCGAGCTTTGTTAACCCAGAACCTTGGAACGGAACTTTAGAGCAACAAAAATTATACCCTTTTTTGAGTTTAAAAGAGAAAAAACCTTACCAATCACCTCCGCTACTTTGGAAAGATTATTACGAACGACTGGACAAACGTAGATAAAAGCGAATTTAGAGGTGGCTTTCTGTTCTAGTACACCTGTTTTTTATATGATTAGCCGTATAAGAAGCACGTGTTATCTTTACGGTCATATCATCTCAGGAAACTCATAATTATTACATTGCATTTGTACTGTGGTCATAAAAGAAAGCTCATTCGTTGCTCATTTTGCTCTTATTGTTTTGAAAGGATTACACCTAGATATGAATTTCAGTATTGAGTTCTCCACTGTTCTATAATGTGCGATGCACGTCAACTTTTTAGGCTTAATACGGAGAGATATCATTGTTTTTTCCTTTGTGCTCCTTTTGGCATACAAAGAGGAGAGACTTATCTGTAGAGAAATTTTCATCAAAGCTTGATGTTTGCTTCCTCTGTAAATTGTCCGTCTAATTGTATTTAATGATATGCAGGTACATGAGTTTTTAGATTTTAGCTATGTATACAGGATTGGCTCAAATTTTATTGATAAACTGGGTTGTTTCCATGGTTATTTAGCTTTAAAAAGTATTGATTATTATAAGTCAACAATAAAAGAATTTTAAATATATTATTTATCAAAAGTGTAGAAAACGACTACTCGCAAATTCAAACCTCACAAAATACGATTATGTATGAGGATTGATTGTGTTTGTAGAGTAACTATTCACAGAGCCTTTAACCTAACTGTAAATACTTTCATATCTTCATAAAGACGCTCAGGGTTAACACTTTCCAAACTCGTCATTACTGCTTACGTTTTGACTGGTATTTTGTAAATTGCTATGTGAGGCACGCTATCCATGGTCGAAACCTAAAATTGAACTAGAATCTAAGTGTAAAATTAGAAAAAGATAAGTAGTACCATATCAGTTAAACTGGATCAATGTTATTATCATAAAATTGGCATTTTCAAAGTATTTATCATCTAAGTTTCTTTAACATCCACATCGAAGGTTGCAAATGTGCAAAAGCCAATATTTTTCAACATTTTAATCCAATTTTGTTGTCTAAAAGATTTTCTAGTATTAGTAGCTTTATTATGGAAATACTTTACAATTTTGAAAATTGTCTCCGCTATCTCTGCTAAATGCCCTGTCTCAGTGACGACTTCCATAGCGATTAACACCTTTACTTGTGTGGTAAACTGAAACAATTTGGTCTATAGCCTCATACCCAAGTAGCGCTGATACCGTCTTAGCAGCTTGTGTTTCCAAAGAATACATAGCTGGGACAATCTTTCACAACATCCTTGGGAAATGGTGTTATTTCTTTGACTTACATTCGTTTTGTCCTTGTGCCAACTTTTCTATGCAGTCTTCAAGTGCCCTTGAAAATCAATCATTCGAGTTTTTCCTTTCTCGCATGTTCATACAATGATTCCACCTTTCATAAAACTCGAAACTAGAAATGCCTATAGCCTACTTTTACAAAGGGATAATAATTCTGTTCTTCCAATTTTTATGTAACCAGCTCAAAACTTCGATAACTTTGTCAAAACGTCGACATAAACTTTATGGTACATTTATACGAAGATAGCTGGATGGGAAAAATACGAAGAAATTGAGAAAGGCAAGGAGATGAAGGAAAATAGACCAGGCTCTTTGCTTTATTATCGGAGCTAGGCTTTCAAAAAGCTGTGTAGTTTCTGACTTGTATTAGCTCTTGGTTGGCATGCGGCGGAAAAGATGAAAGAGAGAAATAGGCCATTTGATCTTGCTAAGAAGGGGGAATTTCAAACTTCCGAAAAAATTCAGATTTGATTTTAAAAGATTTAATCTCACATTGTGTCACAAAATGAAGCTTCTTCCTATCAGCTGATATGATATTGTCAAGCAAAGCTATTCTACAAGAAGTTCTTCCATGACATGTGAGCATATATTTTTGGTCATCCAAAATCTTTCCATTCATTTTATGTAGTTAGCCCATTAACAGTGATTTTATAGTAAGTGATTATGCTTTTTTGAATTTTTTAAACACGTCTGTTGTTGATCCGGCTTGCTTAATGTAATTGATTTATTATCAGATTCCTTCCGATTTCTTCCTTGACCTGAAGATTTATTTCACCCAACCATTCCTGCCAAAAATTCATTTCTCGTCATCCTGGTGGCGAAATCTTCCCTAAAGAGCAAGTTAAATGGGCTGGGTCACTTGTAAGGCCGCAGGACAATGTCGTTATTTTGAAGCTTGTGGATGGGGTGAATCCACTACAGCAGCTGAACTGATATTTGGTAGGGAAGTGTATCGCCGCGCATCGTGAAGATCTCAATGTTTATGACACAACAGATATTAATTTTGCATTCCAAAATACATGTAGAATTATTAAAAACATATATTTGGAGAATTTTGAATGGATCAGTCCATAAAAAAGAAGCCTGCTCGCAGTGCAGCGGGCAAGGAGAAGAGAACTTCCTATAGGGCCGTTTGGCTGAAAGGACAAAGACGCGTTTATTTTGAAGCACAGGTCCACGAACAGTAGAAATTGCTGAAGACTAATGGAAAATTCAAAAACGACCCAGACCTGGCAGCTTATCTGATCTCATAATAATAAATATAATGATAATAATAATCAATTTATTTACAGTAGGCGGGGATAATATAGCTGTTTATGTACAATTTGTGTATAAGCTAATTTAGGCCTAATTTGCAAAAATTTAGAATAAAAAGCAATTAAGAATGAATGATTAATAATTACATATATACAAACTAATTTAGGCCTACTTTACAAAAATTTAGAAATTAAAGCAATTAAGAATTAATAATTACATTTATAAAACAATTAGTTAATTAATGAAAGAAGAGAAATTGAAGATTCAAAAAAATTAAATTTCACAATGCATTTACAGGTAAAAGATGTTTTAAAATTTTCAAACCAAGACGACTTTTTTTTATTTTCTAGTAATCTCACTATAATTCAGGCGACAGGAAAGGTAGTATTCAGACCTACCCTACGTACTGAATCTTTCTTTGGCCTTGTTAGGCCATATATGAATAGGATTACTGCTAGTCATCGTCTTCGCTCTCGTCTTCCTCCATTGAAGCTATTAAAGATGTAGACAGCGCTTCAAGCATTATTTCATCGTCCGCCATTGTGTAAGACAACGATTTGTAAACAAAATCCCTGATACACGCAGGCTGTCCCTCACAGAACTTTTTTTTACAGTTACGTGACCCAGCCCCTTTAAACCCTTTCCATATGTCTGGTCGCTGAATATAAAAAGGGACTGCAGATAACGATGGTGCAAAGAGGCACGCGGGGCAAAAATGTCATTGGAAAACAAGCTTCTCTTTCTTGCTCTTGAGGTTATGCACTCTTAATGCAGCCATTTCTTGTCGTATCTCGTGAATCCAGAATAATGTAAAGAGGATTGAGGATTTTAAAGTTATTAAGTAAACAAATTCAAATTATTAGAAGGTTTAGAAAGATACGTCTTCCCTTTTTGTGAAATCATATCAATTTCTGTTCTGTCATGGCAGTCAAAAGGAGTCTCTTCCGTTAGAAAGTCATAAGATTAGCCCCAATGGTCGTGGTAATTTCACATGACATGTGAAATTATAGACTCAGTTGCTTTGTGAGGGAAGGGTCTGAAAAGTATTTTTCGATTATTCTTCGACTTCCAAAATTAGTTTTAAAATTGGTGTGGTCGCTGATCTGTAGAAGGATGAAAAGAGCCTAGCCTTTTCCATGATGACTGCCTTTATATGTTTAAACGGTTCGTTTTAACATATGATTTAATAGTTAGGCCTTTTTTCTTTATATATGAGCAGAAATTAACTGCCATTCAATTTTTAGATAAATTAGGCTGCTACAATGGACATAGCTGCATAGAATGGTTTGTAACAAAAAGCAGCTTCATTATGACATAACATAACCCATGTTGCACGCAACTCAAGCCGCAACATTGCGGCTTTATTGCGGATGTTTGCTTTTTGTCGTTTACATCGAACCAACTTTGGAATTATTTGTTTCTCTTAAAGCCTGTTTAAGGCATTCTGTTGCTTGCTTCATCTTCAAGTTTTTAAGCAACCCGAGTTCGCAATTTCTAGTAGGAACTTTTTGCTTTGCGTTTTGGCAATTTAACGGATACATAATAACTTTTTACATTAAAGCAAAGGCCTCAGCATTAACGTTACTATCTCTTCTTTGTAATCAAGAATTTTCTCTTTCAGTTTCCAACTCAAACAAAGCGTATATTCCTGTGTTCGTTGCTATCAGTCCGTGTTCTCCCTAGGCTTGATTTACAGGAGAGAAATTATATTTCCAACTTTATGTTAAACCTAGGTTGGCAAATGTCGTGTAGAAAGGGCTTGAATCCACAACAATGAAATGCTAGCAAATCATAGCTTTACGTTGATGACTCAGTTATATGGTATTTCCTGCTTTCTGTATCATTTGCCGAAACTTCTGCCATTTAGCTTAAAGATACCGAAGTTCAGGTAGATGCTTTGTTTCTTCACATCATGTGATCAAATCTCCCTAGTGAGGATCACACCTCAGCAGCTGGTGGCCTCTTTTTGGCGATTATAGTAATCTCCGATTGACGTTAGCTGAAGCTCCATGATATTTGTTCGATCAAGCTCTCTCTCTCTCTCTTTCTCTCTCTCCAATATGTCGTTGCATATGTCACTACCAGACTTGTCGGAAACGAGCTATTTCGAGAAAAAGACGGTTTTAGAAGAATTATAACGCTTATAGCTGTTGCTTGCCGGAATCTCGACCTTTATTACTAGCTAACGAAATCAGAGTGCACAAATAAGAACGACCCGTTGGCAAATGTGAGATATTCTCTAATTCAATTTACCGAATCATGTGGACACCGTTTGTCTGGTGGCTTCAACTCAGTTCGGCCAAGTCAAAGCGGGTATCATCGATGTTAAGTATCCTGCAGGCGCGATTGTCACATGCGCAATAAACACACTTGGCGGAGTATAAGAAAACCAGCAAATTCTGAAGCCGCTTCTTAAAGAAGGGGCCATTGAAACAAGCTCTACAGCGACGTGAGAAAGCGCAGCACAAAGGTATTGCTACCTTAAACATTTTTTTATTTTTGCTTCTACATTTAGTTTTTGTACTCGTGTTATAATATTGAAATTTGTATATTTAGTTTTTGTCCATTAAACGCTCGCTCAATTTTGGTGTTGCAAAACTCTGCCCACAATTTGGAATATAAGTTTTTAAGATAGTTTGTCACATTTTTCACCTTATTTAAATAATGTTTTTGTTATTTGGTATTGATTTCTTTGGTTTTTTTCAATCGTTTTTCTTTGCCTTTTTCTAATGAAATCCAGCCTCCGTAGACAATTGATATACAGAAATGCGTAAGGATTAATTAAGTAATGCTTTGTGTGTCAAAAAATTAAGCTATTGAATATCAAGTTGCAATTTTGAAATTTTGAGATCAGTATTTTGAAAATTCTGCTTTGCTTTTGAATCTGGATGTGTAAAAGGCTTTTTAAGACAGGTGCTATAGTTAGCGCTGACCTTTTTTAAGCGAGTTTCTAAAGAAGACGTTTAACTGCGAGAGACCTCATCGAGCGTCAGTTTATGATCGGTTCTGTTCGAGTTTATGGAAGGAATTTTAGGAAATGCATTTTTGATCCCTAGCAAATGAGCAGGTAATGTTTGAGGCTAATATTTGTCACCTTCATAAATTGTCAAAGTTTTGAGAATTATCATGGCATAAGTGTGTATTTGTTTTAAATCTTTCATGGACCATGGATAATCAATCTAGGAATTTATTTACAGGATATTAGAATGAATCGTAAGGAAGAGAACATTTTTTAAGAATCTTGTTTCATCATACTCTGATGAGCAATATCAAGGCCTGAATCTTCTACGGCTTTTCAAATCACCGTTCGTTTATTATTGCTTATAGTAGACCTTTGACTTGAAATTCATTGGCACGAAAAACTTAAACATAGGTCTTTGGAATAAAAAATTTATCTCGATATTCGTCTGAATTTGGCAAATTTGAAGTATTTAAAATTTACTAAGACATTGATCGTGTGAAATCCTTTAATTTGTTCAACCAAATTCATTTTGTCAGCGATTACCAACCCTGATAAAAACTTTGTCGAGATCTCCGCACAAGAGGAAGAGATCCTCGTGAATTCATAGGTGTTTAATACATGACGTTGTATGTCGTATGACGTAGGCTATCTTAAAATAAAGTCCTTCCATATTTAGCAACAAAGCGGAAAGTATAGACAATACCCAAATACTGTACCTTAAGATCACATATTCTCTTCCATACGCAGATACGCTAGGTGGAAATTTTAAAGAATGGTTCATACATGTGTTTTTACATTCAAAAGTAAATGTGCTTTCTCATCTTTTTCCATTCCAATATCCATCTTCTGCTTTCAAAACTGTTTCTTACAGTCTCATTTTTTTCAATATCTAGAGAAACGGCCCCAGAAATATGGCAATGATATGCTCAAAAGCTTTGATTGTCCTGCTTATTGTGATGCTTACTACAAAACCAGCTGGATCCCACTTGATGCCAGGACGAGAAATCCACGAAGAAGGGCACAGATTGATGATCAATCAGAGGTTGGAAGTCTGGAGACGATTACACGAGAAGCTAGCAGGGGAGTGTAGAATTCAACTGAAATATATAAGAGAACAGATCATGGTAAATTTATTTGAAATATTTGAGTTCGTTTTTGGTACCTTGAAGTGATCAAATCAACGTGAATATTAAAGCACTCATTTCCCCTGCATCTCTTACGTTTTTAAGCTTATATATCAATGTTGTATTTGTTTGATTGAGATTGAGAAAGGAAATCGAGAAGATGAATTGTAGAAATATGAGGAAACAATTGAATGAATGAGTTGATAAACAAATGAACGAAAATGTAGACGAATAGAACAATGAGCGAACGAATACGTTAATGGGTGAATGAATGAACGTATGCATGAATGAATGAAAGAAAAAAACAAATGAATTAAAGAAAGATGAAAGAATAAATGAAAACTGATAAATGAATAAAAGGAGAAATGATGAATTAACAAACAAACGTGGGAATTATTTTGTAACAAGCAAAATAAGAAGGAGTAGATAAATGAGTAATTGAGTGAATCAATATAGTAAGAAATTAAAAAGATTAAAGAGAAGACAAAAAAAAAGAATAAAAAATAGAAAAAAATGAAGTTATGAATGAATAACTAAAATTAGGAATAATATAATAGGAAGGAAGAAAGGGAGGTAGGTATTACTCGTCACATTGTTGCAGATATTACCTTAGTGCTGGCAGTTATCACCAAGGCTTATGATCATACCGTGACAGTAAATATCGCCGACACACACTTGATCGTTCTATTTTGGTGACTTCTCTAAAGGTGTGCGTTCTGCATTTACTAAGTATCCTCTAACGGCAGCTTTGTACATTTATATAAGACTTTAACTTTTTTGCCACCTGTTTAATCGCAAAAGCATGTTACCGTCATTTTTTAACAACTATTCTTTTATCCTAGAGACAAAAAATGCTAAGCAAGGCAACGACTGAAAGGCGCAAAGCAGACTAACTGAAATTCTTTCTGCTATATGTAGTAGATTTGTTGTAAATCATGCATAAACTGGAAATTTTTCATTCATTTTCTTCATACTTCTGTCTTATAATATATCCTTGAAAACTACAATCTTTTCACTGAGACTGCTCTGTGTGGAATGGTCGCTGATTCTTGAGTGTATTGGCAGCTGTTTTGAAACTAAAATTGTTGATAGCCAAAAATTGATTAACCATGCTTTATGGAACCTGTTGTTTTATATTAAGGATTCCGTTACTAATCGACAGTTTTCTTCTAGTAAGAACAAAATTAGCACGCGGTGATAATTTTTTGAACGATTCACTGCCTCCTCAAAATTCTTCTGATTAGCTCTTTGCCGCAGTTTAATTATGAGAAACTTGATCGTGGAATTCGAACAAAATTTGCTTCGGACATGCTTCGTCAAGTACAACAACACCCTGATAAATTTCACCCCCTACATTTAACTACGTGAGCCATATGCGAACCAGAACATTATTCTTTGATGGGATGAATTTAAGCCCATATTTTAAAAGAAGGGTAATCGTGTGCTCGCTTTCTACTTTCTTTGATTCAAACAGACCGACTGCCTGAAATAGAGGAGGAAATCGGTCAAGCCAGTGATGTTCTCACGCCAATTTTTTTGCAGTAAAATAAAATGGCAAGAAAATCCTCCATGGCAATCCTTATATAAAATACTACCCTTTCCGACTCAAACATTTCAGCAGTGATTTTTGCGAGAAGTGCACCTTACAACGATTTCAAAAAGTGTACAGGACTATTTTAGAGCAATTGGATTTTAGGGGATTTTTCTCGAAATAAAGGGATTTTTCAGAATAGCGTATGCAATTTTTGTGGAAAATGGCGGAAAGACTGCATTCATTACGATAGGCAGAAAGCATAATTTAAGCAAATTGAACACAAATTCTATAAAGATCGCTGAGGCTGAAAAAAAGCCAGTCTATTCTTAGAGAATTTTTGAAACAATGAGCGATGAAAGCTTGGTTTTAAAAAATCAAATACTAAAAACTTTGTTTCACTGTCTGCCAGATTGCCAAATACAGGCACTGCAACGCGGGCATGATGCAGCAGCTAGGATAATAACTGTTATAAAAAATATGATCACTTTCACATCACTCCACTCCAGCATTAAACGACCTACATTGGAAACCTGTGACACAAAGGACCGGCTACGAGGTTTGACGTACACATCGCTAACATGGTCCCGTCTTACATAGCGAGTAGGTTCTCGATTCAAGCACAGAGAGGAGATACTCTTTCAGGTCATGTATGAAACAGAACATTCGGAGACAGAGCATTTCTAGTCGCTGTTGCTATATCCTTGATTCACCTACCATATAGCATTCATAACGCAAAAAGCATTTTTTGCTTTTAAATCCGAATGGGACGATTCTTATTTTCTATTGCTTTGAAAATTCAGCTCATTCTGGAACGTTGTACTTGTAAATATTGACAACGTATCTAAACTCTAGTACAGCGCTAAAAATAAATACCTAGTAGATTTTGGCACTTTGTAAAAATTGTCATTATAATAATTATTAAAATTGAAAGACATAGATCTTATTAGTTCTCGAAAGAGCTCTTATAAGAACAAGAGCAAATCATTTTCTACCAAAAGGTTTTCAAAAGCCTTATTCGAACACGCCGTAGAATTGTGTACGCGATGAAATTGTCAAGACATAAGAATCGGCCCCAGTAGCCATCCTTGCATATCAGTGTCAGTTGGCATGTTCCATTATATATCGGCGTGTTCCACTTTATACAAGTAGATTTCTTGTATAAGTAGATCACTGCTTGACCCGCATGCAATTTAAGGCTTGAAAAATGCTTCTAATATCAATGAACCAATTTTCCCTTTAGGTCTGGATCAAAAACCAGAATTTTAGTCTATAAGTTTTGATGGTGCTAGTGATGAAGATATCAAGTTAAAACTTTTGTAAGTGATCTGACCGTGATTAGCGACAAATATTTTCTTGTCAAATTTTTTAAAACCTTTCAAACTATATATTGTCTTAAACTCTCAATACAGGCACAAATAATATGAAAATCCGGACTAAATGAAGTGTTGTAAATCCTAATTTGAACTAAAACAGTTCTAACAATGAAGCTGGAAATTAAATTGTCACATCAAAGCGCATGGGGGATTTGTGGGTACTATTAGGGAAATCTTGGATATTATTAGGGGGATCTAGGGATTATAAAACAGATTAATATAATACAGTTTGTACACTATTCATACTTTTGAAATGCATTGGAAGACGGCCACCCCCACACTCCCTAAAAAATGCCACTGTGCAGAGATCTATATAATAAATTATAATTCAGCCTTCACTGTTGATCACAAAGAGCTATTTTTAGCATCAGCTGCCATGGTGATACTTATATATAAACAGGTTGACGATCTTCTTTTTTGTAAAAGCTTCTGTACATGTTGATCTTTGCTCTTGACTATCCATGTGCTCAAGAGCCCATCAAAAATGACGTCATGATCCCAGGTTTTTATCTCAAATTCCTAGAAAATTTCTTACAGGCTTGTAATTTCTTCTGCTTTCAATCATTCAAGCTAATCAAAAGATTCGTACCTGGTGGTGATTTGGTTACATTGCTTAAGCCTTACAGATAGCCTCAATTGTTTTTCAAATTATGTGATTGGTCGGCTAAACAACAAAGCCCCAGGTATTCCTTTCTGGTTCAAAATAATACAAAATTCAAAGACGGGGTTTGTTCTTAACGTATATTCGATAAAGCATAGAGGCACTCGAGGGGTAATTCACTCTTGTAAAAAGTCTACGAGATTTCCACACAAAACAAAATAGTTTCCAGGAATTTTCTGATAAAACAATAGGATTTCCTTCAAAGGTCTAAGTGATTTTATTGAAGTGATTTGCCTCTCGCAGGTACTCTGGTAGAGTCTCTTTCAAGGGGTTGGTCTTTTGCGTCATTCATACGCTTCGAATGCGTTCTTTGGTTCGTCATTATATAGTTTAAACCCTAGCTTATGGCGTTTCCATTTTGCTAGAAGGGCAACAGGTGACATGTCATGAGGATATTGAAACTTGGGAGTTGATTGCAGTTTTGTCTATGTAAATTGAGCTTTATGAGCAACTTACTGCCAAAAATTCAATACTGTTTTCCTTTCATGCCTTTGAATCAAAAGAAGAATTGTATGAAGTCATACGACGTTGACACTCCCCGCATAATTTTAAATGGATCTGAAAGGTCGCGGCTAATGGTAGTAAGGGCAGGTTCTCTATGAACAACACCTGTTAAGATCTGTCAAGCGTGGCCTTTTCTAAAATCCTAGTTAGCTTTCAAAACAATCCTAATATTCTGGATAATTCGTTTACAAAGAGTAATTTGTAAATCAAAATCAAATTTCTTGTATGACCAGAGAAAATTCTATGTGTTAAGAGTATAAGAACGGATTAAAGAGTTGCCTTTCTGGCCAAAGATTATGAATCTTGTTCTAAGGGAGCTTCAGTATTCAGGTATGCATAATTCAACTTTGTATAAGAAGAGAGGTTTATTTATTTTCTTTGTAGATCAATGTGGGCTTGTTTCTGAAAGAATTTCAAAGAAATGTAACTTTTTTATTGTGCTACAATTGTATGATTTACTTTTTACGGTGCTTGTTTGCTAGTGGGAATCAACTAGTTTGGCCTAGTCATAGAGCAGTCAAGTCCTTAGAGCAAAGACAAATGTTTACATGTTCTGGAGTTGATGTATTGTGAACAAATTTCTTTGCCTATTACGAGCAATATTTTAAGATTGTTGTTAATATTGCAGCTGCAATTTAGTCCAAGAGGTGTAGAAAAAATAATTACAATTAACAATCCATGACTTTATAACAATAAATTTTCGACAGCTTTTCCAACTTCAAAATTGTTAGATAGAAATTACTTTTCGCTAGACATTTCGCTGATTGTGTTTATCAACTTGAACGACATCTTGGACAAACGTTGATGCCATCATTCTAAATCTTCATCAATCTGTATCAAGCTAATGATAGGAGCCTTAAGACTTCAAATGATGGAATGCAAGCCATTTTTGTCTTCCATTGTTGACATCAATGATAATCTGAACATCTATCTTCAATTTTGCTAAGATGATGCTACCTGAAATTTAATTTAGAGATTTTCTCTTTATATTTGAAATGCTCAGGTTGCATTAGGTGTTTGTATTTGCCAGCTCAAATCTTTTATCGTCCAAAATAATCAGATACACATAAGTACAATTCAAAACTTACTATTGGCAATATAGTTTTGTTTTTAACCCTTGAGCTCTATCCTCGAATGACAACTATTTTGAAATTTAAAATGGTTAAACAGAACAAAGTTTAAATTGAAAAATATGAAAATTGTTTTATTTTTCTTTTCATTTTGTTTAGCAATTAGCATTAATCAAGTACGAAAGCTCATTGCAATGCTTTAAATTTAAAAGAGAAACATTTAAAGACAAACAGAGAAACTTTATGTCAAGTTACCAAAAAATTATAATCATTCTCTTATCAAATCGAAATTTTTTTTACGCTGAAGTTTTGCTGTTAACTTTTTGAATAATGTAGTTTTTCAAGAAATTAGGAATTTGCGGGCAGATATTGCAATATTAGACGTTAGATAATATTTTTTATATGATAATGCTGTAAAAGTTTTGGCAGATTTGTCAAATGCGTTCCACTGATTACAATGTTAAGTTATTAAGTGCTAGTGTGACTGTTTTCTTTACGTGTATTTAAAGGAAGGAAGTTACACCGAAGTCTAAGAGAATTGAAATTTAATCTCTCTGAATCAATATATTTACTCAAATAAGGGGAATATGAAAAGATCTACATATTTAGCTCCAGATTTCTACGGACATCTAACATTAAGCATAATGAAAACAAGTAGATGACACAGAGGTTTTGCCCAGTGTCACAGCTAAAACAAAAGGATGATAAGACTACTTGAACCAAAATAAAAATCTGAACTGATACATAAATGCAAGTTCTGCGATGCACCTGCACTTTTTCATCACAGTCCGAAAAGCAATCAAATATTAGTCCACATTTGAAAACATGGTTGGTTTGAATTCGGTAGATTGTACAGAAGAACTGCAATGGAAGACAGGGAAATTTGTTTCTATTTTTGAGATAAATTAGATAACTGAAATTAAGGAACTGAATGAATATTTTTATCATCAGCCTTCAATTCTGAGGAATAACTTACAAGAAAATGTATTCATTTGTACACATTTGTGGAATGGCAATAACCACCAGCATAAGGAGGGTAGAACTTGGAAGGATGTAGCGTTTTGGGTGACATTCTTCTACTTATGCTCATAGAAGGTAGAATCTCGCATATAAGGTTCTACATTTTTGTAGGAGAACCTGCATAGATTCCTGCTTAATAAAAACTTTCGTTTAGTGGTTACAGATAAGGTTCTGATAAAACTTGTACTTTCTAATTGCTTGTCAAGATTGTCTGGTATGTCTTTACTTCAGATCTTTAGTTCTTGTTTTCTAAATCATATTTTTTCTGCATTTGTTTACTGATATCCATGCTAGAAAATGGAAAATGAAATTTTTTCATCATTTAAACGCCAGTTAAACAATAATGAAATCAGATTCTTAAAGTTTCTACTACTATGAGTTGGTAAATGGTTGCAGGAATTATTCGTTGCAACATCTTGCTTAAGGTGGAACTTAAAAACAGACATCCTTATGCCTTTCATGTTTATCATTTCGATGTGTACTTCTCCTTCAAGGTAGATGATGGTACTGTGGTACATCACACTCTATTTTGGTGTAATTCTCAACACCGTTGAATCTCAAAGTAAGTAAACTTTTGTTTTCAGCTTCATTAATTATAACTGTTTATAGAATCCAGATAGGCACGTTTCAGTTTGTTATACGAATCGTCAGGAAATGACACTAGAGAACCACTGTTTAGGGCTGGTGCTCTAGCTATTTTCCCGAACCAATGAGAATAGTGTCATACCTTCATGCGCATTAGGGTGAAAGCTTGCAGAAGAAACGTCCTCCTCCTGGCACTATACTATATAACTAAAACAATTATACATTATAATTGCACCATGTGAACCAGCGTTTCATTCATATTTTTCTCAAGATATTTTTTTCAGACATTTTCTTCGTCTTTTCATTTGAGACTAGCTTATTCCAATAAAAGCTACTAGTTTCTCTATCATCAAATACAATATGCGATGTGAAAATGACGTCATGGATTTTAACTGCGCATATACATATAATACAAAACTTTGAAAACCAATAAAACAGACCTTTGAACAAATGCTAGTTCTTCAACCTAATAAGAAGGATCCGTTGGTATGGGAGCAAATTCAAATTATTGCTAAAGAGGGAAAAGCCTGAGCGAACTCCCATTAAGGCCTAACAGGGGTAAAGTCTAGGTCAAATAGAGCCAAAGCTAAAATGTTAAAAAATTACCCTAAATTGATAATCTTTTTTAACAATAGCCCTCAAATGGTAGCATAAGAACGGAAATCATGTCCTTTGTAGCATCCATTTCTTTATGCGCGCCTGGTCCTTCTTTGACAAATTTCATCGCCATCGACTGTTGTTGATTCGGGAAAGACAAAATCTTGTTCATTATGTATAATAAAAAGCATGATAGCAAGCCGTTGTGTTATTATCAAAACTGGGTGAATTGGTAAAACCCTCGAATCGACTGGACCCCTCTGCCAGGCCTTAATCAGAGTACCTCCCCTGGGAGGAAAGTGACATCAAGTGAGATAAAGGCTTAAAAATATAGACCGTGCGTTTGAAAACAGCTGAAGCAAAGTAAGAACATTAAATCTTTGAAAGAAAATAGAACCAAATTTGAACTTTCTTGTCCTTGTTTTCCACAAATTTAAATTAATTTTGAATCAAAATGGAAGCTAAAAACACTCCTCTTGCATTTTTGAAGCTATCTGTTTTTAAACATTCCCGAGTGCGTAAAAAATTCCTAGTGTCATAAGGTGCCAAGTAGACTTTGCTAATGTATTGTGTTTTTTTTTCTAGTTTTCCAGTATTTCATCGTCAACTCGAACGATGCAACTGCCAAGGTGATAGACACAGTGAAATTGCCAACGTGCACCCATATCGACCAGAAAAAGAACGTCACCCTAAGGGGTGGAATAACATCAGGGAAGTTTACCAAGCATGGTATAGTCAAAAGTCTACAAACATGCATTGATGCGTGTTGCCAGGTACATTTGTTATCATTGTTAACTTCTCACAAGGCTTTACACCAGAAATAATAGCCTAAATAAATGGAAGTTGTGTTATGCTGTGGGTTTTCGTTATTGCCAGTTTATTGACTACATCTCATGCATATATTAGATGGACGTCCTCTAGCAAGGAACGAACACAATTCATTCAATCATATTTTTGCTTCCTTTTATCGTTGTTTTTACACAACGTTTTCTTCAACTATTTAGACATTACAGGAATATAAATTCATAAACTAGACATAACAAATAAACGAGATATTTTTCTTTAAAAGTAGCAACGATGTTGAAGGAAGATTAAGTGTAATAAAATGGTTTGAATTCCAATCAGAAAATGTTGAAAATTTTTACATAGATTGTTAGCTGTTAATTGGGTTTTGAATTATGGTTCTTTTTGACAGTAAAATGCAAGCAACAACAACCCAAATGGAAAAAGATCTTGGATATTTTGAATCAGACCTGCGAGTTTTTGACTTTACATCACCCCTAAGTTTCTACGTTTCTTATTATGTCTTTTTTTACAAAAATGAGCAAATCCCGTGTCTTTTACAAGAATTTTTCTCCTTTCATCGTTAATGAAGTCACAACTTGTTTCCATATGATCTTTACTCATAGTGTGTGTTTCCTAAAATTCTCTCTATAGGACCCAGCTTGCAACGTAGCCTTCATGCCGGGTCGTATATGCTACACAGTGCAATGTTTTTCTGAAAAACTCTGCGAAAGCATCCCAGCAAACCCTTCGCAAGCAGCTAATGGTAGCGTGCAGATATCCCATATTGTTAGAGGCGGTGGCACGGGTGATGACGTCGACGAGTTCAGAACAAAATTTGGCATCAATAAAAATCGATGTGAGTAAGAAATAAAATTTTGTTGGCTTTCCAATCATCTTTCCTAGGAGTTTAAATCAGGCACCACGCATCAGTCTAAAAGCTGGGCGGGCTGAAAAAAGCGTGCCATCTATAACGCCATAAAACGCCCTTTTTAGAAAATTCTTGCTTATTCTATCGATTTTTTATAAAAAGTCTGGTTTAAAGAAGATATCAAAAACATAGATAAAACTCGCTTGAGAATAATAAAACACCAAGCTAAATAAGGTAAAAAATAAATCATATCATTAAACAAGACAAAGCACCTAGAAAATAAGCAGAAAGGGTTCCCAGTCAAGCAAAATAGCTACTTCTTAAAATCTGTTAGAGTAAACTCTCTAAAGTTGCGTTACGGTAAACTTTCCAAAAATTTATCTAACCGATTATTGCGAAAAAAATGTGAGGGGGGGGGGGGGGGGTTAGCCCCTGTTAGCTCAATGGTTGCGCGATGTCTTGTTGAATCACCAGAAAACTCGATTTATGTGCCAAATCTTTATTCACTAAATTCATTGCACAATTCGATTCATTTTTCAACAATTAAGTCGGAAGTTGAAGTCGGACAAAAAAATTTATATTACACTTCTAGAAACTACAATACAAAAACAATACCAAAAGGGGCATGAATCTTAATAACAAACCTGTGGCCATTCACAATCATCTCAAAGCCTATTCCAAAAATGATGCTAGGATAAGGGTGAATATATGCCAGGCGAGGCAATTGAAAAGACTTTAAAAAATTGATTCCAGGACGGGAAGAAAAGTGAATTCTGTGAAATTGGTGCTTGGAAGAAAAGTTCCCAAATAATGATAAATGGTTAGCAGTCTCTTCAAAGTTGAAACAAAAGGAAAATAAACAGGAGACTGGTTTCTGAAAACAGAATTAGATACTTTTTTCACTCTTTTTTGTTATCGACACGCTTACTTACGCTAGGATGAGCTTCGTTGTATACACCTCGCAGTTTCTTGATAATTAAGGGTCGAAACAACAAACGGGGGATCTGGAATGAAGATGTCATGAGTGGATTCTTCTCAAAAATAATAATAAGCGGCAGACACGTTTATTCCCGACTCGAGAGTAGTGTCACAATACGTTTCTTTTTGCTGAAAACAGGATCAAGGACTGAAAAATATAATTAACTTGGAGAATAGCTAGTAGCAAGCCGTATTTTATTAGTCCAGTCTTACCCAGGGTTCTGTTTTCCTTTTAGCAAAGAAAAAAGATGTCTGCGTTCCAAGCCGTGTTGCCTATAACTATACTCTAGCAGGTGGACGCTTTGCAGGAGAAATGATGGACCTTGGGCCTGTTGTTGATCCAAAGGACTGCGCGCAGAAATGCTGCGATCATGTATCATGCGAAGTAGTGCAGATTTCCCGCGGGAGATGTTTTGCTTTTGGCTGTTATACAAAGGAATTGTGCCAGAGTAAAAGAATTGAAGGGAATCCAACGAATGACTCAACCTTGATATATATGAATAAGAGGAATGATGCACGGCAAAGTGACAAAGGTACGAATACAAAGTTGATTTCATTTAATCTAAATTTTACATAGCGTCTCTGTCACCATTAGCATGCAATGTTCTTGTTACTCTTTAAGATTCAAAGAAAACTACGTCACTAAAATCAGTAAAGTTGATAGATATTTTCATGCATAACAATTCAAAGCAAAGTTTAATTCACCAGAGTCTAGGTTTTTCATCTCCATTTGATATTTGAAGACAAGTACCTTTTCATTGTTGATAGGAATGTCTAAAATAATATTTTTTATATGTCTAAGTATAAAATCACATTATGAAAATTTACTAATTTGATACAGTTATAATTTAGTCTTTCAATGTGCATATCGTTTGGTTTGTTCTTCCTTGTTCTCTCTATGGGAGTCCTTGTTATCGATGAATCTTTGTTGCCAAGGATGAATTTGAATCAATGCGTTTTTCTGTTCACATCTTTTACTCTTTTATCTTCATCCCTCACCTCCTCTGTTAATTTAGTCTGAACTTTAGCAAACTAGAATTGACAGCTTGTTCAACTGGCCAACTTTCATGTTAGCCAATTGAAGCATTCTTTACAAAACTTCAACTGCTTTGCTGTCCTTTGTATTAGCACTCTTTTTGAAACCTTCTGTTCTAGATTCCTGCGTTTTACCCTGTGTTCATGGCCTTTGCACTCGCAGTGACACATGCATGTGTGATCCTGGTTTCAGTGGGCCCAGCTGCAATCAAACCGAGACTGAAGGTAACGATACGAGACAACAGTACCTCTTATGATTAATTTTAGCTACGCTTGGTACATAATGAGCCATGACATGGGCAAACATTCAACCACACTGCTTTACTTTATCTCAAAAGCATCATTAACGGTCTCTTTCTTGTAAAAGATTGTCAGAGAGTAATGTAAAAGAAAATTTTATTTTATGTCTCATTTCTTCAACATATATATAAAAATCTTTCAGTCTGAATGTTCTGTGTTGAATTGAAGGTTGAATTGAGTACAACGTATCTTTAATTTCAGCAAATGCTAAATATGCAAATAAGTCTTGAAAAGTATTTTTTTGTCAATGGATCTCACTGCAATGAAGTTGTTAGAGCAACAGAAAGCAATAAAGAAGAAATGATGGAAGAATGCTTGTCGTAAGCTGTGTAAAAGAGAACGATAGAAAAATGTTTACAATTTATGAAAAATTTATGTTTGCAAAAACATATCAAGGTTATCAAGAAAAAAATTGAGTTTCAGCACTAGGTATTCACTAAATGAGCAAGAAACAAAAATTCGCCAAAAAGTTGCATATAACTTTCAAAACAAGAAGCTTCAAGTACGAATTGCTCTTTTGAGAAACATTTTTCATTTTTGCAAAAATGTTTACTGAAATGGCGACCCTCCAGTTTGATAGGATAGATTGTGATTAATTTACTAAAAAAAAAATTTAATTTAATTTAATGGAAAAATTGTGTACTATGCAGGAAGTTGCGACCCTCCTTGTGGAGAACATGGCATCTGCCTTTTCAACGACACATGCAGCTGTGATGAAGAATATACTGGCTATAAATGCGATAAGAAAGGTGAATCACCACTGCTATGCTTAAAATGATTGCTTTTAGTTTCCTGAAAGCCCGAAGACTTCTAAGTTGATTTATTATTCCATAAATTGGAATCTTGCAGGCTTCGAAGTACTTGTTTATCTGATTATTCATTGTAATTTTGAGCTTTTGCACTTCACGTCAGCTTCTTGAGAACTGCACGGAGCAGCGATATCATTCTACTTAGAAATTCCTCTTCTGGGGTTTCCATAAATCAAACGTCATGGTCGAACTTTAAATATCTAAGTTGATTCTCAAGTCATGATCCTGAAGTTTAATATCACCAGAAAGTTTTTCATACCTTCTTCAACAAAATTAAATATATTTATATTCTGCACGTTTAAAAGGAGCCTAGTGGTGCTCATACTGCTGACTTCCTTGATACATTTTGCATTTGGATTTCTTTTCTGTTTCAGTTACATGCACAAGCCCTTGCTTTCATGGTACTTGTATACGAAACAACGAGGGAACCACATCGTGTAGATGTGAAGATACATGGGAAGGTCCATTTTGCAATGAGACCAACTCAGGTGGATAGACCTATTCAGTCATTAATATATGCGATGCAGTGCTTATTCAGTGACATAGATGTCAGTTTAGAATCTTGATTTAGTGTCGTATCTTCGATAAAACTATGGTATTGCTGTTTGGGGACGATGAAGTTCCCTTTTTCCTTGTTATGATAAAGTGTCTGATGTCGAATAGACAGAATTGCACATGTTTTGATGTGTAGAATAGGATGATTGCAAATTTCAAATTCAAATTTCACGCTTAATTCTGCTGTTTGAGGACATAATGTTTTTGGAAATATGTTGTTGGCAACTTCTGTGTAAAATTTTTATCTAGAAGTCAAAGCCGCAAGTACATAAAACCGCTAAGATACATAAGTTCATATAGAGGGGCACCCTAATTAAAATCATTTCACTTTGGCAGATATGTCTTCTTCAAGGCAAATCTATACGCAACAAAGGGTATTATCAGTTGCATAATCGCTCATGATAAACCTTCTTATCTTGACAGCATATTTTTAGCATAGAATTACCTGGAATATGTTCCCCCTATGAATGCTGGATGTTGTCATATTTTCAGCATAGAGTTTTTAGCAATTTTGCTGTTCTGGTAGTTAACCCTGGCCTGCAATTCAAATTCTGCATTTCATGAAAAGAAACTTCCATCTACATATAGATTATTCTTATAGATTTGAATGCAACAAAATACTTTTTTCAGCAGACATTTTGAAATTCTTGAAATCAAGAAAAGCATGACATGTGTCAATTTAGTGCTCCTTCATAATTCACTTCATTTTTACAGATAAGGTGGTTCTGGCCTCTTCTGGGGAGGAAGTCTTGTTTACAGATGTTAATCCTGAGGCGGAGATGGATATCAAGGTAAATGAATTGTGTATATTAGTTCAAAATATCTTAAAATCGGAGGTAGGCTGGGAAAAATACTTTTAAGGCATCGATTCTTGTTAAATAGGCCTCCTCTTTATGTATCGTCACTAAAGTCTCACGGGATTTCTGCAAAACGTTGTTTAAAACTGTTCGTTGACGATGCCTGTTTTCAATATAATTTACGAGGTAACAACATGTGATCAGCTTTACATCCACCTATAATAGAATAGTTTGCTTAAATGATGACATCACAAGATTCTACTTTCAGAATTTTCAAATTTGGATCTCACAACCTGAAAGAATATCAAGAAGTACCTCTAAATATCCCAAATTAGTTGTATGTCTTACGCATTGTCTGAGGTATGGCCACATGGGCACGTGCTCTTTCCGCATCAAACGTCTGCAATTTTGCCCTTGTCCAACACAACAGTAATCCGTGGTTAGCAAGCTTCAAATCTTTTATTGGTCATGTCTCACCTGACTTTTGACATGTTTAACTGATTTTGCATAATAAGCAGTGTTCTTTGAGGCTATGTGGTGAAAGTTCAAAATTAATAAGAGTAGATATTTTTATAACGCCACAATTAAGAACTCTATTTAATGTATTCTTTTTAATTGGCAGATTCATGATTCCCCAATGGTCAAAGACACTGAATCGATTTCTGCGTTGACAGTTGCAATTGGATGTGGTTTGGCAGCTGCTCTTGTAGGCACTGCAGCAATCGTGTTTATCGTGCGACAAATATTTGGTAAACGCACTGTCAGCAGTTACGAACTACTAGGAGACCCTATGCATAAGTATCATTAGTAACACACGTGTGCAATATCTAAAACGCACCATTGTATATTAAAGTGTAAAAGGGAGTGTGTACCGGCCTTCAGAAGCAGTAGTAGTTTTAAACTCATCGGAGCAAAATGGCCTCGCCATTGGATGACAGTATCCAAAAAATAGCATTCTGTTCAAAGAATTTGAAGATTTTGATGAAAGAGTTCCAAGAATTCTGTTCCACATCACGTGGTGTGAATAAAACTAGAACATTAGGGCCAGGTTTTTTAGGTGCCTAAAGCTAACGAGATGCCCACAGTCAAGGGCATAGTTTCTAAGCATACATGTCATCTATCCTTTATTTAATATTTGAGAATCGATATTTTTTGCTAATGTATCAATGCTTAAATCACTACGCTATCTTTCCACTCTTGTAGTCTTCAAAACAACTGCGAATAAAGCATATCCCAAATTCACGCATATCCCAAATTCTCAGAAAAATCACAATTTCGAAGAAAAGTTTTTAGTTTTTAAAGCATAATGTTGTAGTGAATTTTCGTTTCCCTTTTTGTAAGCTTAGTTTAATATATCTCCTGAAATCATAAAAATGTGGGCCGCTGACAAATTATGCTTTAACAAAGATTTTGGAGAGCTTATTAACGGGACAGTGCATCCTCATTTATCTGAACCTCGACCCGAACCTCGTTTATCAAAACCTCGTTTATCAGAGCCTCGTTTATTCAAACCTTGTGTATGCGAGCCTTATTTATCAGAACCTCGTTTATCCGAACACCGTTTTAGGTGTGATGTTTTGTATCCGCATCTTTCTTTATTTGGAAGAATACTAATCAAATTGAGCTAATCTCCAATCAAATTCGAACCCTAGAATGAATCCAGGAAGTTTCAAAAGCAGCTAAATGAGTTTAACTTCTTGAAATCTCTGTTAGAAAATCTGCCTGTGATACCAATGAACGTGTGTGTCAGTTATTATCTGAGCAACATATACAACATCAAAACAAGGATATATGTCTTATGTTAAAGTTGCTATGCCAATAGAATCAATGAAAGCTAAAATGGCATTTTAACTTTTTCTCATGTCTTGTGCATGATTTTTTTCTGAGCATAATCTTATTCTCGCTCATTCGAACTTTCGGCTTGTCCGAACGGCTCTTCTCAGGGTTCAGTCCAGGCTGTTCGGATAAACGAGGGTGCACTGTCTTAGGAAGAAATCTTATTATTCAATATAAGCGTGGAAAAAGCCTACAGCTCAGTATAAAAGGCATGCTCATCAAGAAATGGCTGATAACTATTTGCTTTAATGCAAGTTGAAGAAAATTGTACATAGAGTAATAACGAACTTAAAATTCAAACTTTGATAGCATAACTGAAAGATTAAACTATAAAATAAACAACTTTGATTTTCTATGAGTCTGTTTGCTGACAAGAATATATTCAACGAAATATCATTGATGGTAGAAATGCTAAAAATCTAATTAATGATTTTCCTCCTCGCACGTACAAAGGATGTGTTAAATGAAGCTTATTTCACACCGGCCACGTCACAATTTGCTTTAAATTATTTAGACTTGTCTTGCAGTAGGTCTGGAAATTTTTCAATTTTGGAGAAAAGAGTTTTTAATATGAAACAACATTTAATCTATTCTTCATGATAATAATTTATCGAAAATCAATTTGACTTGGAAAATAAGCCCTAATTCTAAAGAAAATGATGCTTTTTAGAAGATTGGATTTTTTGTGAAAACTAAGGCTATAGGCTTGAAAAATTTTTAAATTTGAAGAAAAAGTTTTTAATATGAAATACTCTATAATCAATTTTTATAGATATTAAACTTAAAAAGTCAGTTTGAGCTATAAAGATAAGCTTTTTTCAGAACAATTTGTGCTTTTAAGAAGACCAGATTTTGATGAAAAAAGTGAGACTATAGGCTTGGAAAATTTCTACATTTCGAAGGAAAACTTTTTCGTATAAAACAACATAGAATAAATTCTTTATGAAATCAATCTATCTAGAACCAATTTAGACTTCCAAAATCAGTCCTATTTTAGAGAACATTTTACTTTTTATGAGCTTCAATTTTGGTATAAAAGTAAGGCTTAGGATACAAATTGTAAAATTAGAAGAAAAGTTTCTGCATGAAACAACCTGCAATCAAATCGTCATGATATTAGTCTATAAAAAATCAATCTGGACTTATAAAATCAGTCTTTGTCTAGAGAAAAACTTGCTTTTAACAAGACTAGAATTTCGGTGAAAGTGTAAGGCAAAAGGCTTAGAAAATGTTTGAAATTTCAAGGAAAGTCTTTTTTCATAAAACAACCTACAATAAATCTTTCATGGTTTTAATCTTTATAAGATCGATTTAGATTTAAAAAACAAGTGCAATTTCTAGAAAAAATCTTGATTGTCGTTAGACTGGATTTTTGGTGAAAATTTAAGGCTATAGGCTTTGAAATTTTTCTAAATTTGAAGGAAAAATGTTTCCGTACAAAAAACCTACAATCTATTCTTCATATCTATATAAAATCAATTTAGATTAAGAAAACAATTGCTAATTTAGAAAAAAATTTGCATTTTACGAGACTGGGATTTTGGTAAAAAAGTAAGGCTATCAGGTTGGAAAATTTTTTTGAAATTTGGTTATAAAATAACCTTTAATCGATTCTTCATGATATTATTCTATATAAAATCAAACAAGTCCAATTTTAAAAGAAAACTTTGCTTTTTAAGAAACTGACTTCTGGTGAAAAAGCTAGGCTATAGGTTTGGAAAAATTTTGCATTTAAAAGAAATTGAAAGAATTTTCTTGTATAAATTAACCTACAATCAAAACCCCATTGCATTAATTTATATAAAATCAAGTCAGACTTGAAAAATCAGTCCTATTTTCAGAGAAAATTGTACTTTTTACGAGCCTTGTTTTTTTGTTAAAAGTAAGACTATAGACTTAGAAAATGTTTTTGAAAATTGAAGGAAAAGTTTTGTGATCAAATAGCCAATATTCGACTTTTAAAGATTTTAATCTCCAAAAAATCAGTTTGGACCTTAGATTTGGATCAGTTTGGATTGATTTTTTTCAGAAAATTTATGCTTTTAAGAGGATTAGTTTTTTGGTAAAAAAGTAAGACCACAGGCTTATTGCATTTTGAAGGAAAACATCTTCCTATAAAACAACACTTTAAAAAGTCCTATTTTTAGAGAAAATTTTGCTTTTTATTAGACTCGATTCTTGGTAAAAAAGTAAGTCTATAGGCTTTGAAAATTCTTTAAATTTGAGGGAAAATTATTTTTTATGAAACAACCTACAGTCAATTTTTCATGATATTATTCTATATAAATTCGATTTAGATTTGGAAGATCAATCCTGTTTATGGAGAAAAATTTTCTTTTTGGAAACTAGATTTTTGTAAAAAGTGAGGCTATAGGCTTGGAAAATTTTTGAAATAAAATTTGTTCATCATAAAACAACATACAATCAATTTGTTATGATACTAATCTATATAAAACCAATTTAGTCTTGGAAAAAAATTCCTATTTTTTTAGATAAATTTGCTTTTTAAGAAAATAACTTTCAGCAAAAGGTAAGGCTTAGAAAATGTTTGCGTTTGGAAGAAAATTTTTATTCTTCATGATATTAATGTATATAAAATAAATTTTGACTTGCAAATGAGTGCTTTTTTTGCAGCTTATTTTGCCTTTTAGGAGACTGGATTTTTGGTGAAAAGGTAAGCCTATAGGCTTTAAAATTTTTTTTAAATTTGAGGGGAAATTACTTTTTATGAAACAGCCTATAGTCAATTATTCATGATATTAATCTAGATATAAACTCATTTTAGACTTTAAAGACAACTATTATTTTTAGAAAAAAAATTACTTTTTATGAGAATTGATTTTTGGTGCAAAAGTGAGGCTATAGACTTGAATATTTGGAAGGGAGTGCTTGGTTTTATGCACTGCGTGATGTTAATTTATAGAAATACAATTTGGCTTAATAACAGTGTCGAATTTTTTCAGTAAAAAAACATTTCATGAGGCTTGACTTTTCGTTTGAAATGTTTCTCAAATTGTGAAAAGAATTATTTTGTCTTAAAACAAAGTAAAACTGATTTTATATTATGAGAAGCTGTTTTCACTAAAATTTGCTTTGATATAAGAATTTCAGTCTCTAGGAAAAAAGTTTTTTAAAAATTTTATTTCAATTGAAAAGGCAAAGAGAATGCTTGAATTTGCTTTGAATTAAAAAGATACTTTTTTGTTAGAAAACATGACTAAGCTAATTTTTTAGGATTTGGAGCCAAAAAAGTGGATTGGTTTAGAAAATATAGTTTATCAAGAAAAACAGAAATATGCTTTGTTATGAACGTACCTTTTCTTGAAGAATAAAGGCTTTAAGATTGAAAGTATTTATGAATTTTAAAAGTTTTTGTTCTATTAATCAGGTAAAGTTTTTCTTAACAATCTAAAACTATAAAAAATAAATTTTGCGGGGAGAAAGCACTTGTCGAAGAGAACTTTCTCAGTGAATTCCTTTCTGGTAAAGAGGTAATATTATAGGCTATTAAAAATTTCGTAAAGTTTTTATTCTAAAACAAAATAAACTCGATTTTTTATGATGTAATGCTATTCAAAATAGAATTGATTTTGAAAAAATATTTCCATTTTCTAAGAAAATAAGGTTTTAGGGCTGGCAATTTTGATGCAGTTTAAAGGTACTGATTTTTTTCGTTTACAAGGAATTCTCAATTCTATATGACCTGAACCTATTAAAATTCAGATTTTCTCGGAAAAAATGGCTGCGCTTCTTGAGAAAAAAGCTTTTTTAGAAGAGACAAACTTTCGTAAAATAAAGCTATAGGCTAAAAATGTAAAATTGTTTTTATACCATCAAAAAATAAAATTGATTTGGAAAACGAGCTGTATTTCGTAAGCTAGAAGCTTTTTAAAGAAACACACTACCAAAAATTAATATTCAAACAAAATATTTAAAAGATTCAAGTAGTTTGAAAATTGAAACAAACTGCAACACATAATTTCAAAGACCCCATATCAGTTGTTTGTAATGACACAAAAGCAGCTGGAAAAAATAAGCTTTCGTCTTCAGCTCTTTCATACTATCTCATTTTACAAAACATTAATGAAAATAACCATAATATTTAATATGATATGCTATTAATTTCAATATGAAAATACTGAAAAACCATTTGATTATTTTTAAAAATCGAACAAATCATATTTACAAAAAAATATTTTCTGATGTAATTAATAGTTCCTTGAAGGTTAGCCACCTGGTCGGTCACAGTTTAGCATCACGTAGAATTTTGATGTTTCTTTAAACCAGTCGAGAGTGCCCAACAAATTTGTAATTTGAAAACCCCTGTTTTGACTATACCTCTTAACGATGAAGACTCTTTTAGCAGAGCACATTGTTGTTGATTGTATTTCTTCACCATACTTACTCAATGTATCTCGATTTCAGACGGTGGACTTGCAGCACGATTGAAGACCTCTTCTCTAAGCTAGTAATGTACGGATTTTATTTTCCATTATGTTAACGATCCCAGCTTCGTTTTCTAAGCATCTCAATCTTTGCAAGCTTTTCTCTAGGTATAGTGTTTCTTTTGTCGTCTTTGACAGCTTGAATGGTTCTTCTTTTGTCCCAAACCATTGGACAGTTCTCTCCTTCACACGCTTCAGTGCTGCCTGTGATGGACTTTGCTAATGCGCTTAGATCTGGCGTCGAGTCACAACAACTCTGGGAGCATGCTGGTGCACAATAGTCTGAGCAACCAGATTGGCATGTTGACACAGGTGGAGGTGGAGGAGGAGGTGGTGGAGGTAGTAGCATAGGAGGTGGCATTGGAGGAGGAGGTGGAGCACAGCAGGCTGCCGTGCATGAAGGTACACAAGAAGCAGGGCAGGGTGCAGGACACATCATAGGCATCGGGGGTGGCAATGCAGGTGGGGCTGAAGGGAGGTTTACGATGATAGGTTTTGTTTGAATGACAATTGGTTTAGGAACATCGGCATTGCAGCAAGAAGGAGTACATTGAGGGGCACACGATGGGGAGCAGCCAGGGAAGTTTCCACATACTGATTGTTGCAAAGGAATTTGTTGAGGCCCTGTGAAGGTGATTGGTAACCTTATTGGCATGGGTGGTGGGGGTAGTGAAGCAGCACAACAGGCCGGGCTACACGAAGAAGTACAGACTTGAGCACATTGTGGAGGGCACATGGGAACTGGAGGTGGCATCGGAGGGGGTGGCATCGGAGGGGGTGGCATCGGAGGCAACAACGGTCTTGGAAAGCAGCATTGTGGGGAACACATCGGGGCGCACTGAGATGGACAACCCATAGGACAGGTATTAGCAGGAAGAGGAGGCAGCTGTGGCAACTGAGGAAAGCAGCATTGGGGATTACATTGTGGGGCACATTGTGAGGGGCAGCCAAGAGGGCACGACTGTGGTTGCATTATCGGTGGCATCAGAGCTTGTGCAATAGATTGTGCCATCATCTGCGCCGATTGAGCAGCGGAGCAACAGCTGCTGCTGCAAGCAGGTGCACAACTTGCAGGGCAGGCTCTTCCACAGGAAGGAGGCGGTGCAGGTATTGGAGGGCCAGCAATGCTTGGATTGCAAATATCATGGCTGCCTATACAAGACGGTGGCATGTTTATGGGTTGTGGATTGACTGGCGGTGATTGCGCAGGAGCCGGATTTCCGAAGATGACTAAAAAATATGAAATGAAAATATGAAAGAAAACCACGAATGAAATAATTTCAAAAATAATCCAGTTCAGAGCAAAGCGTCGTTATCTTATGTTGCACTGGCAACTAACCTTTATATTGAACATATCTCTTAAAAACATTTCCCAGACCGAGATTATTAACGATGGCTAAGAAATTGCTATTTGTCTTAACTCTTCTTTGACAAAGATACCTGAAACAATGCGTACGAAAAAGTAACAGGGATAAGATGTATAGCAAAACTTCAGAAACACACTGAAACTTGTGGAATCTACTGTAGAGTTCGATTCGTCGATATATCATGCAAAATATAAAAATTTGTAAATTTTCGTTGATGAAACTTGTTTTGATGTGCTCGAACAGCCATACTGAGCATTTTTGTTGCTACCTTGCATCTAAATAGCTTCTTTGCCATTAAGGCAAAAAGAGACAAATCAACGAACCTGATTCATGGGCGAAGTTAGTGCTTCGCAGTCTTTCAGGTATACAACATGTGAATTTACACGATGGCAGACACAGCTTCTCGCAACTTGGATTACACATTGAGCCATCTTGCGGAGGTGCTCTAGGTGGTGGTGGCCTTGGCGGTGGCTTCTTCTTTGGTTTCCTCTTCTTTGGACGTGGAGGAGGTGGCGGTGGAGGCGCAGGTGCCATTTGTTGCTGTGGTTGTTCCATGGGAGTTTGCATGACTGGTATTGACATCGGTTGCATCGGTGTTTGTGAGCAACAGTCTATCAAACAATTTAAGGGACAATTAGAATTTGACTGCCACGATCTTGCTTCACTACGCTAAAATTCATATTTTTCTGAGCAACCCCTCTCTTCCCGGAAGCAATGTTGAATAGTATCTGTTTCATAGCCTAAAATTCATTCAGCGATGTTTTATCGCATAGTTTGAGAGAAAGACTTTTTAACCAGCATATTTTTGGGAGATATTCTGTATTTTACGGACGGAAAGCATTCATTTGATCAATACAGGCCTTTGCAGGGCTGCAAAGCGCCATGGAAAAGGGCAAAACGATAGAAATATAAAGAAAATTGTCTTGTTTGCTTGATGTGGGGCAAGGGGGCAGTCACCCGAAACCACCAGTGTGACGTCTACGCCCCACATTCCGGTATCAGTATCACTGTTCGTTTAGTTGTTTATCTACTCATACTAGAAAAGCTTAACAATGAATAAATACCGTAGCTGCACATTGGTGCACACTGCGCAGCACAACCCATCCCGCAAGGAACAAATTCGGCTTGCATTTGAAACGAGACCTCAGGTTGCTGTGGTTGTGCCATCAGTTGCTGCGGCATCATTTGTTGCTGCGGCATCATTTGTTGCTGTGGCATCATCGGCATCATTTGCATCTGCTGTGGAAACTGTTGTGGTTGGCAGCATTCTGCAAAGGAGAGAAATCATTAAATAGAGAACCCACTATAGTACTTTGTGGAATGGTTAAAAATTTCATACCAACGACATCCACAAAAATCGGCTTTTCCATACTTACATTATAAATTGCTTGGTTTCCAAATGGCGTTAAAAACAACTAATTACCTAACCGTTGCCTGTTTTCCTGAAACTTGATATCTTAGCAGACCCCAACATTTCCAAGCATAAAAATACTTTTGCAGAACATTCAAGTTCATAAATTTTCGGAGCATCGATTGTTGGCGAAAATACAATACCTTGATTGCAAGCAGGGGCACACTGTGGAGAACAGACTGGTCCACATGGCATACTACGCTCTGAGGCCGCCTCTTCTGCAGCCTCCTGTTCAATATTTTTCTGATATGCATCGATAAGAGGCATTAGATCAGGATGGTATTCACGTGACTGACCAGAGCAGCAGCTTGCTTTGCATGATGGTAAGCAAAACTTTGCACATCCAGGATGGCATACCCAGGAGCCTAAAGAAAGCATATTGAATTTTTCATTTTACAATACGATTTCATTGCAGATAATTTAAAGCAGATGAATGAACACCATTTAGTTGCTGAAAGATATCGAGTTGCTTGATGGCATACGCAGTAAAGATTGTTGTTCATAATTTGTTGCAGTCACCAGTCAGATATCCAAAACCTGTTTTTATCCCTATATTTTTCAATAATTTGTCACTAAATATTCTTATCAGTACAAAAATTGCAGTTTACATTGCAGTTTAAAAGTTCTTCCAATTTCATCTTTTAAATTTGTCCCTATATTCTCCATAATTGTTCTCTAATTAATCCTATCAATTCAGAAATTGTAGTTCACAGTGAAGTTTAAAAGTTTTCCCCATGTCATCCCTAGATTTGTTCTTAAAATCTAATTACGCCTTTTAGTCCAAACGATGAACGATAAATTTTCTAATGTCTAAAATTATTTTAGATGAAATAAAATTTTGCCAACTTTCATTTTCTTTAAAGGAAAGCAAATACATACATAATATAAAATAAAGTATAAAATGTATAATAAAAAACCTTACCCTAAAGAGGGTAGAAATAATACAAAAATTTAAGAAATAATACAAGAGGTCTTCTGCCCTGCATCTGCTCCTAAATGCTAAGTAAACAGTTTGAAAAATCTTTGTTTGGTTATGGTTGCTGCCAAGTGAGCCTCCTGACACTGACACTTTGAGATTTATGTGGATTCTGTCACATGTATTTCAGTTTCGTTCTCTCTCTTTGTTAAGTAGAAGGTATGAGGTTTTCACGGAAGTTCACTGGCAATTAGGGTGACAAAAAACGACAAAAAGAATTTGCAGTAAAATTTCAAAGTTATGTTTTAAAGACCCAACGTAAACTAATGTTGCCATAAAACGTACAGAGTATATAGCTTACGTTTAGCTGGTTGCAACGACTCGCCTCTTTCTGATACCATGCGCTTTACATGGTGTTTGCTTCCTAAAAAAAGATACGAGCCTTTTAATATAATGGTAGACTGACTTTCACATCACTTGAAAGTATGGGACAGTATTATAGGATTGAAAAAGGATATGCTTGAAAGATAAAAAGTGTCTTTGAATTTTCTACATCACAAGATTTTGTTGTGTTGTTAATCATCAATCATCAAGACGTTTAATTCCGAGGACGTAATTTTGAAGAGTATTCAGTTGAATAGGCAGGGAAAGCGTAGAGATTCCAATTAAAATTAAAGCTTGCTAAAATTTTCAACAAAGTAGTAGAGTTTCCGACATTTTTCACTAAATCTAGTGCTTCAGAATGCCTTTCGCAAAACCTCTGCTTCAATTCACCGCAAAGAGAGGTCTTCTGCTTGATGAGTGAAGACATGTACGCAGGCCCGGGGCCTAAGGAGTCTGGGAGAGCCAAGTTGGAGAAAATAACTATCGTTGGGTCATGTTTACTTTTACAGTTTGTAGCACTAGCCCCCCAGAAAGTTTCTCCTGGCCTCGAGCTTACATGTACGTTGTGCTAATAGGAGTACCACACCACCGACTCCTCAGCTCTCAGTATAGACCACCTGCATCAACTTGATTAACGAAAATACAAAAATGACCGAAATTGAGAGGAACATCGAGAGGCACTACATTCTTCATCAAGAGGACAATCACTAAAAATTATAACTTTGGCTTGTCGTTAGGTCCTATGTAACATACTAACTAAGGGGCAATTGCCCTTCCAACCCCAGCAATTTTTCATCGTCCAAAACAAAAGGCTGTTGCTTGCATCGTTATATTGACAAAGGCCTGCTCACACCAAGGCCAGTTTTCTTTAAAAAAGGTGATGCGTGTTGTAGCATGAAAGTTATAAACTTGGTCCTTTCAGTTCATTTTTTGCATCAATAAAGAATTTAGTAAATCTGCATCATGAAAGCAAAGAGCTAATGTTTACTGCTTCTGTCTATAAACAAGTTATGTCCTTCACCACATATGCCCACAACTTTAATGATGATGATTCTAAAAAGGCATTGACTTTAATTCCCAATATCCGCTGAGACATCACAAACCCAAAATTACACCACTTTTTGCGTAGATCTTAATCTGAAGAAAAAAGCCACCTAAATCAATGCTTTGCAAAGTTCTAAGCCCTCAAACATCATCAAAAGGACGCGTATTAAGTAATAACTGATCATTCACTTAATAGAAATTTGTTGGAAATATACGAAGCAATTTTTTGCTCAAATCAAACTTTTTCTGTTAAAACATAACATAAAATAAATGCCACGAAGCATTTATGAACAGTAAGCAAGAATTAAACCTACCCCCTACCCTAAGTGCCAATTTCTCATAATTTACTAGCCCTGTTTTTCCATCAGGTCTGCAGAACATCTGCAATGGTCACCAAAGCTACTTTTAACACCCGAGCAGATTCAGCCAATTGCCGATAATTTTCAATTTACGCCAAAAGCAAGAGCTAAATCGCCCCCTTCTCCCAAAACGCTTTTGGAATTGCACCACAACCGTATCAGCTTCAAAATTTACAAGTCACATTCAAATTGTGCATTTCTATGGATGGGGAAGGAAAACTGCCTAAGTGAATGAAAAAAAGTATCTTGGTGTTTAAAGATTTTTGGCAGACATTCTGGGAAATATTTAAGCTGTTAGGAGCAAAAAATGACGTTTGTCTCTTAGTTTTCTCTGCAAAGTTGACAAAGCAGCGATGTTACTAGAAAGGGTGTTTAGGTACGTATGCAATCCATTGAATCTTATAGAAAAACTATTCTATAAGAAAGTGTCAGCAACTACTAGTTTATCCATCTTTTTCTCCGTTAGAACTTTCTGAGACAACTAGAAGCGGGAAATTCTTTTAAAAAAGCTATTCCTTTATACCTCAAAGAAAATTATTTTTAGCAAATTCCCTTAATGTATAACCTTTCAAAAAAATGCGTTGGTTCTTTAAGAGCAAACTTTGAAAGATTATCCAAATCTTGTTAAGAGGCTTCGCGTCCTAGACCCCAGCTAAATTGCTCAATTACAATGAATCTCTTTTCCAACAACCTACAAATAATTCTAGTTACGTCTGTGTGTATTTACTCACCATGAAGATGCCTTGCTTCTGGCAATGCTACGATGCTTGCAAGGACGGCAAGCAGAGGTAGGAGCTTCATTGCTTCCTAGGGGGAATAAATACTGATGGAATAAAATTGTCTATAGAGCATGCAACATTAACCATACGGTATAAAATATGGCGATCAAACTTCGATTTGTGGTAATGCTTATGCTACCACACGTCAACTGATAATACCTTGGACAAACTTCTATTTAGAAGAGTCTGAGATACTATCTGATAGAATATATTAATTTGTCTCACTTAAAATACTAGAAAGTATTGCAAAACAAATAGATAAACAAAAACCCAATTTTTTCAGCACTACGGAAGCAATTGTAAAATTCTGCAGTATTGCATAGTCAAGTCAAATTTAAAAACCTTAAGTTAGATAACGTATAAACTGTCTGGAAGAAATTATCTAGCCTATTCTACGTAGTGCCATAGTGATCAAACTAGGACTAGTCCTGGCGATAGTTCCATTATATAAGCGTCTGAGCACTAAAACAACGGGCAATTTAGCAATCTTCGATGAAATGTTTTCTTGATAATAGCGAATTTCTGTTAGTTAAGACAAAAAAATCTATGTTTAATATTTTATTAAATCAAATAGATGAGATACATAACATTAAGATAAACGGTTGTTAATGTTTTGCCAGCTTGCATGCAAAATTTAAGAGTCTCAGAGTCTCAAATGTAAAAGGAATTAGAACAGCTAATACTCTAATACAAATGAATCAGAAAGTTTTTAATAAAACAGAAAATAAATACTCCTTACCTCATACCAAGAATCAATCCATAAGAAAATTATATATAATATTTTATTTTATTTCAATTTTTGCAAGAATCTTGCAAAGGAAAGTAGTCCCCAGAGCAAGAAGTCACTCGCTAGCAGGTATTGCTCATTGCGTGTTGATTTGCGTCAAGGAACCCATTCTGATTAGCCAATCGAAAACCTGCTTTGAACAATGACATGCGAATTAGACCAATCAAAGATGCTCATTTTAATTTGTAACCAATGAGCAAAAATAAAACCCTTGATGAATTGTATCGCTTGATTGAACACTTGGATCAAAATCAAGATCACTCCATACATGCAAAGACGTTTGTACATCTGTTTTCCATCTAGCGCAAGCACAGGCCATCAAAAAGTGTTTTACTATTGATTTACCGCAGGGAGCACGGGGGCTTTAAACTTCTGATTATCCTCCACAAAGTACTTTTAGACATCTACAGAATTTCTTCTACTTTGAGCTTTTAACATAGCAAGAATAACTTGTTTTTTCAATCCATCTCTTCTTCCAAGCTTTCCGATCATGGTAAATGACTTGCGGTCCTTTCCGATGCATCCGTCTACCATTAAGATCAAATTGTCGTTTCTCAAATCACGTTCAAGTTTGGAGCATCATCTATATGCAAAGCAAACTTATTCTAATTGGATGTTTTTTCAACATTCCATTTATCAGAGCAGAAAACGAAAGAGAACAACTTGGAAGTATAACATTTATCATAATTTCAAATTTACCTTCAACCTAAAAGAGAGCATATAATGCTTGGTATCATAGCAGAATCAGCGATAGCATATAATTTAATATAAAACTGACAAGTGTCTTTTAGGATACTTGTTCGGCGGATCTAATTAAAAAGGGGTAAGAAAGAAGAACATAAATTTCAGGGTTCTCGTCATGAATTGGAATTTGGGGGGGGGGGGCAAGACTTCTTTCATTATATAATGCAAGGCAAGGCTAACAAAAGTGGGGGCAAGACTTCTTTCACCATATAATGCAGTTTTGGAATTATTTGCTTTGCAATAAAGTGTGGGGGAGGGGTGTGGGGAAGTGGCGTGGGGCCTGAATATTCCCATTAGAATAAAAGCATCCAATATCCAAATGTTCTTTCATTGACTATACACGAATAATTGAATGATAATGTTTATCTTGAGAAAAACGTGTTTTCATTTTGGTACGTTGAATCATATTGCAAAGGAACACTTATAACGCACTAAGAATAAGATGAGATGTTAAAGATGTTAATAATAAAGATGATAATGGAACACTAGCAATAAAGATCTTATTATGCAGTAAAGGTTTTTTATCTGCGCATCTTCACAGCGGAATTGCACCTTCACTAAAGTTTTGTACCTAAAGAATATAGTGTTCAAAACGAGGTTCACGTAGGAGAAGGAGGTCGGGTGTTTAAATCTATATCTTGAAATTAATTGCTGAGGCACGAAACCTGACTGTAGAGTGATATAGCCGAAAAATAAAAATTTACTTAACAATAAGAACCAGAAGACGACGAAACTGCAAAGTTAAGCACACACCCTGGTCACCAAAACCAGAGTTATAGAACTATGGGATATATCCAAGAATCGTACAAAATCACTTGCAAGTTATAAAAATTCTAGCTATATCTTTGCAAGCTCAAAAAATAACGACTTTTGTAGAATGGAACCTGTTGGCAAGAATTGGTCAACGTTTTTTATTAGGCTATTGATTTTTGGATAGTTAGTAAGAATGAAAACGGCTAGCTTTTTAAAGAAAAAGGATTATGTAAGCAACCACTATTATAAATGATATAGGATAAGGAAAACAACTCATTAGACAAAAATAAGCTTTTTGCTGTGTCCTTCAAATTTCTTGCTTATAAATTACTCAAACTGACTTTGCCTGACCATGTGAAGGACATGGACATGTATAGGGACATGGAGAATCGAATGATTATAGAACTTTTTTACGCTAGAGTCGATTAGAACTCATAAGATGCGAACATTTGTGAATTAAACAGCAAAATTATAAAAAGTTGCTCTCAGTCAAGAAAGGGTATCATGTACCGTATACAAATTACATAGTTCTAAAAAATGCTGCAGCATTGTTACTTATCATAAAAAATTTTATATACCCCTACAACAAAACATTATTGGCACTGTAGTCATATACAAATGACAAATGTATCTTTGAAATCAAAAGGATCTCATCTTTGCATCATGATTTCTATTTCTTGATTATAGCAGAATTTTAATATCACTATACAGATAGCCATAGATGTCAAATCGTAGAGTATCAATCAAGCTTCAACATCTTGGTCTTTAATTTCCCATTAGATCTACAATGTTTTTAGGACAGCTTTGCAAAGCTTAAGCTGAAAAGGGTTTCTTCTTAGAATCGTGTACGTGTGAGTCATAGTAAACATCTCTGGTCTTGATGCTCCTGCAAAGAAATATAGTAATTTTGACAGCCACACAAAGGATTTTGCCTAGCAAACTTGCAAGCAAATTTGGTATATAAGGCGCTCTCCGATCCCCCAACCCAAAAACGTTAATGAAATAAAATATCAATAATTTTTACATTTGCAATATCTGTGTTAGAAAATAAAATAACAAGTATGATAGAATATTAAATTCGTGAAAATGTCTTACAAATCGAACTGCTCCAAGCCCAGTACATCTACAGTTGTTTTCAAGAATATTTCAACGACGAGAATTATAGTTCATACCTTTCAAGTTTAAATTCCTAGATGTGTAAGATCTATAGTTGATCTACCAAGCTATATTGTTTCTATTGTCCTTTCTATCATAATACTCAAAAATGTAAGACTTAGGTAGTCCAAATTAAGCGCAGAAGTCTTAGGAGTGCAACACTAGATCACATACCTTGCCACGTACGGATCCAGCCTTCGCAATTGCTCTGTTGTGTTTAATTCAGGACCAAAATCATGAACAGCAATGCTCTTTGTGAATCCATTGTCAGCTTGCTCCATCACATTTCCCTTTGTATTACCCATCCTTTCTTCGCCTTTTAGCGTTTTGTCATAGTACCTGAGAAAAAACAGGTTTCTTAGCAAACGCCTCTTTGTTTTGGTGGGAAAAGGGCAGAATGAAGGCAGGAAAAATATTAGAGAGATATTTTACAGAAGTTTGAAGAAGCAGATACAAGAATAGCACTGTAATTTAATTGATATGGATTGACAGTCTCAATTTTTATAAAAGAATATAGTGTTGTTTTGGTAGCTTTTACTTGCCAATTGCAATCACTAAGCTACAAATCAATGCCACATTCATATATTTTTGCCAATTGTTTTGTTTTCGAGATAAAATATTAGTTACAAAGATACACAGATAGTAAAATTGCATTAGACTACGTAGCTGATTCAGAGTCAATAAAACTCAACATTCGAATACCATAATCAATATACAGCACCAGTATACGACTAGCCATCATATTTGGTATTTGCTGTTCAATTAAAGTTTTTGATGGTGCTGTGGAGATTTTCTCACTAGGACCTTTCAATCTTATTGCAGATTAATGAACACTTATTCGTCAAAAACAATTAGAATTGCATTCTGTTTTGTTGTCTTTACTTGATTTGTTGATAGAAGCCCAGTTATCCTCAGGCCATATTTAGCCCCTAAAGATCAAGGAGTTAGAAAATTGGAGAACAGAATTATCCTAATGATAATTTCGTTTCTTCTGCATGCTACTTCTCAAAGACCCAAGATAAAATGTTCATAACTTTTTGAACAGTTTTTCAGTAAATTCTACGCAAACGATCTTACTAATATGCTTTCACTAGAAAATGTGAGCATCATCTAGGGTCTATATGTAAGAAAAATGCTGCCTCTAGCCCCTGTGCGTCTAAAGGCTGTGCATGCTATCCTGAATGAACGAGAGAACAGCGGCCCAGTCATGGGTAGTACTGCAGTCAAGGTCTTTAAGAATTTTACTGTTTACGTTCTTCTAAACAGAAATTTAACAAAAATATAAGGGTATTAGTCTCAAACTGGCATTAGATCGGGGAGGAGATCGGAGTAACATTAAAGGTTTGTTTCTGACGAAAAATAAACTTTCTGCAGCATAAATAAAGGTAGGTATTGCAAATCTTAATGACGAAGATAAAAATCGGTCTGTGTTACACAATTTTCCTCAGTACTGTATAATCATTAGTACTAATTTTGCAATTATGAAACAAACCTGTTATAATACTCTGACTTGAAACGCAACAGAGATAATGGGGCTTCTGCAACCGGCACATATTTGTAATTATTTTCGGTATAACCAGTCTCTTCCTGCAAATTAAAGGAAAACAAATATTAAGAAAGATTTCAAGATACTTTCTAAATGAGCAAAATAGATAAATTGTTGAGATGTTCAATTATTTCTAAGAAATTTTGTAAAGACAAAGGTATAGATTAGTTTAGACATTTATACTTCTGATTCATTTATTCATGGTATATATGTAATTCAAAATCAAAATCATGCAACTTGAGCAGAAAAAGATTTTTCATGTTCAGCGATAACTGGAAAAAAAGCTTTGAAGTAACATGCAAATCAAATCACATATTTTTTTAATTAAAAAGTACGAGCATCGTTGAAACGGCTAGTACGAGCAGGTGAGAGGATTGGGAACTAGGGAACTGGTCACGTGTTTCATGAGACAGATAAATTTCAATTTGGAAAAGTGCGAAAACCAAGAAAGTGTTCGGGTTAAATTAAAGTTGTTACGTTGGAAGTGATAATAGGAAGGGACTAGGATTTTAAAAAAGCGTCAAAATTAACAGTAAATCAGGAAAATTGAATAATGATCAATTAAACTTATTAGAAGTCATCATAGGATTCACGCCATCTATTTACCGAGTCACGTCTAGTCACATTCATTTTATTTGCAAGAAAAAAATTTCGATGTTTAGTGCTTTAAATTTTTAACACTTTTGGTAACTTTAATATTTATTGTTTTTAAGGGTATTTTGTTGATGATTTCATCAGTTTAACACTTGGGGTCCTGATCTTATCTTTTTTGCTGAGAAATTTTCCAACAGAAACTTGTTGGGGAGAGTTTTCATAACTGCCAATTGTGAGAAGCATCAATGTTTCTATTATATAAATTTTTTTGTGAAATTTAATTCAGAAGGTTCTCTTTTTTTAAACGCTGCACTTAGACGAGGAAAATCATTCATATTTTCTGTGTCTAAAATTTTATACCAACCAAGCCAGTCATATTCCTGATAATTTAAAGCTATGGGTTTTTGTGAAATTCAATTGTTTCTTATTTTTTGGGTTCAAGCACTGAAATTCTTTAATTATTTTTGATTGTCCAGAATTCGTTTCTTACCTTGCTTCCAAGGGTAACATTTCCAAGCTTTTCTGTCATCGTTTGCTCAGACCTCGAGCGACCGCGGAAAGCTGCACCAGACAAACTGAAAAAAAACAAAGAAAACCTGCTTAAATGACAGTATTACTTCGAAAAAAAGAAAGCGTGCTGTGTTTGTGGACAATTACGGTATCGGAAAAAATGCAAAGTAAAAACCTCTTATTTAAGGAGGAATAATTCTCATCTAGTTTTTAATTGGGTCAACAATAAATGTTTCTTATTACGATACACTCATACCTAGTTTAAGTGTTATAACATATTTCGTCTATTCGGTTATTCTTTCATTCATTCATTCATTCCTTCATTCATTCAATCATTCTTTCATTCATTTCTTCATTCATTCTTACATTCATTCATTCATTCATTCATTTAAACCTTTCCTTCATTCAATCATTCCTTCATTCATTAATTCCTTCCTTCCTTCCTTCATTCATTGATTCATTCCTTCATTCATTCATTCATTCATTCATTCATTTGCTCATTCTTTCATCATCGATTGTAGCAGTTGACAGTATTCAATGATATTTGAGTTACTTTGCCAAACGATTTAGGTGTACCCAGTCAAAGTAGACGGTGGTGCAAGATTTTCAATAAGCCTAAAATCAAAAAGCCAGCATATCAAGATGGCAAATATGAATATACCTTGGATATTGTTTCGCGTAGAGCATATTGGTGTACTCAGCAGGGTCTTTCTTCTTTATCTTTTCTGCCACCAGTGGTTTCACATGCGACAGTCTCGTATATACCTTCGAAAGATGATTGTGAAACGGTGTTAGGTAATGATGGATGGGAAAATATTGAGACACGTGCCTGCAATCCATGGGCGGTAAAAAGTAATTATTTCAGTGAAAGCCGGGAACGTAATATTTGATACTTTTGCAGCCGAAAAATGAAAGTAATTTAATTGTATTGTTTCAACAGTGATTAGTCAAAAAGACATTCCTAGAATAATAAAGGATAACAACAATAAAAAAATCTCAAAAGACACTTTTTGGCATTATTCGTATATAAATATCTTTACCTACTATCTATCAATTACACATATCAAAGTAATTTTTCTTCTTGCAGAAAGAGGGTATCGAGAGAGAATCGCTTAAGACAAGTGTTTGAACCGAGAAAAGCCACAAGAGCAAATAGATTAGAAATGGGCATCTCAAAGCCCAAATTCGACCCATTCGACGTTCATGTCAGGGCCATATGAGTGTGAGGTCAACAAGAATATCAGTATCTTTATGCAATCTATGTTATGATGCTTATGTTGTGCCATTTGGTTGCTATTATAGCGAAAATCGCTCCTTTCTTTGCCACTTGACCTACACCATGATTTCATATAATTATTTTAAACTTGAGGTAATGCCTCTAGCTTTCTGATAACCAATAGCAGCTAAAATTTAGCATGATTTATTGCTTTTTACGTTAAGGGAAAATTAATATTGCACAGAATAAAGCTACCGTTGGTTTGCCCCTCTAAAACAGTCCAAGTTTCTCATGTGCTCCCCTGTAAAACCTAGTCACCCATCCCTTGAATAGATTTTCATATTCGATTTCAAAAGTGATGACGTCACAAAATCTGATTTTTCGAACTTTTGATTTGTAATAGCTTTTGAAAACAGATAAAATTGTGCAAAATTTTCTTCGATATAGCTGCATAAGCATAGGGTCTCTCCCATCAAATCACTGTAATTTCGGCTCGTTTTATAACTTTATAAACAAAATTGAAAAGTTTCAAAAAACATTTTATGACGTCATTTTATTCTGATCACATAACTTGATCTGTATTACCTCTTCCTGTCGCTGAGTGAATTCTCCTTTCGGTTTGATCTCGCGTGTGTACCCTGTGTCTCTGTCGGAGCCGACGGCTATTGTAGTGAATGGTTCCCCACCCTGAAATATAGTACAGTGGCTTTGCATGAAGATCTATACTTACTGAAGTAGCGAAAATTGGCTTGAAGAAATGTTTAGGCAAAAAATGAAAATTGTATTAAACAATTTGATGGATTGTTTATGTCAAGATAGTTTTGAAAAAAATATATCTCAGATTTTGATAAAAATGCATTTCTTAATTCCTTTTACCCAACTTTAAATAAGTACAGCATAGGAAATAAAACAGACATTAAATAGTGGCATTCAAATAGCTGATAAATACTGATTTGCACTGAGCTTAGATACGAATACTCAACAGCATTCAATCAAAGGTTAAAATTTCTGCCCAAATGGCATGAGGTAATGCATGCCCAAAAGACTTTTGGTGACGTTTGTTGATGAAACGCACTTATATTTTGAATATATGGCAATTTTTGGCATAATTCAGATATGTTAACTTTCTAATGATACCAGGGGCAGATCCAGAGCAAATTTGAAGGAGGGGCATTTGGCAGTGGGGGCGCTGAAAAATTTTCAAAAATTGGTGACGAGAGTACGATGTATACAGCAATTTCAGATACATTTTCGGAATAAACAACATAACTTTGAGGTAATCCTTGAAGCAAATTAACCTATCGGTCTCAGAATCTTTTTCATCTGATTCTCAATCTTCGAAATGGACGCAAAATTTCCAACAGGGGCGCCAAACTTGCTTCAACTCGTTGAGAGAGGGGCAACTGCCCCTAGTTGCCATGTGGGCAATTGCATTATGTGTGCAGCTATATTATACAAATAGAGTTATCTCAATTGGATTGAATGCATTTTTGAGAGAAAACATCTCTAAAACTCGGAAAAAATTCAGTCCTTCGAATCTTTAAATCTATAAACAACAACACCGGATTAACTTAAGAAAACTGATGTGAGTATCAAAAATAAAGAGAAATTTCAATTAGGAGCCGAGGGAGCTTATGATTGAATTCTGTAACATTTTTTTTCATTTGTAAAACCCTCGTTTACACGCTCTCAACATTTGACTGAACATGGCTCCATATCAATGTTCAGTGGAATGTTTGGAGCGTTTAAACACTTGTTCAGCCTTTCAGATTCGTTCGGTGTTTTTGAGTCTCACTAAGGTCTCACTTAAAAATGCATGGCAGAAAAAGGTGTCGGCACAAGCTCATTAGATTCATTAGGCTTGTTTTGATGATCTTGGCGCGCAAACTTTCAAAACAGAACTCAGGTGAACATTACTGAACAACGCTTTACAAATGTTAAGCCATATTCACCAAGTATGGAGAGCGTTTTCACGGGGCTTAAAGGCTCTTACCCAACCGGCACGCTTTGCTAATAAAATTAAAAAACCGGCCTACTATCGTACTGTATGAATATACAAAACACAGTTAATTTCTCAATACAACTGCGGCTAAGCATACCGGTTGCGCAAGAGCCTTTAAGACAGCGTATATACAGGGGCGGATCCGGAGCAAATTTAAAAGAGCGGCAGTCGGTAGTGGGGGCGCTGAAAAATGTTCAAAAATTGGTGACGAGAGTACGCTGTATACAACAATTTCAGATCCATTATCAGAATAAACAACATAACTTTGAGGCAATCCTGGAAGCAAATTAACCTATCGGTCTCAGAAACTTTTTCACCTGATTCTCATTCTCCAAAAAGGGCGCACAATTTCCCAAAAAGGGGCGCCAGACTTGCTTCAACCCCGGCAATATATACAACTATAAGATCGTCAGGTTTTGATTCTTACGTGAAGATATGTTGAAGGTCTGAAGTCAGTTTTCATCATACTTGTTCCAGTTGGGCGCCATGTGTACCAGCCCTATAAGAATGGCAGCTTCATTGTATATCATGGATACAAATATCAACAAAATACATGAAACATATTTTTATGGATACTAACTAGTAGATATTATTGTGCAATTTAATTTGTGTCATTGCAAATGCACCTGCCAAATTTATCTCCAAAAGATTATCATCGTTGCGGAGAAAGTTTCCTATCTCTCTTTAAATCAATTGCATTTTTCAAAAAATGGCAAAATCCTCCTACTTTTTGCAAATCAGACGAACTCCATGATATTTTGTGATAAGGCCATCTAGCTGCCCTCTCGTGCACTGGTAACCTGTGAAAAGTGGCCTCTTCAACTTTTTACCAGTACATCAGATCTTATTTACATGGGATCAAAATGGTTTGAATTTACACGAAGATAGATTTCATATTAAGCGTTGATCTCGTTCTCGACAGGAATAAAGAACTTGCACAGGATTTCAAAGTCGTTTCATCAAGAAAGATACTGATGTAATGAACATGTTACATACAGGCAACTTTCCGTCGTGAACATCATTCGGCTTAAAGGTGATTGGTTCATCATTGTAGGCGTGTGTGAATCCAGTCTCTTGCTTTGGTCCGACTGTTTTTGTTGATAGATCAACTAAAAGTACAGAAAATTTTAAGTAAGTAATTAATAAATAAGTGTTTCTACTGAAAAAATGCAGTAGTGAGGGTATTCCAAAGGAGGGGGGTGGGAGAATTGTTCCCGTGCTCCTTTTGGAAAACAACAAATGTTTCCGTGTTCACGTTGATCAAAATAAAAAAATGACCCCTCAGAGACCCTCAGTAGTAATACTTTGTAATGAAAATGATGCAAAAAGAAGATATGTCTGCACGATCTAAAGAGGGTGGTTTGCAAAGTCCTCAGAGTTGCAAAAAGAGAATACTTTACAAAGGGGTTTAAATCAACGGCAATCTTGTTATTTTGTTAATTTAATTCTCGATAAAATTACGAGAAGCAATCTAAAACTTGCAGGGAGTAACTCGTGAGTAGGAACCTTATTATTGTGAACCTGAAAAACAATTTGATGTCCTAGGTACATTTGTGTTACTATTGACCCAGAGGAGAATCATAATAGGGCTCAGCCCACACAAAGCTAATCTTCTTCATGATCTTGTGTTGAGTGGGAGCATTCAAAGTTGAAAAATATCTGACCAAAGAAATAATAGATACTAATGTAATATGCAGTTTTTGCTAAGTGCAATGGCGTTTATAGGTCATAGCATATGACATATGAATGAATGTGTTTTGCAGCAAAAATGGCTTAACAGGAAAAATCACAGTTATTCCATGCATATCTCAATAAAGTGGATCACTCAGGAAGCAGGATCCTGTTGACTAGAGATAACAGTGCAAGATAAGTTTCTTATCAGGGTTTTTAAGGTAGTACTTCACTTAATTGGATTTGAATATTTTAATATTTTTGCTCCTTTTGTGTAGGAAACATTTGCTTGTGAAGTAGCTCTATTTCATGGCAAATAAAAAGGATTATAATAAAAAAGTTTCACTAACTTACCTCTTTCACTTGGAAACCCTCTGAAATTTGCTTTATTTTCTGTTGACATAAACTTTGGGCCCTAGAAAATTTTATAATTCAATGACGAAAGGAAGAAATTTGTCTACAAGAAATTATACTTGAAACTCATATCTAAGATATAGTAAATACCTGATAGCAAAAATTAAAGCAATTGAAGAAGTAGACTGTTTTTCTATCTGCAACTAAACGTACATGGCTTTCTTCAATGTTAGCTCCCATGCATCCAATGATTCCTTGTACAAAATCTTCAACTTTCTTAGACAGATTTATAAAAAGAGATTGATTTTCTCTTGCTTCTGTCTTTTTCTACAGTTTGTTACCATAATATTTAGCTTTATCAACTTATATAGCTGCTATCCTTGCAAAATCTTCTTGAAGCAGGCATAAAGCCAGTACTGAAAAGGTAGGCAGATAAATGGAGCGAAGCCAAAAAGGTTTTTCGGAGTGGTACCATATTGCTTTTTGCCAACAAAAGGGCGTGTCACACTCTTTTGATTGTGGTCATAAGAAAAGTAATTTTATATGTTGCTTTTATGTGTTTCTATTTCAGTATTCAGAACTCTATAATTTCAAATTGAAGCATTTTTAGTGTCATAATTTGAAAGTTAAGTTGCTACAGAAATTTTAACAAAAAGATTAAAATTAAACTACAGGATGAGAAAAAAATATGTGCCCACGCACAAAGTATGGGGGAAATTGACCTCCTTTAGCAACGTCCCTGGGGGAAATGCTGACCTAAAGTCGGTTTGTAATGGCATAAAAGAACCTTCAAGCAATGTCCCCCCCATGCCCGCCTTTGGCTTCATGCCTGTCTTGAAGATAAGCAACACAGCCATCTTTCTGCCTATTCGCATTGCACCTTCTCTGCCCCCTAAACATTGTTTGTATTTGATTGCAAATGAAAATAAAAATAACCATGATTTTGAAATACTAATTATGCAGCGTTTAATTTTTTGTTTTTCTTTCAGGAGAAATAGCTTGGCCATTGGGTAGCAATATAATGCCTCATTATTCAAAATAAATAAAGCAATTACAAGATGTACTGTATTAAATACACAATTATAACTGTTAAAGTATAACTCACGTGGCCTGCATTTTCTATTGATATCGGGTCTTTTCCTTTCAAGTCATAAAGTCGAGGCTTCACATTTGGGTAAACTACTCCTTCTTGCTTTGTATCCACAAAGACTGATCTTACCTGAAAAGCAGAGAAAATTTCAGTTTCACACATTAAACAGTTTTTGAGGGTGCAGAGTGGTGAAAAACTGAGTTCATGTATGACCTTTGGTACCTATGACCAGGAATTTTTCAATGAACTAATAGGGGGAGAGGGCAGGATGATTTCTATTCTGGTATTGACAAAAAATTTTGTTCTAGACAAATAGATTGCTGTTCTTTTTTTCAAAGAACAAAAGATTGCCTCAGATTGGTCTAACAGATAGTTTTAGCATGAAGAAAAATGAGATGGGTTAGAGGGAATTTTTGACTACTCTTATCAAAGGGTGAGCTAAGATCTTGTGATGAACAAGATCATGGTTACATTAAATCACTTTAACTATGAAAAGATGTTCAAGCTGGGGCACCTGCTCTTACAAAGACCAAGTAAGCAATATCTATTCTAAATAGAAAAAGCTTGATTAAATTTAATTTTAATTTATATAATGATGTATAATTGAGTATAATTATGCATAGCTTGTATAATTAAGATGTTGTGTAATGTATGATTGGCTTATTCAAATATAAACCAACTATATAATAAATACATTATATCTAAATTGACCTAGATCAAATGCATTATGCATGCTTTGCAAAACTCAATGATTATTCTTTTAATTTAGAGGACAAGAAGTATTCATCAATTTACAAATGGGTAAACTATGTGGGTACACTTTCAAAAAAGGTAAAGACAAAATAACCTGCAGTAAACGTTCAAATTTGCTAAAAATATGTTTGTTGTTCAAACCAACTAGTAGGCTCAAAATATGTAGTACTAAAGTTACCTTCTTTGTTGTAGGGATAGTTGGTGATGTGTCATGAACAAATCCACTTTTTACCATATAAACTTGCTTTGGAAAAGGATCTTTGCCATCAGAGCCCTTTGACCCTTTGAAATGTTTCTTTGTCAATGAAAGGTAGTTATCAGTCAGAAGCTTCCTATAAAGTATAAAAAGAAAGTCTGGAAGAGTTCTAGGTGAGGGGGGGGGGGAGGGGAGGGAGCAAGACACAAAGAAATAGAGCAAAACAATAATAGTAAAGTAGAAAAAAATTTCAAATTGTGTGAGGGCATGGGGGCAACAGCCCTGTTGGCCCAATGCTCCAGATATATTGAAGGAATGATTATTTTTATTATCTCTTTCTTGATTTCTGATTATTAATAATAGCATTACCTACATTAACAATACAATTGAATTGAACAAACTAAAATCCACAATACAATCCAATACACATATCTGCTATCAGTTCTCAATTTTAATACACTCTATGGGCTCTCTCTTTTGTTTTCAGCTCCCCTAAGAACAAGTTTTTGGAAGATTTTGGTTGAATTTTGTTTAAATTAATCACATCTGCAGCAAAGAAAGCTTCTGTGTACAGAAGCCTTTTACTTTTGTGTTCAATTAAATAAATAACAATATTGTTATTACACTGAAAAATCCATACGAGAAGCTGCAACTTTAGCTTTGTTGCAAAGTAAATAGAAATGAAATTGTCCATTAACCTTCTTAAATACTGGTGCATCTGCTTTCACTCTGAGTCTAAAGTTGCAGTAGAATGAATTTGGAGTTTTCAGGATTGTCTATTATTTTTGCATTATAATTTTTGGCCGTTAGAAGCATAAATTGTGGTTAAAACTCTTTATTATTTACGTTTCATGGATGAAATCTCGCACTGATATTTATTTTCCCATATCAAGTTTTCCATAATTGACATTATTTCTGTTCGCATTCATTAGGCAAATACAGCGATATGAAAAAAGTTTAAAAAGATTGAAACATCCTGAAAATTGAAAACAATATTTGAGGAGTTAGACTTGGAAACTAGATGAATATATATTAATTATTCAGATATTATATGATAAAGAAAACTGGGCTTACCCCATTCTAGGGTTGTCCATTTCATCGATTTTTCGGCTGTAATAAACACCAGGTCTAAAGTTACTTTGGTAGCCAGTTCCTTTGTGTTTGCCTGTCCTTGGGGAAAAACCTTCATGGCCATATCTGTTCGAATATTCTGTTATGTAGAACTTTTGTGTGATAGTATCTGGTCCATGACTTGCTTTAATGTGTGCCGTTACTGGCCCATATGGTAGAGGACCCATTATTATCCTAATGAAAAAAAACACATTAGGAAAATATTTCGAGATTGATTGAAACAAACAGTATGCCAAATACTAGTTTCGATGGAACTGAATTCATTGTGCTTTAGTAAATGAAAGGTGCTTGACAAATTGCGAGATCAGATATAGGTACTGCAAAAGTATTTGAAATGCCCATCCGCTAAAAAAGGATCGTTTTGTTTACACAACAAAAGTAGGCCGAATACACGACCCTATCAAAACTTCTTTCAACTACCACAAATCTTAAGAAAATAGTTGCTTAAAATATCTCAAACTTAAAAGGTCATGAATATGTAACGAAAAATTAAACGGTTAGAACAAATACCTAGCTCTCTGTCAAACTCTTTGGAACAACTCGTATCTTCCCTTGGTGACTATGATAAGTGGAGCATGACACCGATCAAAATAGCGTCCATTGCTTAGCAACAGTAGTAGCACGGTCTCGTATTCAAAATACCTCGCTATCAAACTTTCAATACTGAAAATTAATATAACTTGAAATTAAGGTAAAATTATACGGGTAGAAAGCGTAATACTAGATGAGATGTTAAAATATATAATGATAAAAGATGGATTAGTAAAGATACGAAAATGGTTTTTAAGTCCATTAGGAATAAGAGTGCAAAGTTTGGAAATATATGTTTTTCGAGGAAATTTTCTTAGTATTGTCCTTAGGTGCGTAGAGAAATTTCAATGATATCAATGTTGTGGTTATCAAGTGTTGTTATCTTTATTTAGATGAAAAGGGACTGTGGCCTCCTGGTCATCTTTTCTGGATTTCTGATGATGTACTTTCTTCTTTACATCGCGGAGATGTTCATCTAAACGGACGGGATGTCTCCCTAATGTTGTGAAGGTCGCATTTGGCGTAGCTGATGCAATATGCAAGGCAAGGGGGTGTGCCTGTGAAGTGGGTTTTTATATGGAAATACCTGTGGTGAATATCTACGCTTGAATTTAAAACGGGCTTTGCTCATAACGTCGTCTTTAAAATTTACTATTTCCTCGTACAATTTTGTTATAAATTCAAGCAACCACGTAGCTGTAAATGTCGGCTAGGGTGGGCAAACTCGAGCAAGAACCATACCTGAATAGAGCAGGCTTTAAAACAAGAAAACAGATAAACAGTATCTTTGGACTACATCAAGCTCACGGAATTATAAATATGCCAAATTTTCAAAATATAATTTGGAAAACTGTAGCCAAAGTTGTTTTCAAAATTTTCATTTGAGGGGCACAGCCACCCAATGCGCCCCTGTAGCTACGTGGCTGAATTCAAGTTATTTTATTGGTGTAAAACCTTGGAAATCTTTTGTATTGATAGAGTATCTAAAAATGATAGTCTGTGCACGGTAAAATTTGAAAATGTAGAATACGAAGAGAATGAAAAAACGTTTCTGTTATCAAACGGGCTATAAATCCCTGGAGACTTATTCTTTCTCTGAATACATCCCTTCTAATGTTAAAATTGAGGAGTGTACAGTCAAATACACAGCTTTATCTGCAGGAATTTTGAGCATTTTTCTAAGCTGTGAGCTTCAGGTTATTTGCTGACAAGTAATTCGACATGCAGGGCTCTTCAGAATGACATAGCTTTAGATAATCTTAATGCTCACACTTCAACATTTCTGAACAGAATATGTTTCTCGTCATTTATCGTAAGAATTAAAGTTGCTGTGCATAAGATAAAACCGTAGGAAATATTTTGAATAATAAGCTGATATTCCGAACTTTTCTTAATCCATTTCTAATATTTTGGAAATTTATAAAATATTTACAGTACGTAGCGGGGCTTTAAGATAAAGTCTAGAGATTCGCTTGAGAAGGAGTTGCTAGTCCCAAGCATCTTTAAATTGGACAAAAATCCAAGCTGACTTCAAATTATTTATTTAGCATACAAAAATCACGGAAAAACTTAGCAAAATAGAAATACTGTACGTTGGCAAATGTTGCAAGCACTCTTACTCTTATTCTTCAAAGAATTTCGATGCTTAAAGTTTTAAAATGTTTAAGTGGATGCTTGAGTTTCTGTTACTTTATAAAGGAGAAATTATGCTCTTTAAGCACATTTCATAGTTACAATTTCTTCCACTAAACAAGAATTGTGTTACAAAAATTTGGAATTTTATTGGTTTAGCTACTAAAGAATGAAAACTGGAGTATACATTAAATGCTACATAGGACTCCACAGGAATTTCATGTCCTTTTTCTAGTTGTTTAGAGTTATTCATCAGTCCCCTATCGTATAATCTTTCACTCTATTCCTCATGTCTAGAGATTCAAAGCTTCTTATTGCCTGTATCTTAGTCTTTATCCTCGGATTGTGCGGGCTACAGCTGTGAAAAGGAACACAAACAGCTGAGAAGAATACGGCATATGCTTGCAAATGGTTTCTCCCATGTTCGTGTTTCTTTGCCTAGTTGACAATTTTTATAATTGACTTAATTGGATGGGTAAAATTGACTTAAGGCGATATGTCGAGTATATCATTAGAATTTCTTAACAAAGTTTAAGCTAATACTACTAAAACATATGATTTGATATCTAATATGATGAGGTGCTGAAGATGTAACGCAAGGCCACGTCCTTTCTTCATTGCTGTTTATTCCAGATTGAATTTAGGGACGTTCAGAGTGTAAAGATGTCGAATCAAATTTAATGCCGTCTCCGCATGTTATTAGCCTTGTATGCGTAACGCCTTGTATAATCGGTTGCACTCTTTTGAGGCATTGAAGAACAGGTGTAGCAAAGTCCAACACAGTAAATCTGAAATCTCGTAAAACAATCAAAGGCTATTGTTTAGCCATCAGCCGGATTCGCTTGCGGTTATCAGAAACAAATGACACTTGGTATGCAAAATATCAAATCTCTTGTAGTATCTGGGTCGAACAGTTGTCTGCAAACAACAAGCAAAGAAAGACAACTGGATTCAGATTCGCATTTGTTATTCGCGTTCTTTTGTTTGCCTCTGTATCATGCTGAGGTCATCTTATCTGCTTTCGAAGGGCACGTGTCAATGGTTAGAATTGATAAGAAGTATTCAAAACGTTGTTTTCATTCTGTTTGAATTATTCAGAGAAAATACCATTTTGACCCTTAATTATACAGTTTGTTACGACAATAGTTTCTCTGCATTCATTTCATTACGAACTGATAAGAAACCGAGTTCTAATTATCGACATCTTTTTTAGACATAAGAGGATAATCAACTCATTTGTTCTGAAATGGCGATAAACAGTTTCGGTAGAAAGAGGCCAAGCCCTCCATTATCCTTGACTTGTTAACAAATGTTAATCAAGTATTGAACGTGAAATGGCATAGAAGGATCTCTGCAAGAATAATCATCATAAAATGTTGATCTCTATCGCAATCACCATCGTTGTCTTCTTTATCATCATCGTTCTACGCGCTAGTAAAAAAGTATGGCTGAAAGCTAACTTGCCTAGCAAGTCATTCGAGAGAGCCCGCCCTGTGCAATAATTTCATAAATTTTGTAATTTGTTATCAAGAACAACATTGCCAAGTACCCAGCCAACATAAATCGCCATTGGAATGTGTTAATTCTAAAAGGGGATAACGAAAATTGAAGATTTGTAGAGAAGCGTTTAATATTTGATCTTGCTCAAATATATTTCCTTTGCTACTTGGTTTGCGCAATTTTTGCTAGCCGAAGCGGCGATGTTTTGCTTCGCCGATATATCTGATTTAGGGCTATCCCCAACGTAACCATGAAAGGATTTTGAAGATTAGTCACAAACGAATTTTCTTCATCGCGATTGTCCACAACTGTGATCAACTCGGATGAAAAATCGAGGAAACGATTTAATATTGATTCGCAAGACAAATAAGATTTGATGATGACCGTGCCGATTTGAGCACGTTACTTTAATAATTCATGTACCCTTCCAATAGTTATTGTTATCTCCCGAGCTCGGTTTTTATGCAGAGGTTTTGAACAAGCACCTGCTGTAGCCTCCTATACTCAACGGCTGCATTATGTGCTGTTTTCAAAGAATCATTATAGTCGAAACAGAGTTTTGACGGAATCCATGTGAGAAACCAGTCATAACGTTAGCGCTTTTGTTTTGTTGCCAGTTTGACTGTGAAGTTACTTTAATTTGAAGTGGGCTCAATCATAAACCGTCGTATACCCTTATCCATTCATCTAAATAGGAGGTGGGGAGTTTCTAAAGGGCGGGGTCACTTTGATTGAGCTCTTCAAGAAAACAGCACATATGTTTGGAGACTAACATGCAAGGATAGTCTGGCCACGAGGGCTGCTCAAAAAGACACTGGTAGTAAACCATTGAATCTAGTTGCCTGAATAATGGGGCAGACGAATACAAAATATACCTCAACCAACCTCCTCCCCCTAAAAGTCACTACAAAAATATTAGAGTTGATCTTGATTCTTCAGTACCACTATACACAATTTTCTTGATAAAATCAAAGTACTTAAGCCATCCAGTATTCTTGTCACGGAAAAAGAATCGTATAATTTTGACTACTTTCTAGAGATTGGAAAAAGTTACAAGCATCAACATTCCTGGTGATAGGCCTCCATAACTTCGATCAGATTATCTACTGTCCGTTCAGTAGTGGTGGGGGGTTGAAGGTGGGTTGTGGTTGCTGGAGAGTTGCTGAGGCGAATGCCTCCCTTCTATGATCAAATTCTTCTGCACAATTTTTTCACAGGTAGAGACTTTTGGAATAACTTCAACATATTTGTCTAAGCTTGCATGTCGGTAATTGTAAGCAGGAAGACAAAGTAAATTCCCTCTACAAATAAATGCCCGGTTTATCTATACTAGGTTCATTTACAATGCCACATATTTTTGCAGGCTTTTTGACTGAGAGAACTTGTATTTTGAAAGACCTTGATTTTTGCACCCTTAAAAAACTTTCGAGAACTAATGAAAATTATTCTACCAGTGTAAGTAGACTTCACTTTCGAAATTTAGACAAAACTAAAGGTAGATTTTTTGCAGCATAATAATTTTAGTTTCTCACAGGAGAGTAAAAGAGACAATACTTCACAGCTTATCGCTTATTGCAAGGATATCCCAACCTAAGAAGATGGTGGAAATTATAGGGGCATTGGGGGCCAGCTTCATTCTAATTCCCAAATAACTTTGGGAGCATGTCCATGACATTTCATTCTGATCAAGACGAAAATAAGTTTGTTGAACGATATTTTCAACCTAATCAAGCCACTCAAAAACTGTACCGCACTTTCCCAATCACTAAAAAAGCTCAATTTTCACACAGGTTTGGGATTGATTAAGTTTTTTATGATTTTTCTCTATGATTGGTGCACTACCCTGACAAATGATTATATAATCCTTTCAATTGCGTATTTTCAGGTCCTTTCTGAGTTATATTTTTGCAGTCGGAGCCTTTTTTGCTGTTACTTTTCTTTTTCGGTTACGTGGAACATTCTCGGCAAGT